TTCACGGTCGGCATATTCCGTGATATGCTCAACAAGAACATTCTTGGCAATCGCGATGCACATCAACTGATAGGAAGTAGTCCGCAAGTGGAGTCTGCGCTCGAAGTCACTCATCCACTCTAAGACGTTCCTGTCGCGGAGTACCTGGCAACCAAATGCAATTACATGTCAGTAGGAACGGTGTTTGAGACGACTTACGGTTAGAAGGCCCGAGTAACTAGCATGAGGTAATATTATCTCCCTTGAACAAATTTCAATCCACGCTAGTCTGCGAATGTACTGAACACTCACTCGTCAACTGTAAGTTTCATTCGTATTTCCCCAACTTGAATACTGTTGCTCACTCCGCCAGCTTGTATGATCGGAAACCATCCTTCTACCGCTTCACTTCGGCGAAAGTTCGTCAGTGCAATGCGGACCGAACCAAGCAACATGGGTTTCAGAAGTCTCTTCTCTCTCCAGACTGTGACCTCGAGGGTCTCAAAAGGGGGCAAGTCAGATAATGAGAAATTTTCATGCCAGTCAGGAGAGCCGATCCCCTTCTTGACCGTCGTGCGAGCACATATACTGTCGTTGAGATGAATTTCGCAAAAGGCATCCAAATCAACGGGGTCTGCCTCTCGCGGGTCGCCTTCGCTGAGCGTAGCAGAGCTAGCATTCGCGTCTAATTGAGGTTTGAAGTGATTCCCTAGGTTGCGTCCTTGCGAGATCGACAGCTCCACCTGCCGCCACATACGGTAAAGCCCACCATCGCGTGAGACGAAGGTTTGGCCATATATCTCAGGTTTAGAATATGATCGTAACAGGACCAGCCAAGTATTACACGTATCGGCGTCTTCAAATTGGAAATAGATGGGCTCTGTGTTAGCTGAAGAGCCCCACCGCTGCCCCCTTTGATGGCAGTCTCATTAGCAGTGCTGCAAACAGGATAAGAAATAACTTGCCCAGCAGATGTAAGCGCCATACAATTCTTGCGAAGGAATAAAGAGGAGTCAGCGTGTCGGATGTCGAAGTGGTTGAGCATATGGACGTAGATGGTCTGGTATAGAATAGTCTCCTGTGAGGGCATTCAGAAGATTGTAAAACGTCTGTCTTCCTGAGACCCACGTCGACATAGATGTTAAGCGAACAACTCTCGTCCTCGTCCGTCAGCTTACATGTTGCAGGTCGCCACTGTCCAGCACCTGCGGGAGTCCGAGCTACCGATATCCAGCTAGACTTCTCTGGAGACACATAAACAGTCATGTGGCAGAATAGAAGTATTCTCACCTTTAAGTGACCTAGGGGTTTCCTCCGTTTTGCTAGTGTCAACTTTACGGCGAGGGACTACCGGCTACGAGCGGTTAGATGTATCGAGTAAGATATGTACATGAGACTCACCTTCCAAAGCCCAAAACTCGCCACAGTGGGGACATACAATTCTACGGACACCAAGAACTCTCGAGGGCAACTGGAGGTCCTAGTGGACTGCTGCGTTGAATCTGATATTTCAGACATTGGACAGGCTTCTAAGCCGCACAGCACGGTTGGCTGAGTTTCGTTGGTAAGGTAGTCCCTATCGTCGGCCTTGAATCATTCAAGGAAGCCGTTGCAAATTGACTCCCTGCACTGCGATGTGTGCACTCCTCGTGGTGTATAAGTTAATGCAGAGATAGTGATGATGGGAAGAAACAAAGATATTCGTGTGTATCAGAGCTGGTGAACGGGCGATAGTCACGGTTCTCAGGAATTCGGTTTCAAGTACTGGTAAAGTACTGAGACAATTTTTTCGGAGCTGCAAAACGCAAGTTAACCTAGATAGCTGATTGTAGTCTTCAGTACAAGCTTGGAGCCAAAGAAAAGTCAATCAATGATATATGTAGTGACACAGGCGTCGGATGATGCATCGATGATGATGGAATTGCCGCAGCTGAACCTTACGGCACAGCAGGATGATTATGCAACAGACTCTTAAGATTAGATTGGCATGGAGAAGTAGTGGCATTTCGTTTGGGTATTACTACGGTATCTCTTGTTCGTGAAATGTCCTTTGCGTTTCAACACAGCTCCAAGCACACCCGTATACTAACATGCATGCCCGCAACCAAAGCATGACCCGAAAGAAAACAAATATGCAAAAGAAATTCTACTTGACCATGAAAAAATAAGGTGATGGGGAATAGCTAAATAGACACAAGAACGACAGGCTGTATGAAAAGATTGGACAGGTGAACTGGAGATGAACTCGTTGGTGCATTCTGTATATTAGTGTTCCGCGTGGTGCTAGATAAGTATAGGTAATCGCTTGGCCATGGGCATATCGTCATGAAGCCGTGAATTGCGCGCTCAGTCCTTTTTGTAGCTATCAGAAATTTGAACATCAGCATGCAATATGGTAAGAGGGAGTATTTGCGCACCCGTTTCCATTGTGCGCATGACCGTTGGCAATGCCATTGGCTGTAGGCTGCTTGCCCTTGGCAGATTTCTTGTACGTTTGGATGTAAAAGTTGATGAACAAGCCAAGGTAGGTGGTGAGAAGGCCACATCCGAAAAGAGCAGCAGTTTCAGTGCCAGCACAATTCGACCAATGAGGGAGGTGATGGTAGTGAGTAGCTGCGTAATGTTGGTAGGCTTGCGCCGGATTTAGCAATGATATCGGGCTATAGACTGATAAACTTACTACCAAAGTAAACAATGACGATGTCGATGATGAACTGGATGATCTGCATGGACGTAAGGTATTTCTTCCACTGATTGCGGGAACGTCTCAGTGAAACATGCCTAGACATTGTAGAGCGCGTACATACCCATATTTTGGCACCACCAGCAGTTGCAAAGTAGTAATAATCTTTGTGGTTCAATAAGCGCATGCACATTGTAGGAAATAAAGACCTTACACATGATGACGTGAACTGCCAGGTTCAGAGAGATCACAACCCATGACTAAAGTTGGAGGTCAAGCAACCACTAGCGGAGATGCCAACGTAGACATACCACACTCGTTTTGCCGTTAAGTTGCACAAAGCATAACAGAGCAGTGGCGGAATGATGGAATACATGAAGGAAAGCTAAATATGACCGGTCAGCGCGTGAATCCCACGAACAATATGCCAACGCATACCAAGAGGTTTCTTTTTGAGAGCGAGGAACACCGTGTCAAAAAGTTCGATGTACTTGAAGTAATAGTTGATCATGTAGTAAAATTCCAGCCTCTGGGGTGATGGATAAATCTCAAAAAGATAGAGATTCGATAAACGTATCCGAACGTACTTCCGTCCACGAAGTCTCGTCACACATTGTACCGTAGGTCGTATTTGTGAGCCATATTGAGCCAACTTCTTCCATCATAAGGACCAGAAGGATGAGACTTCCAACACTGAGGAAAACGTTGTGTATGCGAAAGAGGGTGTTGAGCCGCTGTGGAGATCTATCCTTCATGATCTCACGAATACCAAATATTATAGCGAGGTACGACGCAAGGGCTGTGGTGACGACGGGCCATGTCGATAAGGGCGTCTCGCCTGGAATGTAGGTTTTAAGATATATAGGTATGGAGTCCTTTGGGACGACAGTGAGGAGGAAGTCAGCGAGAAAAGTCATGGCAGACGTGGAAACAAAGTCAAAGACTGAAGTTGAAAAATTTGAGCGCGAAAGGTAAGTTACCAAGTGAAAGGTTTACGGCAAGTGACATCTGTCACGGTAATCACATATTTGGTATGAAGCCTGGGAGATAGACAAGGAACGTTGCAACGTTCAACGTTCATCTAGGCTTGAACTAGGCTTTCCATCCTTGGAAGGTAGAGCCCAACCATGCAAAATATGATATTGCTTTATTTATTTAATGGTACAGATAGCAGTGCAAAGGTGTAGATGTGTATTATACGATGCATAGAAGTTTGGGAATTATAGAAATTAGGAAATGATCAATGCGGGGCCGCACTCCAGGTCAGCCAATAAAACTTTTTCCCTGCATTACGGTGAGATACAGCTTTGAATATTCGGATTTGCCACACCTTGCATGTATGTTCGCATTCTGCAGAATTTCGACTGCGGCTGACCTCACCTTTGGAGCACTGAGCTCAGTCGGCAATGCACAGATGAAACAGAGCGAAGAGTTTGAGGGAGCAAGTCGATAGGATGCAGGAATCTGATACATCTATTAGAGAGGTGATACAGGTCAAAGGTGTTAACCAACCCCGGCTGAACGCAATAACTCTAAGAGATCATGAACGAAGAGAAGGATTCGCGAGCGTAAGTCGTGAAGGTCGTGTAAATCAAGGCCTGTTTTTCGAGTTGGTTAAATAACTTTAAATTCATACACAAGAACCACATACATGTATCAGAAGGAGATGACCACATGGGAACAGAGCAATGCAGCCTCACGGAACGACCGGTTTGGCTCAGGAGCCTGAGCAAGATCGTATTGATTATTTGAATGAGCGGCCAAAATAAAATAATGTTAATGAATAATACCTTGCAAATGGCTCCACAGCATCGGTAAGGCTACCCAACTTAACACAACGGACGCCGAATAAGTACCGCGGAAGGACTTGGATCCGAAGACGACTGACCTCGTTCAGCTGCAGCTCCTGCTTGGCACTCGGAGAAGGCATAGAGAAGGATCTGGGAACGACAGACACCATGATATACTATTTTATGCTTGCGGAGAGAGGGCTGAGTGTTGAAAGAAAGGCGAGGATCAAGTGCTCACACGACCCTCAAATACTAAGTATTCAGAAGTCACGCGGATAGACCCGGACTAGTAGCGGGATTGGACGGGACCAACGGCATAAATGCACTATCACAAATGAGAGAAAATAGCTGGAATAATCCGAAAAGTTACCTGCAAAAGGAATGCCTCGAGGTATACTACCGCATGCATTTAAACAGGAGGTGTATACATATGTAGAAGTATAATATCCTATGACCAGGTTCAATACCGATATTTGCTTCCGCTCTCCGGCCGCGTGTAATGGGTGATGTAATATTTGCCCGATTTAGTAAGTGTGCCCCCTACCCTCCTTCGGGTACTGCGGTGAACAACCTCCATCACTCACTACTTACCTCGGGTCCAACTTACAACAGCCTTCTAATCTCTCTCTTCAGTTGTACTTTAAAAAGGATAAGTCAATACCATCAACCATCCCCACAATGTGGTGGTTGGACCCCGGAAAAGAAGTCCTGAATGTGGTGCGTCATCAAGAAATTTCAGCCCCACATATCCTTGAATATGGTTGCGTTTTGTCTAGTTGTTCAATAGAATACTCGCCCCGTATGTTGAGAACCTTGATATGAACCAAGTAAACTACGGCATTGGGCAAGGTAGTGTTGACTTGTTGCTCGTCCATGTGACGATTTTGACCCAACTCCAGGTCAATTAACCCTACGCAACTTGCGCCTCAAGAAAGGTGCCTTGGACAAATTCAGACTCCCAGTTGATGTTCTTGAAGGTACTATTACACGTCAACGGCGTCGCGCGAGCTCACCCAGGCCTCTCTTCAGGCCACCTCGGGACATTCACACTGTCCCTCCATTGGATGAACCTCGGCAACCAGCCTGTCGAGATATTGATTGAAGATGTGTATCTACTCGTAGTACCATCTCCACAAACAAACATCGATCCGGAGGAGGAAAGACAGCGAGCACAGGCCGCCAAACTTGAGCGGTTGGAAAACGCAGAGCTTTTGCATATGCGTGGTCAAGTGGGAGCCTCCTTAGGTTTGCTATTATGTTATCGGTGTAGCGTAAGCGTCAGATGACCATCCCTGTTTCAGAGGAATCTCCACAGTCACAAGGTCTCTGGGCTTCATTAACAGCTAAAATAATCAACAACCTGCAGGTAACCGTGAAGAACATTCACGTACGGTACGAAGACAGCCTGAGCGTTCCTGGCGTACGTAGGACACACGCACCTCGAAATTCATTATATGACGTCACAATATTAGCATCCTTTCGCCGCGGGCATCACGTTGGCGGGCTTCACAGCGGTGTCGGTCGACGAGGAATGGCAACCGGCTTTCATAGAAAGCACCGCCGGTGCAATACACAAGGTGAGTAGCCAGACAAAGTGAAGGGGAGCACCAATGAGCTTGAATTCTTTAGTTGGCTAGGTTGGAATCACTAGCGGTATATTTTGATACAGACTCGCAAAGTATGGCAGGGCTGCCCCTTTCTGCGGCCAAAGAGAAGTTTATTGCCATGGTCAGTTTGATTTTATCACATGCCAACAGGCTTGACCTCCTAGTCAGATATCACAAAAGGATCATCAGTCATCCCATCAATTCATTCTCAGCCCGGTATCGGGTGAGGGAAGAGTAAGTTACCAATAGCCACTGAGCGCGTTTGATATATGACCATCCATCAGATTGTTATGAATCACAAACTGGATAAGAACACACCGCACTTCGACGTACAGCTGCTGTTTGATCAAATCTGTGTCGCCTTAGATGACAACCAATATCGAGATGCCATATCTTTGGCTGACATGTATCACGTCTACATCCGTCAGCATCAGGTAAAAAAAATTGAACTAGGCGATATTGATCTTAAATGTTCTCCGTCCAGTACAGAAAACTTCGTCCAAGCGACGAGGAGTTCAAAGCGAATCGAGCAAGGGCATTGCTACGTTTTGCTACCCGGGCGATTTTGGATGGTGTGCACGACCGACATCGTAAATGGACTTGGGCATACTTTGCGGAACGTCGAGACGACCGTAACAAATACGTCGAGTTATTCGAGAAGAAGACGGTGAATTCATTGCGCGAATCTGTACGCTTTATTTTATTCCACGCTATGAGACATACGATCATGCTTTTCAGGACACTGTGTTGCTCAATGCGTTGGAATGTAAGTTGTCATACGAGGACATTCGCTTCTACAGGTCGATCGCACGTTCCCGTCTACGAAAAGACATGGAGCTAAGGAAAAGGCTTGAGGAAGACCGCGCTACACAACAGCAACAACATTCTGGTGGTTGGATGTCCTGGCTCTGGGGGTCCCAGGCAGATCAACCGAAAGATGACCCCGCTTTTGGGGGTGAAATGACAGAGGAGCAACGAAGGCAGCTCTATGATGTGCTTGATTACGACGAGAAATCGGCTATTGTCGATTCGTTCGAGGCGCCCCGGGATGCCCTCAAGGCTCGCGTGGTTGCGGAACTCAAAAGGGGGTCATTTGCACTGAAAGTTGATCCGAGCGGGAAAGCTACCGAGGTTATCTCCACGGTTTTTGACTCGTTTCGTGCCGAAGTCATCCAAAGACCGGATAACTTTGAGGCATCTGTATCTTTGAGGGGATTTAGTGTTTTTGATGGGACGACCAAGAACACGCTGTATCGACAGATAGTTCGAGTGAAGACCCCGGTAGCAGAAGATGCCGAGGCTATTGAGCACGGGGAAGCTGAAGATCCGTTTTTCTTCGTGAAGTTTGAGAGCAATCCTCTCGACGAACGCGCCGATACTGCGCTCACAGCCCGCATGCGTCACATGGAAATAATTTACCACAGGGGGTATGTCGAAGCTATTTTCAAGTTCTTTCGCCCACCCGAGAGCCAGTTGGAATCAGTGGAAGCTTTATTGGTAGGTGCTCTCACGGATCATTCAAACAAAAGATCTTATGCTTTCACTTTAAGAATGTGGCAAGCCAGACACTAGAGGGCTTACGAAAGGAAACTCGGGCTGGTTTAGAGTATGCTTTGCAAACTCATAAAACCATTGATCTTCAACTGGATATGAACGCACCCATCATTATCATTCCAGAAGAGTGCGTTCCCCGAACCCATAATTGTCGAAGTTACCAGACTGACTTGTTAATTTAGCGTCACCACGCACCAATGCAGTCATCTCGTTATCGATGCTGGCCACATAGCTGTCGAAAGCGATTTGGCCGATAAAGGTGCTCTGCGAGAGATACATGCAAAGCGAAACCAGCCGTACAACGAGGACGACTACAAGAGATTAGAGTCCCTAATGTATGATAAGATGTTACTCAAGCTCCAGGCAGCTCAGGTTAGTTCACGCCTTCACAGCATAAACAAGCCTAATGCTATCGTTCAGTTTGTCTTAGGCAACGACCTGCAAGCTTGTCGTGATGCTCTCACTTCTGAGAAGAGCGACACTCTCCATCTATTGGAACGCATAAACATCAATTTACTGGTGCAGAACTCCATTGTACCATCTGCTGTCAATCTCGCTCGATTCAAAATTTCTGGAAAATTGCCAAGTCTTCAAGTGAACATCTCCGACGCCAAGTACAAGTCTTTAATGCGCATTATAGATGTTGCGATCCCAAACTTCGATGAAGGCGGCGACCAGAAGCCTCCCCAGATGCACACCGACACTCCACCACTCGTGTTGCCTCTGTCAACTGGTCTGTTTGGACCTGTTGGCACAGAATACAATGTAGATGATCCTGATGGGGTCGACAGCGAAGCTGCATCGACACACAGAGATGATCTATTCTTTGAAGCAAGCGATGGCTCGCTCGAGGTAGATCATGCTCATCTTCCATCTTCCGTATTTTTACCTGTTTTACAGCATCCTGAAATCCGACAACATATCTTTGAGCTTGATTTTGAAGTCGACACCCTTCGTGGGGCTATTTCGAAATCTAGTAGTAACGGCAGTGAGAAACCACTCGGGGAAGTCATCTTCCAGCAGTTCCGACTCGCGTTCTCGCTTCTCAAATTCAATATGAATGTGGACATTAATTTGAGGTACGCCGTACAACCTTTCTGAGCTCGGGTCAATAACACGCATTCAGATCACTGGCAATGAACGTCGTGCAAGCTGCTGGAGATCCCATTCAGCTAATGTCTTCAGAAAGCATGGGTTCGGTCATTAAAGATCTGATGAAGATATCGTACAAGAGGGTCCAGAAGAATTCACCCGAATTTGCAACCGTCTACGAAAGCATCGACCAAAGTGTTGACGTCCAACTATCCACGTTCATATTCCACGCTGCACCAGAACCAGTCGTGTCACTTTACGACTTCATCATGACGACATTTGTTCCTCAAAGCCCAGAGCAACCCGCGAGCACAACTCCAAATGCGATCGTTATTTCAGATGAAGGGGAGTTAGCTCCGCCTGCTAGCGACACGGGAACCATCAGAGTATCCTTCAGACTTGATAGCGTGCAAGGTCTGTCCTTTATTCAGATCCACCAGCATGCCCTCACAGCCACGTGTAGTCATGCTCCTCAACGACCTCAATAGCTTGGCCACTCTTTCTTTATCTACAGCAGACGTTCAGTTGCTCCTACGGGCTCACACGATGGGGATTACCGGTCGCTTAGGAAGTCTTGCATTAAGTGACGATCGCTCAAAGGAACTTGCCAGGCCGCAATTCAAACAAATCTTGTCGATCGAAGGCAAAAACTTTGCAGAATTCCGTTATCAAACTCTTGATCCCGCAGAAACCTCGACTTTGGGCTTTAACTCGACTTTTTCTTTGAATGTCGGGTCTCTGAAGGTCCACTTTTTGGAGCAGCCTCTGCACGACATTTATCTCTTCGTCACCAAGCTAGCAAAACTCAAGGTTCTTTATGATGCTGCGCGTGACGCTGCAGTCCAGAGAGCTTCGGAGATCGAGAGAATGCAATTTGACGTCTCCGTCAAGACACCAATCATCGTTTTCCCTTCGGATCCTAGCCGTTTGCAAGACATCTTAGTTATGCGATTGGGAGAGATTAGCGCTCAGTAATTCACACGAGGCTGATGCTAGTAAAATTACCGCCAGTTTATGTGGTATCCAACTGGTGTCCGACATCTCTTATGATGGAGCATCCTCTACGCTCAAAATGGTTGACGACATTGATATCATTGCGGATGTGATTCAAACTAGCGGAATCGATCGATCGCAGGAGAGTGAACTTCCAGACACTCAGGTAACGCATCTTTATCGCTGTGTCGGCATTTCTAACAACGAGAAAACATCAGATTGCAGTGAAGATATCCGATGTCAAGCTGTACTTGACACAGACTCAGTACATTCTTCTCATGAAGCTTGTGCAATCCATACCCAAGGTTTTGGTCGCTTTACCGGAAGGAAATGCCCAGGTACTGGAGTTAGCATCGCCCGTGAGTAGCAGTGACAGCAACGGTGCTGCCAGCCATCACGTGGTGGACCTCGAGCCCGAACTCCACGTACCTGACAGAGTCCGCGCGTGGACGACCATGGATCTGGTCGCTTCTGTGAAGATGGTTAAGTTACATTTGTACGATAGTTTGGCGACCCGCGAAGAAAATCTCGAAGACCACGGCATAGCGCGCTTTGCCCTCAACGATAGCAGTTTGCGCTACAAATCGATATCTGATGGCGCTGCGGAGGCTCAAGTTGTGCTGAAGTCATTCACAATGAGCAATACCCGCCCAGGAGGGTCCAAGTTCCGTGAAATCATACCTGCGGCGGATCATGACCGTAACCAATTCATGGTTCTCTACACGATGTCTGGCAGCTCTTCAGTGGCCATTCTGACTGTGGATTCGCCGCATGTTATTCTGGCTATTGAGCCTGTCATCGCATTATTGGAGTTTATGAGCGCGTTTCAGCAGGACGCCCCGGTCGACATTGATCACGCATCCACAGCTGAATCTCAGCGCGAGTCACCGCAATCTCGACTTAATTTCCGACTTGATCTACACGATGTTTCGATCAGTGTGCTAGAGAACGATGAAGACGCGAATTCTCAAGCCCTCAGGCTGTACATTGACCAAATCCTGCTGTCACAACAGGTGCGTCCCATTTTCTTTGTCTCGCCACGGTGCTAACAATGATGACGTAGGGGATTCTCGCGTTGACTGTCAATCGACTAGGGATGTCGCTTATCCGCATGGGCGCCGATGCCGACACCGTACGCTTCTTGGATGATGTTGATTTGACCTTTTCAATAGACAGTCGATCATCAACACGAGAACAGATAACGAGCATGGAACTTGCTGCCAAACCTATTGTGTTCCGAGCCTCCTACCGAGATATCATGCTGATCACCACCATCGCTAGCAAAGCAGTGGACCTTTATGGCAAGTCTCAAAACAACTCTTCGGTGACCAACACTGCTAGCACGAAGGCCGTACAACCATACGAAGGGCCTAGCCAAGCCTCACGGTCTAATGCCACGAGAAGCCACAGACATGCTGTCGGGGAGGCCCGCGTTTTGGTATCGAAAGAACAGGTATGTCAAGATAAGATTCACTGACTTTGTTATTAACATATTTTCTCAGCTGAAAGCATCGTTTGATGGATTCCGTCTGATTCTCATAGGCGACATGCATGAGCAGCCTATGCTTCACCTGAAGGTCAAGCCATTTATCGTCGGTGCTCGGGATTGGTCTGCAGATGTACGTAAAACAGCCCCCGTGCTGGTCTCATAATTTTAATTACCCACTACCAGCTTCGCGCCACTGCTACCCTCGCGACCCAAATCAGTTACTGGAATTTGTCAAATTCACATTGGGAACCTTGTAAGTAGCATCATTTCAAATGTCTTTCTGTGCTGAGTAAAACATGCAGTAATCGACCCGTGGACCTTCACTCTTGCGGTGAGTCTATTAAAATCAGGAATTAGGAATTTATTTATTTATTCTAGGTTGGCCGAGATAAACGTTCGAGTGAACTCAAGGTATCGGTGTCAGCGCAAGAACGTTTAGACCTCAATGTCAGTACTACTTTTGTGGAGCTTGCTGTCACTTCTGCCAATATGTGGGGTAAGGAAGGACAAGTCTTGCTACAGAAGGCTCGTGGAAGCTTTGCACCATACCGTATCAGGAACCGCACTGGATCCCCTCTCTTTGTGTGGTCTGATGATGATACTAGTCGCGACTCAAAGGATGCCAGTGCAGGTCAAAATTGCAAATGATCAAACTGTGGACTGGAGGTTTGATGACTGGAAGACAATGCGCGAGGCAAGTAAAGTTGTGCGTTCCAGTGGTGCTGTTTTCACTTTACCCTTGTAGCATGTCTCAATCTCCGAACAACACAACATTGGCATACAGATTGTTGGCAAGCCATGGGAAGCGCTGAGAGGTATACCAGTGGACCGAGAAGGAGAATTTACGTTCTCCCTACGCCCTCGAATGGAGAAATACGCTGATCGCCTGTTGTGCGCTGTATCGGTTGAAGACAACGTAAAAATCGTTACGCTCCGTTCCACGTATCTGGTCGAGAATCAGACCTTCTATCCACTGGAACTTATGCTGGTAGATCATACGGGACATCCAGTTTACTCGTTAGAAAAGATAGGTTGGTACTGAAAAGCTCTTGTGATTCGGTGATTAATACGCCCTCAGCCCCTGGCCAGGATTACGCTCTGCCCATAGAAGCAGTAACCCAGAACAGGATCCGGCTGCAGCCAGATCGTGCGTATCCATTCACTCGAAACTTGCGCAGCATAATCATTTAATACTTCAAAGAGGGGTTTGGGTATAGATGGTGCTCCTCCATACGCTTTGAGGACCTCATTGCCAAGAAGAGTCTCACAATAAGTTGCCTTCACAATGACCAGCGAGAAGCTCCCTTCCGATTTCAAGCGTGGGCACAGAGTGACTCGAACGAGCCTGGAACACGGTAAAGCTACCTTCACATTTCTGTGCATTCCTACCACTAACTACGTTCCTTTTTCCGGTTCAGGAAACCACCAAAAATTAAACTCAAACTCCGCGCGCCAATCGAGCTTGAGAACTTACTGCCTTACAACATCCAGTATCGAATATACGACAAGGACGCTGATCAAAACTGGAAGAGCTACCTCAGAAAGGGTGGCGTCATGCCTGTGCATTCTGTGGAACTAGGTCATTTGATCCTATTGAATGCCGAAGTCCAGGATACGAGTAAGTCCAATGGCTCATCCGAGTACGTTCACTCACACAGAAACTAGTTTTCAAGCCCAGCGACTTCGCCATCATCAACACTGACCGGAATTCGGACTTTGAAGTAGAGTCTCGTTTAAGTCTGCGGGACCAGAGTAATCGCAAACTTGATCTACGTTTAAACTACGTGTTCGTCCTACCCCCCTATCTTTTCACTTGTGCAACTCACATATTTCTAGACGCTATCCTGAGTCTGGTGGTGCCTTCAAAGTGCAGATATATTGCCCATATCTTGTCGTTAATAAGACTGGGTTGCCTTTTGGTGTGAAGGCTGCACGCTCTCATCGAGCGACATCCCCTGTAGAGATTGCCGCTGATACTAGACTTGGTAAATTCCAGCCGACGATTTACCATGGCTTACTAACTGTGTTTGCTAGATGTCATTTCCAAGCCAGTTCCATTCTGTGGGTCTTTATATACCTTTCTTATTACGATGGACTTATCATCTCACTAGTATTATCACACCCCCATGACAACGGTCAAGCATTTGTGTTCAAAGTCGGTGAATCTGGTTGGTCGAAGGTACAGTTAAACGACGGGAAGCTGTGTTTATTAGATTCAAATGTTGCCCTTTAGGTCTTCAGTCTAGAGGCCCCTTCTGCGGAAACTGAGATGGTTATGCCGTCCTCCAGGCAAAAATCGGAGGAGTTCCACATTGGATTGTCTTGGACTGAGGGGTTGGGGAAATACAAACTCACCAAGGTCATAACTCTCGCCCCAAGGTTCCTCATCAAGAACAACCTACCTGATCCCATATGCTTCCGCGAGCATGGCGCACCGCCTAGAGGACGCGCAATACTCGACCCGGGTGAATGTTGTCCAATGCAGATCATGCGTGTCAGCCGCGAGAAAATGCTCACCATTGCGTACCCTGGACTCAATTCTCAGTGGTAATATCCCAACCATGTTGTCTCTGGTATCTTCCTGATAATACTTCAGGTCTGCACCCATAAACATTGAAGACATAGGTTCTGTTCACCTTCGCGTCCGACCCCCAGACGGCGATATGCATGTAGTGAAGGCTGACGCCGTGATTGATGGATCCACGATATTCGTAATACTGTCTGCTACGGAAAAATGGCCCTTCGTTATAGAGAACGACAGCGATTTCTCTGTCTCCATGATACAATGGGTATGGGTTTTCCAACTCCCTTACACCTGAAAATATGTCCTGAATGTTGACTCCGTAGGATCCCAAACGTGGAGATGCTGACGCGGTGAAATCGTCGACCCCACGATACAAGTTAGCGCCTCGCTCAAGCATGCCATATGCCTGGGACCAGCCTGCTGCTAGAGAAAAGAAGATCGCGCTTACGATAAATGATGCTTCCCGCGTTGTGGACATCATGGAAATTGGTGTTCTCGTGCCATTCAAATTCTATGTACCTTCACTTCTCCTCAAGTTCGATTAGTTACTGACGTGCAGCCTAGGATCGCAAAAGGACCCGTGCTGTTTCGTTGGATGTGAGAGCAGATGGACACCAACAGATATTGCACATCACACCATATGTTGCTGAGCATAGCCTCTACAAGCCGAAACTTCACAGTTCGAGCTCCCTGTCACGGTCTGACACCATGACCAGCAGCTCAGAAGGTTTTGAAGCGATCATGGAAGACGTCTCTCCGACATTATCATTCAATGTGGAGTTTGCGGGAATAGCAATATCGTTGGTTAATCGCAAGATGGTCGAAGTTGTTTATACATCCATCGAGACTTTGAAGTTCGAGTACAGCAACAGCCCTGTTGCGCAGTCTTTGAACCTGTCCTGTGGCTCACTACAGATAGACAACCAGCTGCACGATGCGCTGTACCCAGTCATTCTCCAGCCTAGCCCAATATCCAAGGAGGTCAGTGGTGTTGCAGCTCTCCCCACAATACAGGGTTCAGTGATTTGGCTCAAAGACCAAGGTCAGACGAAACTTACTTTTTTTAGTTCCAAAACCGCACTCAGACTGTAAATTCAGAACACGGTGTTTTATTCGTCAAGTATTGCTCTGTCCTCCTTCAGGCGTTGACCATTGAAGCAGACGAAGATCTGCTTTTCGCCCTATATGATCTTACACAAATTCAAGGCGTCTCGTGGCAAGAGAACACTGAGGAGTGAGTGTGAATTTGATCCCACGACCTTTCTTCCGGCTTACATGTGGGACCAGTGTTTTGATACAGCATCCAGAAGAAATACCAGAACCTCATATTTGTGCCGCTGGACAAGTTGTCTACTTTGAAGTTTTGGAACTTCAGCCAATACAACTGTCTCTCTCGTTCATGCGCACAGAAAGAGTTAGCAGCGAGGAAAAGTACGAATTGCGCTTCGACTTTGCCTGTAAACTATGCATGCACTAATTGTTTCCCTTCAGGCTCAGCATTCGCAACCCTCTAGCTGTTGTCGTCAACGCATTGACAATGACCTTGGGTAACATTAATGACGCGCCGCTGGAGCTGAATGCACTGGCCATCAAAGACATGCGACTGACGATACCTGAACTGCAAGCTAGAATCACTTACCATTACCGTCAGGATGTTCTTCGTCAACTTTATCGCATTCTCGGATCAGCCGATTTTATTGGAAATCCTGTTGGGCTCTTCACGAACGTCAGCTCTGGCGTGTCAGATATTTTCTATGCCCCATACAACGGGGTTGTTATGCATGGCAACAGGGAGCTAGGGATTGGAATTGCCAAGGTACGAGACGAAGAATACTCATAGAGTATTTCGATTAATCCTCTACTAGGGCGCCGCTAGCTTTGTGAAAAAAACGGTGTTTGGCTTATCAGACAGTATGACCAAGTTCACCAGCAGTGTTGGCAAAGGTCCAAATTTGAATTAGGCCATGTGATCGTCACTTATAATATTTTTAGGGTTATCTGCAGCAACCTTTGATTCTGAGTATCAGGCTCAACGTAGAATGAGTCAGCGGCGCAACCGCCCACGCCATGCTATGTGAGAGTAAATCCGTCGAGTAAGCATAGGCGACTGACCCTGATTGGCCAGCTACGGAGTTGCGGCGGGTGGCGAAGCCTTTGCTAGTAGCGTTGTTAGCGCAATGGAAGGGATCGTTGTAGGCCTTTTCCATTCAATCTTTTTTGTTGCTGTGCCTGATCGAGCCTTGTCAGACAAAACCTTTACAAGGCGCTGAAACAGAAGGTGCACTCGGCTTCTTCAAGGGCGTCGGAAAAGGTCTTGTAGGGTAAGTCAAGCAAACCACGCAGTATGTTTTGTTTATCTTGTTCGTGTATAGCGCTGTTACCAAACCAGCCGTTGGGGTCTTTGACCTCGCATCCAACTTATCCGAAGGTCAGTCATGTCATGTTTGCCACTTAACGACAGCTTATCATGCGCCTCTCAGGGATCCGAAATACAACAACTGTGTTTGACAAACCAGAGCGAGATCGAGTTCGTCTGGTAAGTCATTGCATTTTCCACGCGTTTTACTCTTTATACCACCATGTTTACAGCCAAGACATGTCCCATCGGATGGCATTTTGGTGGCAAGTAACCTTCTAGAGCATCGCGTCTTATACACTAAGCTCCATTTACCAGCCATTCTCTGCTCGTGAAGCCTTGGGTCAGTATTGGATGAAGGATCTTGACAATGGCGCATATCGCAAAGAGGCCTACGTTGCACACATCGGTATGTTGGTATTTTGTTTATTGAGCATAGCTGATTGGGTGATAGATTCTCCCGGTAGCGACAACGTCATATTACTGACTGCGACACGAGTTCTTTCCTTTTGGTCGAAAAAGCTCCGCCTTGATTGGGATCTCCCCCTGGCCATGGTGCAGGGTATTGCAGTGGAGGACACTGGCATTCGCTTCACTCACAAATCAGGAAAGGACCATGACAAATTCGTATTCATACCGGATAAAACATCTCAAGCTTGGTTCTTTGGCCAAATCGCTTCTGTAGTCAAAGCCTTCAACAATCGTCGTAGAATGGACTCATGATTAGATCACAAAGATTTCTGGATTCAATGTAAGGACTGTATTCTTTAGCATCTGTACTATGCACAAGTAGATCTTTATATATGCAATGAAGCTGAAACGCATGAAATCCGATGGAACAAATACGACAGATGATCAGAAAGCAACGAGCGTGGTGGGAAGAACGGGTAACCCAAAATAATGATGATGGTGATGCAAAGGTGGGTATCGGCCATAGGTATAAAATTAGACTGTTAATTTCAAGCGTGCTGTTTAAGGACCCGCCCTTTCGGCACGACTGTAACTTCGTTAAGAGACAGTTCGAGTTTGAAGAATTGCCGTCGCTGTACTAGAGACTCGCTCTCTGGCAGGTATATGTATGAGCTGAGAAGTAACCTGTTTCCCGTAATCGCGGCTTTGATCGGTGAATTCAATGGAATCGTCAGAATCGTGATAGAGAGGAGTTTGGCGGCCATCAAAGCTGACGTAGCTATCTCGAGGACTTGTAGAATAAGCACTCTGGAACTCAGTGTCCGAGTCATCTGTGATGGAACTGATAGTGGGTGTAAGAGCAGGAGTGGAGGGTGTTGCTGTTTCGGAAGGAGAAAGCGCAGATAGAGATGCCCCAGAGGCAATCTTACGCAGTGGTTGATTGGAACCAGCAACAGTACCCTCATCAGCACTACTCTCTACATGCGGTTCCACCTGCGGGATTCTCTGATCCGCCCGAGGAGAAGCTGCCCGGCGAGGGGTAGCCGAAGTAGATATGGTATCCACTGAGCGACGGGTGATGGTACTGGTTTGCGTCGAGGATGCGGTGTTGCTACGAGTTCTCTTTCTCGCTTTACCAGGAGGGTTATTCACTAGCTTCGTTCCTTTGGCTAGACGTGCACGAACAGGAACGGCATCAGAGTCATTGCTTCGTTCATCCTCTGTAGAACTATGAGCCGCAGCAGACCTGTTCTTCCATTCTTGAACCCGTTCTGAGGCTAGTGCAGTCTCAAGCTAGAAACTCAGTTAGCTCTAGCGTTGCAGAGAACAGATCGAGAGAGTTCACCTTCTGTTGGATCTGCAATACTTTCTGTGCGATTCTATCGCTCCTTTCGCTGATACCCTCGTCCACGGCCATCATGCCATCTTGCACCGACTCAGCCTGAGTTGCGGAGAAGCGTTTTGTCTTTGGTGACGCTGGCGTCTCGTCTTCTTCCGCAATCGTGTCAGTCTCGCGATCACTTTTGCTGTGCACAAGAGTCTCATCACCGTTCTCATATTGTTCCGCAAGAGTGGATTCCGTCCCGAAGCTGCGTAATCTGGATCCACTACTGACCGAACCGTCCTTGATTGGGTCACTGGCTCTCCGCGAGCGTGAGCCACTGGCGGTAGACCTCGCCGCTGACATACGTGACCCCGGACGGGATGCGAGGTCCCCTTCATAGTCAGATTCGTCGACGTCGACAGCCATGGAAGCAAGTGCACGTTCGATCTGGGCCTCGACCTCAGCAACCATCTCCGCACGTTCTTCTTCCATCCTTTCCATGGTCTCGCGCATGCGTTCCAGCTCAACAAGAGCTTCCTTGTGTGCAACCTCCGTATCGTGCAGCTCTACAAAGCTTTGTTAGTATCGCTGTGTGCAGTTCTCAATCGATGCTTACGTGTCTGCAATTTCGCCTTCTCGGCAGCTGTGAGGTGAACCAAACCACTTAGACGCTTTGTCTCTCTTTGCTCCTTTCCGATCTTGCTACGCAGCTGGCCAGCCTCGGCACTCAAGCGCTCCGCGTATTGCTCGAACGTGACAAACTTATCCCGCCATAAATCTGCTTCCGTCATGAGGAAGTTGAGACGGCGAGAAAGACGACCGATCTTTGTCTCAAGGTCATCACGAGCATCGACAAACGCAGTCGCACGCTTGCGAATGGATAACTGAATGTGCTGCTCGGCAGCAGTGAGCTTGGGGATGCGCCGAGCTGCGCCGAAAGAGGAGAGGCGCTTGAGAAACGAAGGCTTCTTAAACTGGGCCGACGTCACGGTTATCATCATAAAATCGGTCAGACGCAAGATAACCGACCTTATCCTGCAGTACACTATCAAATGCTTGGATAATCCGCGTGGAATGCCACCATTCAGGTGCCTTGATTGTGTCTGCGACAGCAGCAGTTTCACCACCGCGTTTTGCCTGAATTTTGCAGACAGGGCGGAATCGACCCGCAGGGAAAGCTTCTTTGAATTCGCTAAAAATAGCGCGCATAGCCTCGGTCTTCGCATTCAGATCAAAAGGAGCAATAGAACTCACGAAGGCACACTATGATCGGGATGATAGTGCGGCTCAAATGCAATAAGAAGACGTTGCCTATATTTGTCCCGTTGCTGCTTAGTAGACACTACACCAGGAGGGGGAGATGGACAACTCAGGTAGTTGATGTCTCTGTTTATGGTGAGCTCCTCTGGTACTTGACAGTCAATGAGATAACTTACAGATCAACTACGCAAACCTCGGGACCCGGACGCACGCTGTATCTCGTTTCAGTGGCAAGGCCGAGAATCCATGGTCCGGGGTCGTCGATATAGATCTTAGCATCTCGGGCGTGGACAGCAGGCAGGGCAATCCCAGACCAACCCCGTAACTCGACAAGGTACTTGATCGTGCATACTGCGATCTACATTGGAAATTTGTCAGTTTCACGATAGAGCGTTCTCCGACATCAAGAACGCACACCGAGCATGGCGGGATGCCTAGAGTAAAATAGGATACGACCCGTCGGCGCCAGGGCAATCTGAAATAGCGTCAGCACGGAACAGGTACGAGGTGCCCACAAACGTGACGGACTTCGCATATAGTGAGAATGTTATCGATGTTCAAGCACTTGAACAAGGGCCACATTGTAAAATTGATGTCCACGAGACCGCGGCCGAAGTCCAAGCCGCCAGGAAAGCGGGCAATAACCTCAAGGTTTGTGTCATCTGTTTGTGGGGAAGTAGAGTTCGTCGAGGGGATAGGCGTAGAGGAAGCATCGAGCTTGATGAGATCACCGGCGCGTGGAGCGGGATGAGCCAGGATTTTGGAGATTTGCAAGGTGTGCGACTGCACATCTTTAGAGAAACGAGCCCAAGAAAGGGTTAGGTAGTCACGCATGAGATCGTAGATCGGGTGACGCGACACCAGCGCTAGATAAACTAATCAGAATCTTTCACGTGAGGCTCGAAAGATATACGTACTGAGTGCATAGGGGAGCCAAAATACGGTATCACCAGGCAAGAACAGGGTACTCTCACCAGGACCGTGGCCACCTACGGTACTTGCCACGTCATAATCGCTCTCGCTGATAGCACCTGCGTCAGTTTCGGCACCCTCGCCATCGGTCTCACCGTCGGTACCCGACCAAGGCCCTTTGAAACTCTTTTTATTCACTCTCCTGGATGGATCTCCAGGGGACTGTGAAGACCCTGGAGGGTTTGAAGAACGCAACGCTCTCAGGCGCGTAGCCACTAGTGATTGCGCACTCTCCTTGCGCGCACGACCTGCCTCGAGAGTGCGGCGAATTGCCGAACTTCTCTCAGCATCAGCGTGACTCCATACGGTCAGACAGACACCATGGTAGGTAACTGTTGCACCATTTCCACCAGACGCTTGTTTTTCGAACATGGGAGATGTCGGGGATGCTGGAGGAGGTTGGAGCACGCTCGGCGGACCAAGGTATGCTGATGAAGGACGGGCATTGAGGAATGGGTCATCAGTGTAAGGGAAAGAAAATGTGGGGGCTGCAGAAGAACGATCCGTTCCGGTGAGGACAGATGCACGAAGTAAACCCACTTCAGACGGTGCAGGCGCGAGGGGAGTGGAAGGCGCGGGAAGAGTAAACGTAAAAGTATGAATTGTGCTCGCCGGCTGAAGCGTCGACGCGATGATTTCAACTTCACGCGTGAACGAGAGCTATACGAGAAAGGGATTAGCAGCGATAGCAACCACACGACAGGAACATGCCTTGAGCGCTTTTGATAACATTTTTCCTACTTCGGCTTTTGACAGAGCACCCGCGCCCTTGAGGATCTCAGTACTCTCCCCCTTATTTGCTTTCTTCTTTTTCTTGCCGCCACCAGCACCAGGGCTCACGGTACTGCCGAGAACCTCGGGCCTCCACCAGCGGGCGACTGCACCCTCTGAGTGAGATAGACCGAGGACAGCATCGGGGTCGGCCAGAGTCCATGTATGAGGACTCTTTGGAAGCCCTGAGACAACGTAAAGTGAAGTGAGGGGAAGGGTTGGGGCATGTTGTGTTGGGGATGATGGTGCTGAGCGAGTTGATACGACAGACGTGCGGGTAGAGGCTGGAATGGGCTCCATAGACTTGCGATGAGCAATTCCTAGTATACGAGAAGCCTTATCCACTGGACGGGGAGAATGAGGAGGTTGGGAATGAGATTCTTGTGGAGCTGATACAGTAATATAGTCAAGCTCGTCGGCGAGAGCGGCGTCCGGGGAAGAGGAGGAAAAAGGAGATGAGGAAAGAAGAATATTAGAAGATTTGATATTGGTATGGTTGTTACCGGAATGGTTCGTATTCGAAATGTTTACGATTGTGTTGCTTTGAGCCGCGTTAGTGCACGCGCTTGAACTAGACTTGATCGACGTTTTGTGGCACCGATTAAAAGAAATATCAGAGTAACGCGACTTGAGCATCTTTTCACTGATACCAATTGGTAAAAAAGCAATAGGGCTCGCTGCTACAGCAGGCGCCTGAATGTTTGGTCGGCGAGGCGGAAGCAAAGACATTTTACAATATTAGACCGGTCACCACCGGAGAGAAATGAGTAGCAAAAGGAACGAAAAAAAAACGAATGAATAGGATGTGCAAAGTTTTAGATGGAAGTACAGGTCAAAAATGAAGCTGAAGCGGGGGACTAGTTCAACTTCGCCTCGAGTAGACGTTACTTACGTCGGTGTGTGCCGTCCACTTTAGAGTTGGTGTTATAAACTGCGAGACACCTTGTCTTTCGCCTCAACTTAACCTAATGTCACGCGTCGATGTCGGTAAAGAGATTGTGCACTGGCAAGCAAGCTGCACCTGCTAGTTGTACACAAAGTCAATATGGAGTCAACTTCATGAACGGGAGCACAAACGGGATCGACATAGATCTAGATGCCATTCACACACTCATCTTCCTAATTTACGGAAGCTCCTGATGGAATTACCAAAATTGCGTTGTCAAGGGACGCACAGGTCGTAAGTGACCTCAGTATTAGCCCAAGAATAAGGTACATTACCTGCCAAGACCCTCCAAGCCCGAGGATTCACCCATACTCCTGATAGTGATGTTTGAGCAGCCCTGAGCAGTTCGCTTAATTCAGTCAAAAAGTCAACAACGTTCGTTTGCAGAAAACTCAGATGTCTATTTTCAAACATCATACAACATATGATCCACAACCTCAGTACCAAGTTTCCAAGTAATTTTCAAACAGACTGATATGCACCAGACTGGTTGGCAGGCTGGGGTGCTGGAACAGAGCTACCTTTTGAGGGAGTACGCGGGGTGTCGTCATCCACGGTCTGGTAGCCATCGCGGCCACCGGAGGTGAAACCCCCAGGCATGGACCAAACTATGATAGCATGAACGAATTAAGGTCAATTACTTTGTAAGGTTAACTTACCCGTAGGACCATTGATATCAGTTCCGAGGCCCGGGAATTGTCCTCCGCGTTGACGCATGGCGATTAAAAAGGCACCAGTTGTTGGTATCTCGATGGGAGTCAATTCAAACGGTAACGATAGTATTTCAATTACTCACCTTCAAAAGCAAAAGGATAACAGTAAGGAACCTAAGGAAGCCACCTTGTTCATTCTGGATCATCCACAGTACGTCATAGAATATCGACAACGATAACAAGCCCGCGAACTGGCTTTGTGTTGAGGTCACGAAGGAGGACAAAGGTTACAATACGTACCAAGGTCAACGACTGCGCCGCATCGCTGCTCTCCTGTACATATGAACCGAAAAGGAAGATGGGCAGGTTATATGCTGGGACAGTAAAAGGACTGATTATAAAGGCCAGCGCCTGCGCAACGCATAATGAGCGATCCTTCCCGCCAGGATGACTGAAGATGAACGCCTACTTACAGTCTCTGCGAGTAGTAATTTCGCTGGGTCAAGTGCCTGGATAAAGTCTGCCATCTTTGCTCAAATGTAGCTGATGAGTCTTGGACTAAGAGAGTTCAAAAAAGGACTGCGGGACTGGCGGGACTTCCTTTTTGGTGGCAGAATTACGCCTTGTTCGATTTCTTCTACTAGTCCGGTCGCAGACTGAATTCAACCCTTCATTAGTCTCGTCAGCGTCTGCATGTCTCAGCCTGGTGTCAGCTAACATACTAGTAGCAGGCGTTTTGCGCGTTTCCTAGGGCAACTTACATTCACCAAGCGTCTACTCATGCCGCAGCTTCAGTGCAAAATAATTGAGGAGCTGCTCCGAAAGCCTTTTGGTCCATATCGCGACGAAGAAGTACTCAGTGCAGAATGCCAAAGCAAGCCAGGAAAGACACTGGTACTGAATTCATTTCAGCTGGCTTACGACGACGAGATTATTGGGTACTGTTCCTGCCCCTTTGTTCCCCATGCATCTTGCTAAGTCTTCTTGACAAGTCTCGATGAATCCGAGCAACCTCTAGGTACCGGAGAGGTCGACACTCGACAGTACCGCTTTCGTGGAATTCTTAGCATACACTCGCCCGTTTGGCTATCTCAAGTCGGTGTCAAACGAGTGGAAGCGGAGCTCAATCTGCGTGCCAACACGCGTAGTATGCGTGAAGGGGAACGTCCTACCCCCACAATAACGATCGAAGGACTATTTAATAAGAAAACAGGATATCTTGGGCGTACGCCCGTACCAGGTGACAACGAGTTCAAGCTTGAGCTCAGGTTGAAAATCCAGGGTTTCAAGAACTTCCCAGCTCTCTATATGATATGTGAGTTCGGATGTCCGTACGTCGCAATTCCGAAGGACTAAGGTCCGACATCTTCAGCCAAGCTAGTTCCAGATGGATTGTTCTGGCATTCCAAAGACTGGTGGGTATCATGTCATGTGTCATTCTAGACACGTCTTTACTCTCCTTTAGTAACCGCGCCTACGAAGTTGCAACAATGGACATCTACACCTTCCAGCTCTCCGAGAACTTCTTCTGGCGCTACCGTCTCCTTGCTCTCATGACAAAGATTGTTGGAGAGGGACGAACGCCGCTCGAAAAGCGAACCCCTGAGTGGTTTGTGTCCCAATACCTCGAACGGTTTGCTCATCCTGCCAGTGACGAACACGAGCGACTCATCTACGACTCTACCGATTCCGATATTGTTGATATCGACGAAGGCAGGACTCGCTTGCCCCGTCACCCAAGGCGAATACACAGGCGCGATATTCTAGGGCTATTTGCTGCCCAGTCGGAATGGTTCGTTACTGATAACGAAGTAAAGCGCAAGCGGATTTTCCCCTTCAAACCATGGAATGCATTTAGGAAGGAAGTCAGAAAAGCAAGATGGCAAGCTGCACGCAACAACGTCATTTGGGGCTGGCCAGTTGGTCGTGAGCATCAGCCGGACCTGGAGTCAGACCCAGATAGCGAAGAGAGAGATGATGAGGATGATGAAGATAGTGAGGACACAAGAAATGTGGTGGAGCGGAATCCCATCATTGGAAAGACAAATGAGATTGTGCGCCGTAAAATTGACAGAGCCAAGACCAGACGAACCCCACCGTCTGCCCGGCGTGTCAACGAACCCAGTTCGTCGTCGTCCTCAGATGAACTCGATCCTGCTAGGGCACATGCATATATGTCGGATTTTTCTCGGGAATCATCTAGTACTGCTTCTGATTCTTCGGATGAATCCGTAGACGAGCGCCTATCAGATTTCGGAGAGCTCATTCCACGCCAGTTGTCTCAAGTCCCGGAGTTACCAGGCCCCGATAACCGCTGGTGGTGTCCTGTACCAGATTGCGGACACATGGTTGACTTGCAACATCTCACACGAGATGACATAAAAGCCCTCTCAGCAACCACCGTTTTCTATCTCATGGAGAAGAAATGGCGGAGTATTCGAGAAGATGAGAGAGCTAAGAAATGTTTTTTTGAAATGGTGTCTAAGCATTACGAGGATCATTTTGCAGACCTTGGCTTAAGGTTTGTTCAGACTAGGGGAAGGGTAAGCAGGTCAAGGCCTGTCTTTTACAATCGTTAACATTTTTACAGGTCGGAATAGACTTGATCAGAGATAAACGACGTGGTCAGCAGGCGGTGGCTATCGTGAAGGAGGAACTTACTTAAGAGGCCCCTCTGATCCCACTTTGGGGCCCTATGCACAGGTTGTAATATAGGTAGCAGTCCGTTAATAACATCGCATGGGACTTATTGTGTAGTCAGTAACTCTGGCGGCCCCAATATCTTCAAGGAATGACAGGATAATGATGATTACAGAGATATAGTCCGCGTGGTATAAATTATCTAGGTCTAGCATTCCGTCGCAGGAAAATGTCTCTTAGCCACACCCATCGCCTTGCCGTCCTATGTGTTTCACCAGCAGCGCCACCACGCTCTTCCATGTCCTGCTGCGAGAGTTCAGCGCGAGGGCCGCTCAACACTCCCCTGTCCCGACCCTGTCCCTCGCTCACAGTCCGCCTCCGGCCACCCGCAGCACCAGTCAAAGACATGCTCTCATTGACGACAGCTGCAAAGCCAAGCCCTACTCCACTGATACGCCTGGGAGTTCTTCTTGGCGAAGGGAGAAGCCCGAATCCAGGGCTGACGGGTGAGAGACCTATTGTCAATCCCGTGGGAGACAATATACTCGACGATTGCTGCTGATGTAAAGATGAGGCCATAGTGCGCATAGATGCAGATGGATCGATGATAGTAGGGTGCAGACGTGGTGAGCGGGAGGTGTCTGGTAGGGGTGGGGAGACATCCGTCTGGTGGGCTGTGAAGGGAGGTGACAGTTGTGAAGATGATGCACAGAGAGTGTGCAAGGAGACGGAACTCTGGGGGAAAACAGCGCCCTCCGACCGCACTCGGCGGTCCATAGCAGGTGCAATGGGCCCAGAAAGGGATGAACCCTGGGGACCAATGGCAGTACTTGCATATGAAGGGTAGTGTGGCGGGGGGGTTGTCTCGGGAGTGGCGCTTCCGCTGTTATATACTGCTTGGTCTTCAATGTCAGAATCAGTTGTTGCATCACTTTCATCAACGTTAGCTTGGGCACTGACTGCCCAAACCCCAGCAAGAAGAACGAACATGCCAACTATGACGAGGATCAGGTGCCACCCTGGGAGTTGTCCGAGCTGGTCGAAGTAAACCAGACCATTGATAATCGATGAAAAGTTATAAAAGCAAAAGGCAGCTAAACATCTTCGTTAAAGGCACTATCAGGAAAAATACAAAGGAATGGGACACACATGGGCAGACAAACGCAGGGTCTGCAAGCCTCAGACCACGATTAAGGTACCAGAGTTGTCCCAGAGCAAAAACAATAAGTCCACCAACAAGAATCCATGCCTCCCATCTGAAAAATTGATTGACGCCGCGGAATGTGAGGACAAGAAGTTCAACACCAGACTTTGCGAAGATCAAACAAAGCCCAGATAATGTCCCTGAAGCTGCAGCATATGCCAAGGCAAGGAGAAGCGGAGTTCGACTTGGAAGTGGTACGCGTAATGGTGATGGGGACTTTGAACTGTGTGGAGTAGGTTTGGTAGATGGAAGGCGGCCACACTTTGGATCGAGCAGTGGTGTCACCTCAGATGCGAAGTTGCCGTTGACTTGTTCCCCAGCGAGATCAATAGATGAGTTAGATGGCCGTTGTGTGCCCATGGGAGGCAGCAGTGCGGGAGAGTTTAAAGGAGAATCATGTGCAGAGGTGCAAGGAGACGACAGGGGTGAGTCACGGTTAGCCTGCAACAATGAATAGGCTGCAGCTTCCAGTTGTCTCTTGTAAGAATATTCAACGCCGTGCGTCTGCAGGAATGTCATATGTACAATAAAAATGCTATATCGCGGCAGGCACATACCACGATAAGGCATACGAGCAATATGAAACCCTCGGCACAGAACCAGACTATAAACGCAGGACGCGCGAAAAGTGCCATTAATTCGTCGAGACTCCGCGTGGTTTCAGGAACGATCCCGTAGATAGCAATCAAGGCAGCGCCACCAGCGATGAGAGCTGTTCCCAGGAGCATTCGTGGGCGAAGGAGGAGATGAGCGAAGAAGGCATTCCAAAGGAGAGAAACAGCGCCCAGGGGTGCCAGTATGACGACCGGAAGGGATGCTATTTGTATGAAAGATCCAAATACATTAGATATCAAAAAGATGGCTGACAAACGTTGTGTTAGTCGATAGAACGAATATAAGCAAAGGTACCTTGAGTGCGCTCACCAAATCCTATCAACCATAATCTAACAAATGTAAGCGGTGACTGAGTTATAGAAGATATATATAACTCACGGTCGGCGGTGTTCTACTTTCTGGTCTTGTTCTGGGAGCTGTGAATTATGAACATGGCTACGACGCTGGACCGCAAGACCAAGGCTTTGGACGAAAGATGCGAGCAGCCCGATAAAAATTCCTAAAGGTATGGATATGTCTTGATTTAAATTTGTGTTGACAAAGAGTGAAGTAGGTGCTGCGACGACATGGGTTATAGAGGATGTGATGTGCGCACAGAGTATTAAGCCCATCGACGGCGAGAAGGCAATGAAGTAAAACTGAGTGAGAATGTCAGTGTCTCCTGCAGCTTGTCATTCAGGTGCCAATTTGGTGTTACGCAGGCACTGGCAGTAGTAGCTAGAAATAGAATAATCTGTGGGCAAGAAGCGCAGGCGTTGTAGTAGGTTGTAGTAGTAACCGAAGTGGGAAGAAGCTACACACGTGATCGACACAAAATATTAAGTGGCGAAATTCGAGGGAGTCAAGTTGAAAAGTACTCATGAAATTTAAAGGATATCCATAACTATTCTATCACGACTTTGCTTATTAAAATAATAATAAGCTGACTGGGGGGTCTGCACAAGCCACCATACGCAGGACACTAGAAAATCTGAACATGTTCAAGCTGACGACTGAGTACAATCAGGAGGATCAAATTGATATCAAGGAGTTCGAGATTCTCGCTGGGGACTTCAGGTGTTGTGTATGTAGCTCAGGCTACACTGAGTTGCAGACAAAGGAAGATGCGGGAACCTCGATAGTCATGGAAGCATGAGGTAGTCGAACTTGAAATTAGACTGCCAACTTAGAAGGAGGAAGGGCAGCCTTCTTATCTTCCGAGTCTGAGGTGGCCTTTTCGCTTCTGAAGAGCTTCGTCTCCTTGATATTCTTATCCTCCTCAACAGCGCATACCCTCTCTCCGTCTGTCTTGCGAGCAAGTGCTGCTTGGCACCTGGTTTCCATCTCCTTAATACCGATATAAGTTTCGCGAAACGCTCGAAGTAAGGCTGGGTGTAATACCTTCTTCGCGCAGCAAGCAGTAACTGACCTTCGGCGTGGCCTCTATGCTATTGACATAATATGTGGCCTGACCGAAGAACCCAGTTTATGATGACTGTAAATTAAAAGACGTCGATGTCATGAATGACTATCCCCCCCCCGGAGACATTGACGCGTATCATCATTGATAGTGTCCGTGGTGTCTCAGTCACGACTGAAGTCTGATAGCATTTCGCGAGCGAAAAGTGCAGCAGCAAGGCGTTGGCATTCTGAGGTAGGTCCCGACGCGGTACTGCCATAGCAGATCGTACCCGTGGGCTTTTAGGCTAGATTAGAAGGGACGAGTATCTTCATTCGCCTATGGGGAGACTAGGCTGCGATAGAGCTTGCTCAGCGAGCCTGAACGAGGTCGCTGTACGACAACAGTAACCCACTTGAAGTTCGTGTCGACTTTAATGATAATATTGTTAAGTTTATGACCGCAGCAAAATTTGTGGCTGTGTACTCCATTAATATTCCCTGGCGTGCTCTGATACGGCCATCAACTTCTTCAAGTTTAGCGCCGCTGGTCACTATACGTGTCTACCGAGCATTGTCCCGAACAATCACTACCATAAGACCAACCCTCACAACCCCTCGTTCAAGATACCCACTTTTCAAGGTCATGTCATCCCCTAGCAATTCCAATGCTCAATCTAGCGATGCGTCTTCGACGTCCACTTCGGACCCTTCCGAGTCATCTCTTCGTGGACGAGGAGTCTATGAAGCGTCTGGCGATGACGACTCATCTGTCTTCACTGTGATAGGAGACTGGGACACCACTCCTAGTCCTATGGGTTCTCAAACAGACTTGTCAGGTTCTTTAGAACAAGACATGTCTGAGGTCCGTCTTCGTCAACTGTATGACGAGGAAGAAATCGAACGTTATCTCCACCTTTTTTCTGCTGTAAGTTCTTGCCGCACTCGATGGGTGGTCTATCCTGAGGTACAACAAGTATGTGACGGAAGTGAGACTACCAGGTGCTTTGCGTAGCACCAAAGCCAAGCCATCAAGTAGCTCCCTCCACCTTCCCCGGTTACCAAAACCACCACCACTCCCTCCACGACCATTTGTTCGTCGTACCTCCGAACAAGCAGAGCCACCTACGCTTCTTCCACCCGTCATTCCTCCAAGACCGGTAGATCCCTCCTGGTCCGAACAGATCGCCATTGTGAGTGCCACCGCTATAACAGTAATTAAATCTAAACTCTCTCCAGAAATATATACTACCAGCTCTTCCACCGATGCCTCATCCGCCGCCATCCTTCGCTTTAAAACGCCTGAAACTCACTAGCCAGCGTTTTTTCCTTGCAGTAGTTCCTCCTTACCAGACTTTCTTTCTTTCCATAGCAAACTTAGCATTATGGAGGGACCCACAACGTAGCGGGCTATGGTGTGCAGTAGGTGGACTGTTACTTTTTGAGATCGATATATTCACCAGCATCTAGGCGTTCTGGGGACTATGGCTGTATGATCTTCTTCTCCCAGCACTGATGTTTCGAATCTTGTGGGAGATGCTCAGCCGGAGACTTCTCCCGTATCCCACTCTAGAATCTTTACAGATGCGGCGGAAAGATTCAGAACGAGCTAGGGAGTTTGGAGATGAAGTTCTCGAACGCCTATCGGCACCTTCGATGGGGCCGAAGGATATATTCCAGCTCTTCAAATCTCACAGATCCGCAGCAAAAAGTAAAATCAAGCCCCTTGCGAAGGATGCAGGGGCACTTCAAACGAGTTTAACTGGCGATGGTGTCGAGGATGAAGCGGCTACTGTTCTTGATGACGATACTCAAGAAGAGCAGGACATCAAACGAGAACTCCTGCACCTTCTCAATATTGTCGCTGATATTCACGAACGTATTAAAAAGTACGTACCCTGTGATTCGTGATGGACGGTAAACTTACCGGATACTTGTTGTTGTTAGCATTTTCATCTGGAGACGACCAGCAGTCTCTCAAAGATATTCAATCGTAAGTAAATCCTAGGGACTACTTCAGCATGTGCTTGACTTCTAGCAAGATTTTGGGTGTTGTGGCCTGCTGCACCCTGATTATTCCCGCGCATTACTTGGCAAAACTTATATATGGCGGCTGCGGGATATTGTTCTGGCATGTTATTCCTGTGTTGGCTGCTCTGCCACCAGGCGCTCGAGCCAGGTCCGTGTTTAATATATGTTTGCATCATATTTTGATAAGCGGCGAAATAGACTGCCAGGTCCGTTCGCTGATGCTCCCCACCGATGCCGACTATGCTATAGAGATAATTACGCAGAGGATTGCTAGGGGCGAGGAAATCAAACCTCCACGCAAGCCTCGTTCTTTGAGTGCTCGTGCTAATAGCGCAAACGACGGCGATCTTTCTGAGATTCCGTCGCCCGATGCATCATCCAGAAGCCAAATGCAAACCAATGATGGTGTTGATTGGAAGAAGTGGGGATCGCGTGTCGCGCACGGCAAGTTGTTGCTTAGTGAAGGCAAACAACGCCTTTCTTCTGGACAAGTGAATACGGTCGGTCTGACGTCCGCAACTTTACGAGACGAGGAAACACATAGTACGCCTATAATAAATCAGGTTGTGATACGACAATAACTGATCCACTCTCAGCACATCCTGCACATCACACTTCAGCGCCTGGTCTAATCACACTGACCGCTACCACAGTATACTTCACAACACTCGCATCACAACAGGCAAAATTAATTATACCTCGCGAGAACCTCTGCGGCGTGAAGAAAACCGGTTTGATGAAAGGACTTCTAATTTCTTGGGTTGACGACGAAGATGGGCAAATAGAAGAGAAGTTTCACTGGGTCGGCAATCGAGATGAGCTTTTCGCGCGCCTTCTTGGTCCAGATAGTGCCCGATGGATGCGAATCTAAGGCTTGACGCGTCGGTGGCTGAATTAAAACTCAGAGAGCTCCGCGCAAAGGACCATGCCCTCAGCGGCACACTTGTATGCTTTCCCTCCTCCCTCATAATTTATTCGGCCTCTTCGCCTTTACCCGCCTTTCGTATGTTTATTGTATGCATTTCTGCCCATTGATATCTTGCTATTACCGTAACCTATTTGCTAACGCGATTCTGTCTTTTATCTGCCACCGCTCGCTCATTCTCCAAGGACATCAAAGTACTCCAGAATGTTTTTCTCTACCGAACTGTTGTCCAAGAGGGATAACGGATTCGGCCTCCTTTGGTGCTGTTTTTGTATGCTTCATTGACAATGGAATCATATCTCATTGCTTGATGTCCCAAATACTAGGCTAGCCGCAACCCTTGGCTCGAAATCAGCCTTTAAGAAATTACCCAAGCGCTCCGTGTTGACTGCAGATATATCTCAATTGTGTGATCTGATTGCTTCTCCTTCGGAACCTCTGGCTCTTCGCCTCTCAAGTAACTTGATGGTCGGGGCCGCACGGTAGGCAGATCATCTTCGTTGGGGCCCTTTATGCTCACTAAGTTCCAGTGTATATAAAGGTTTTATAATCTATGGCTGTATAACCAAACACTGTACATTTATCATTACTTCTAGTCAAGCAAGAACTCTTTCTTTCTGATGTCACGACTTGCTTCAACTCCCTCAAGCGAGTCGTGCAAGAGTTCCGTTCGATGGCTGCGTCCTGATGCCCAGCTTCAGATGGCTCAGCCGAGCGTCAGGTGAGTTAGCTCAAACGATGCGAGTCTCCTCTGACACTTCCTGTCAAGGCCATCAGCTGTTACCCTCGCTGCTGATCCTGGCGCCGCATTCGCCATGGATTTTGACGCAATGGTCGCTGTACGTTTCTGCCTCTCTTTCTGTTCGTCTCTAAGCCAACGATGTGGCTAGGATTGGGACGAATACTTGAACATTGGAAGTACGTTAATTTACTGTGCTTCAACTCGCGTGTACTCATCCCAGTTGTAGACAACAAGGGAGGAGCGGAAGAGGGCTTATCCGATGATGACTACAACCCAAAAGCCAAGAGGCCAAAAGGAAAGGGTAAGCAGTCTGCAGTCGCACCGGCTTCCACCACGGAAAACGCCCGCGCCAATGCGCATACACTCAACGAAAATCACGACCTCTTCCTCGCCAATTCTTTTGATGCTTCATTTGGTGGCAGCGGCGCCAACATGATTTCATCTTCCCAGAATGATACCTTCGGCTTCGACGATAGTTTCTTTGGCGCTTTTGATGGCCTGGATATTGGGGAGGGTGTTGGCGATGACGTCGTAAGGGAACTTGGTGAAGGCTGGGGAGCCGCCCTGGAGAATCCAGTCGAGTGTGTCCTTTTTTGTCAAGCGGAAATTTTGCTGAAATATCCTAGCCATGATATGCAAGTAGATGAACCGATTGATTTCGGGTTCAACGATGCAGATAACCTGTATTTCGAGCACGATCCCATGAACGATGCCGGTGCATTGGAGCAGAATGTCTTGCCCCTTCCTCCGTCGGCCTTTGCTACGCCTCAAGGCACACGACGGCCCGGGGGCTCAGCAGGTATGACGCATTATTCCATATTGACCATCCTTATGTATGAAAATTCAAAGCTACCCTTCCCTCTTCTTCCCTCACCGGACACTCCCTCGAATCCTCCACTGGTCCTTTGACTGTAATTGCCCCGCAGGTCGAAGAGACCGAGCCCGTTGCACCTGACGATCATCCGGCTGAACCCGTACCTAGGAAGATCAAGCGTGCCAGGCTTCTTTTAGATGTGCGAACGGAGTTGACGGATGACGAATTAAAGGTAGGTGGTAACGTCGCTCGTGGCCTGTGGCTATAACCTGCCTTTCTGTATAGGCTGCACGTCTGTATTATCTGGAAGAGCAGAATGCTATTCATCGACAACTCGCGCGGAAGAATTTTGAGAAGAACCAAGGCAGGCTCGTCGACGGTTTGCTTTGGGGTATTCCAGAGCACAGTGAGCATCGATTTTTTTTACTTGCGCTCATTATGAGCTTACACCTTGAAGTGCAAGCCAAAGAACTAGTAGACTTTTGGCTGGATCATTTCAAAGCACAATTGGACGCTCGATCTGCGTTCATGATTGACCCTCATGGTCAGTATTACAACACTTCAAGTGTGCCTTATTCAATACGCATGATCTTCAGATGACTCTCCTCCGCCAAAACGGAGAAAAACAAAAACCAATGCTGAAATCTTTGGTGGAGTTGAACATGTTCAAGTCCGCCCTGAAAGTCCTGCGTTTGGTGTAGGCCAGGCAAGCCCAGATAACACGAATTTCGATGCCGGTGGAGCAGATATTGACATGAATTTTGACATGAATTTCGACGTGGGTGGTAAGTTGCATCAATTACCATGGATGGCTATCACCCAATATCCTTTTCAGATGGCTGGGGTGCTGTAGACGATGCGGAACCAGAATTGCATAATCTTCGCTCGTCCGAGGTAGATTGGCTGGCAACGCTTTCCATACTCTCTTTGACAAGGTTTTAGGAACCGGGACAAGCACGTCACGCCCCTCGCCCAATGTCCGTGTTGGGCGACGAATTCGGCTTGGATGTCGTGCAGAACTCCCTCTCTCAGCGTAGCGCGCTCTTCCCTTGGGACAATGCGGGTGGAAGCTCCTCAGTATCTGGTGCAGTACTCCTTGGTCGCCAGAGCAGTGACAAAATCAGTGTTGACCACGCCGAGACTCGCATGAGGGGCAGCTCACTGAGCCGACGAGGAAGTTCTATTCCAAGTCAACAAGGCGACGTATTTGGTGGTACTGCAGGTTTACCTGCGAGTCCTCAAATAATCGACGACGATTTTGTATTCAATGGTACGTCGATAAATTCTATGACTTCCCAGGCAATATAGCTCATGGAGTCGATAAGTCCCAGCAGGCAATTCTGTGGCCGAATCTCAATTGTCCGAGGTCAATCTGGCCACCCTCGAGAGAAATTCCTTTAACTTCCTTGAGTAAACATTTTCACTTCCTGCCATTCAAACTTGGTTTACTCATACATTGTGCTGAAAGATACGCAAAGATGCAATATAAATCTCTGTCTGGGTCGGCTAGATTTCTCGCTTTTGACGATATCGTGCCGCAGACCACCAGCACTGCACACGTCGCAGCAGCAGCTCTCTATCACTGTCTTGGTGCGTGTCCGTTGATCACGGTGCTCTTCGCCTTTCACGCAGCGGCTATGTATTTCGTGCAAGCCGGACCATATCCGAGTACGCAATGCAGTTCACTGATGCCGATTCGACCAGTGTTAGGCACGAAGGACCTCATTCAACTTCGTCAAGAAGAGGCATATAGAACCATTGAGATCCGTATCAAGTGATAACTTGGCGCCCCCTTGTCGGCCGAAATGCATCGCAATCGATTACGTCAAATTCTTGTAGGGTCTCCCATAGACGAAGGAAGAGTCTCAGCGATTACTCCTTGTTGTACTGTAACACTAGCCGCCATCAGTTGTTATTCAGACTTCTTAGAAGTGACCTGTCATGTTATTGAAATTTGAAATTTGACGCCCAATACTCGGCTCTAGAATCATGATCAGGCCACCGGACAAAATCTTGATCGTGCCATTTTCCACCCGAATAACTCTCCGAAGCGGATGTTAAAGGTCCATCGTTTCACGCACCTGTTATTTGCTCGTAAACTTTGGTATGTACATACTACGTGCTAGCCTCACCTCGTCTCACCTTATTCACAGTTTTAGATCACATTTCGCTCAACGCACTATGTCCTCGCCAGCAATTCTTGCCGCACGCGCTGTACTTGCCAGCATAGATCTCACCAACTATGACCCTGAACAATCGAGACTGATGGATGAGAAGTGCATTTTGGTCGACGAGCAGGACAATGCCATCGGGGCGATGGACAAGAAGACTTGTGAGTCTATTTGCTCTGTATTATATGGTGTTCTGATAGCAGGTTTCAATAGGCCATCTCATGGAAAATATCGACAAGGGTCTCCTGCACCGAGCCTTCTCTGCATTCATCTTCCGTCCTTCCGATGGCAAGCTTCTCCTGCAGCAGCGTGCTTCGGAGAAGATTACCTTCCCGGACATGTGGACAAACACGTGCTGTTCACACCCACTGGACGATTTCGAGGAGGAAAAGATCGAGAAGGGTCAGCTTGGTGTGCGGAACGCAGCTTCGAGAAAACTCGAGCATGAGCTCGGTATTCCGCAAAGCCAAACACCAGTTGACGAGTTCCAGTACCTGACGAAGATTCATTACCTCGCACCATCAAACGGAATGTGGGGTGAGCATGAAGGTGCGTTGACAACATGAAAATACGGGCACATGTCTTCACGCGTCCCCCATAGTTGATTACATCTTGTTTCTGACGGCGGATGTTACGGTGGCACCGAATAAGAACGAGATTCAGGACTACAAATATGTGGACAAGGTCGAGCTACAGGCCATGTTCAATGACTCTTGTGCGTGTGTTCACTGCGATATATCGGATACGAGCTTACTCGGGACTTGCAGCAAATTCTTTCACACCTTGGTTCAAGCTGATTGCTCGCGACTTCCTATTCGGCTGGTGGGATACCCTTTTAGAGCGCCAGGGCTTTGATGGTCGTGTCTACGCTAAGACTCTGACAGGTGTAGCTGACGGTTCAAAGGTTATTAAGATGGCATGATATATCTCTCGTGTTGTATGCTCGATGTATCTGTAGGCAGTCTTTTATTACAGGAAGACATAACAAATACCGGTTTGCATGTAAAACATCTTCGTTTCTGTACTGTGTAGAGAGATTGTCACTCCAAAGCTAATGCATAATCCACTCAATCACAACTTTAAAATTAATATTATAATTTTTATTCCGTACCCAGTTCTGTTTGCCAAGCACCATGCACAGTCAAGAGACTATGAAGTAGTTACTGAGCAAAGAGAAAATGAGATCCCAAAAAAGAAATCCCCCAACAACGCAAGCCAGTAGTGCAGCAGCAAGGTCATCACACCCCTCAAGTTGCAAGCAGAGCTCGAGAGGACAAGGGCGGCAAAAATTTGATAACCAAAGAATGAGGGCGGTGCCCTCATAATAGTGGTTAAACTATTAAGAACAGATACTACACTTGATCTAAGCCAAAAGGCCAGAGTGGTAAGGATTCATATTATTCAGACAGCCTTTTTATATCCTCTACACCAACGCACGGACCATTCCATAACAGGTCGGCTATTTCCCTACACTTTTGCGGTAAATTTCGAGATCCTGCAAAACTCGTGCAATTACTTGTTTTGGCGCGATCTGTCTGTCGATTTCAAAATATATTTGTCTTGTAGAACGTCTTGGCTGTCTTCTTTTGCGCCCCTTTTGCGCGCATGTCGGTTTTCATTGGGCCCCGTCCTGCTAGCGCTTCAAGATATGCCCTCGTGCCTTCTGATGCCGGACGAAGTTCCGTCAGTCATTCGCAGCCCGGTAAATTATGGAGCACCAGCCTGCTCTGCTCCAATCATCAGATACATGTGACTATGCACAGTAACATGATACATAGATTGAGCGCTGCTCATGCGGTATAGCACGTCAGCTGGCCCTACTGCTTATTTTTAACCTTGTCATTTACCACTACCAGTGTCTGGATTTCACTTCCTGAGGCGAGCGTGATAAGTAGCTGTACAGATGGAGTTTATGCGGACCAAAAAGAGGCACACTCCTGTAGGTGAATATGTAGCACTGTATTACAAACGCAAATGCTAGTCTGTACATAGTAGTAATAGCATGTATGTAAAAGGATACACCGCCTGCATGACGGTACAATATATATCCTTCCAGCCCGCACTGCACAGACGAGCAGAATTAGAACTATAAATACATATGGTAATCATACATCATGAGCACGTCGTTTGCAGTCTTGTCATCTTGTCGTTACACCCCGTCCTTGGGGTAGTGGGTACGTGGACTCTGTCACAAATGAACTCCATCGTTTGTTGACACGTCCGTCCTCTTAGTGATCAACATTCTGGCCAGCACGCGAACCGGCGCGCGAATTGGCACGCGAACGCATCCTCGTCCCGCGAAAGATCCAGATCTCCTTCTTGTTCCCAAACCCAAGCATCCCTGTACGCGCAAGAGGAACGGTGGCTTCAAGCCTGTAGCCCATCGTACTGATTTCTTTTAGCGCAGATGCTGCAAACACGTCTTTGCTTAAATCAGGGGCTAATATAAGAGCATGTCAGGAAGGAAAATTTGATCTGCAGATGAGACGAACCGCCAATTGCAGTCCTTTTGAGCTCAATTGTGTAAATTTCGTCCTCACTTGTTCGGTCTCCAGCAATTTTAAACGGCCATGCAGCACGGAGACGGGGACCAATCTGCTCGCCGACGCGGCGCGGGGGCCGGACGAGTGTCATCCTGTGTCCCGAGCGCGAGATATGCGCGGCAAAGAAGTCACAGTGATCATCGGGACCGCTATCTTGAAATACCAGCTGTGGATACTAAACACACGGTTAATTATGCTTGTATGACCCTCAGGGTAATTAAAGACATACGGAATAGCCTGTACTAAGAGAGGTACGGTACTGATAGCCGTTGTGTGCGAGACAAGTAAAGAGTTCGCATATCATTTTTTGTGCGCTAGATTTGATCAGCACGTGACACAGGATCAGTGATTGGATGATTGGACCTACATGACCCCCTCACTCCCGCTCGCAGTCCAAGGATTCCTGTTAAAGAGAATGCGAAATGCGTGATGAATGGGGATTGCTGTGGATACACCGTGTGGCCACATGGGGATGATATTCTCCTTTATTTCTTCTATGGTATCTTGGAAGGCCACATTGCCCATGCGGAGCTCGTTTGTGCCGTGAAAAGAGACAAACAAGTGTTCTGTGATGACATACAGCGTGGGAGTGACGATAACGGAACGGTTTGTGACTTACCTGGAAGATAGGACGGGTTAGAATTCATGCCGTTGGAGCGTGTCATGGGCATGAGGCGCTGGCGTGCACTGGAAGAAGTTCGAGTACGCTCAAGAGGGGGTGGGGCGGCGCTAATGGTATCTGAGCGGCGAGGGCCGTTCTTCTTCATTGCGGACTTGAGTTGGGCCTTCTCGGGGTTATATGAAGGCTTTGGACGTGTTGTATTAGAGCGCTTGACTCGTGGTGGGGGCGGGGCTGGCTCGGAGCTTGGTGGGATGAATGGTGTGTTTGGGTCCAGATGACCTTGTGAATATTGAGTGGCCTGATAATTTTCGCGAGGCCACGGTGGAGAATTGTATGGATCAGATGTAGGAAACGGTTGTCGCTGGTGCTGCTGCTGCTGCTGATAGCCAGGAGGGTAGTATGTATGGTATGGCTGACCATAGTAAGGGAAGTTAGACTTTGGGTAAGCTGAATGCATTGGTGGTCAGGGAAAGAGATAGGAAAGATGATCGTACTAGAGTTTGGTAGTCGATATCATAAAATGGCCTCGTGTTAGGTGAAGACAGCAGACATGAGGATTCCCATTCTAGGCCGCGGAGAATTCTCTGAGCGTTATTCCATTTCTCAGTAGGAGCGCTCAACATTAAAGTTCATGACTTCGGTCTACTTTCGGGCCTCGGCCCTATAGATCACGTGAGTATTTTACAGTTCTCTCGTGCTTCCGAGTTTCTCTCTGCAAACGCCCAAGTCGCACCAATACTCCTCCAGGCAGTGATGGCATCAACATTCTTTACATGGCTCAGATCTCCTGCTGCTCGCGAGTACTTCTTCAGTATGCTTCTCATCAATTATCATTTGCTTGAAACGTGTCTTATCATACTCTTCACAGGCACACATTTCTGGGGACCAGTCAGTCATTTCAACCTTTACAAGTTGCATAACTCACTCATTCCAGGTTGCAAACTGGGGTCTCCCCCTCGCTGCCATCGCTGATCTTAGCAAAGATGAGGAGGTCATCTCAGGTTCCATGACCACTGCACTTTGTGCCTATTCGTACGTCCCACTTCACTCTCACGCAGCTGCGTTCTGACCCACGCACATAGAATGGTTTTCATGCGCTTCGGTATGTTCTGTGACGATGTTGTAAAGCGCGTAGTTGACTTCGCGTCATAGCCTGGAAAGTACAACCCCGGAATTACTTGCTCTTTGCTTGTCACTTGACAAACGCGACAACACAGTCAATCCAGGAAGCCCGTTTCGTAAACTACTGGTATTACGGTGGCCGTGAGAAGAAGTTTGGTCTTGACAAGGGTCCAGTCACCCAAGCCATCGAGGAATCACAAGCGGAAGCAAAGAAGGTTGCGGAAGCAAATTAGTAATATCCCTCTATGCAACGCTGGAACACGCTGCGCCTTTGACTAACCAAGGTCTGAAGTCAGCATCTAGATACTGATACGTAATGTTCACCAAAATCCATCATCTCCATCACCTTTGCTTTTCTTCCCGCCCTTGCTCTGCGCAAGTGCCTGTCGCTCATACATCTCAGAGATCTACCATGCAATTATGAGTACCTGCTATCTCATCGAATCTCAATATGCAGCGAACCACTCACTTGCTCAGGTCCAGTAGCATCATCTGCCGACTTGTCATCGCGTATTCGGATGAATCTGGGAAAGCGCAACGAGATCCCACGTTCCTCCACCAAGCCCTGTGCCGCTGTGTATACCGGGCTCAAACTCAGATCTGCCGCAAGCACCTCCCACACGATCTTTGGCTCAAACCACACGTCAGGCTTTGCACCACCAGGTTTGATGTCCCCGCGTGGTTTTGTGATCTCGAGCGGTCGCAAGGTGTCCCAGTGTGTCTGCAGCATCTCCTCACTGAACCCGGTGCCGATCTTGCAGATCGTCTGATACTCTTCGGCATCGGCGTCAAAGCAGGCTAGGAGGAAAGCTCCGTAAACGTTCGTGCGCTTCCCTTTGCCGTAGTACCCGCCAACGACGACAAGGTCCAGAGAATCACCAACACCAGCGAGGTAGTCTTTCTTGAGCTGCGTATGGGTTAATAAATATCAGTTGAATTTCGACGGGGTAAAAGTTGAAAGTACCTTGAGCCAGTTGACGCTCCGCCGGCTGGGTTCATAGTAACTTGCGTCCGACTCCAGCATCTTGACCATAAGGCCTTCGCAGCCGTCCTTCACACTCTCTTCGAGGAACGCCTGGATCTCATCTGTTGTCGATCCATCTGAAGACTTGGCAAAATCGAACTCTCCAGGCACGATTTGGAAGTGCTCCCTCAACAACTCTCGGCGCTCGCTGAGTGATTTTTGGAGAAGTGGCTACGCGTACGTCAATCAGCGCAACACCTCAATGTCGTTAGAGATGGGTAACAAACCTCGCCATTGAGATAAATAAGGTCGAATGCGAAAAGGCAGACTTTGACCTGGATATCTTCGACTTTTACGTCCTTGCGCTTTCGCTTGCTCAGCTCCTGGAAGGGCATGAGATTGCCCGAGGTCTTGTCAATCGCAACGGCTTCGGCATCAAGCACGAATGACTTTGTCTTCTCCATGATGCACTGTCTTTCCATCAGCCCAATCCGTACGGCCAACTCTATAAAAATCATCACCCACCCTCGGCAGCTGCTCCACCAAATCTGGGTACTTGGCCTTCATATCCTCTGAATTTCTACTAAAGACACTAACGCTGCCATCCTCCAGCATATGTACCTGGGCGCGTTCCCCATCGTACTTGTACTCACACGTGAATTGCCGCCCCTCGAACCGGTCGAGTACTTCACCGATCGCTTTTGTTGGCTTGGCGAGCATTGGCTTGAGTGGAACACCCGGCGTAAGCTTGCAATGTGTGCGCAAGCCCGATAGGCCTTGCGTCAATAGCGCGGGAACCACAAGTTCGTACGTAGGGAGCTCACTGGGAGATATGCCAATGAGCATAGGTGAGCGAGGCGAGGCGAGGGGGACGAACCTGTACACAGATTTCATGATACTAGCACCCTCTTCGAGGCGAGACGCCAGTTTCTCTTTGCTCCATCGCTTTCCGGCTTGTACAGATGATGAATCAGCTTCATTAGCGAGGTTAGAAAGAAACACACCATATTCTTTAGCCAGAACAGCAGCATGTGCGAGGGCCACGAGAACCGTCCGTTCAGCATTACCAATCCGGAGCTTGCCTTCCAGACTGCGCACAATGTACTTCGCCTCGAAGTCCTGACATGCGGCGAGGAGCTTTGTAATGATCGATACCTTCTTTGCCTGGGACTGTGGCGGGGACAATGGTGCTAAGTCTTTGAGAACTTATACAAGCATGAAGAACGAACCGAGTGTCCAGATGACAACGCGATCTCCCGTAAGTTTGAGAAGACGAAAGGAACTGTAAGGGCCTTGGGTTTGAAGAGCGTCTTCTGACTGTTTTTAGAGTTCTACCGACGAAGTAAGCTCATGTGGTCAGGGTTAATGCAAGTAACAGCAGAGCACCATTGCCACGAGCCCGAGATCGCCTTCTTTCTTGAGGTCTGCTTTAACTGTTGCAAGACTCCGTCCTGTGGACTCGCTGATAGCTTTGATGAGTAGGCTCTCGCCGATGCCCAATTCGACACCGACATAATCTGGGCTTAGCTACGTCTCTTAGTATACAAAAATAAGATAATTCAACAGGGAAAATCTTACGCGGTTTATGCACAAGTATACAGACTGCAGGAGGGAGTTGGAATCATCCTTCTTGCTGCGTTGGATGACGAGAAGAAAGAATGAGGTAAGGAGGGCGGTCTTTTCGAGCCTCTTGGTAGTGGCTTCGATGAGTGAGAAGGTCTTCGTTAATGCAGCGTAAGGCACTCTACCAAGTAATGGTGTAAGGAAAACGTTAGAGATTGTAACACGACGTACGGGTCTCCGATTTTCCACCCGCCCTTGACGTCTACCTCTGCGGCTCGGGACAGTGCTTCTTCGGCGCTGTGCATCCAAATCAACTTAGTCCTTCTGAAGTCCTGCAAGAGGAGTCGTACGTACGTTTGTGTTGCCGTATCTTCGTCGTCATCCTCCAGCTCGCTTTCGTCAGGAAGCTCATCCTCGCCCTCGTCGGCACTTGCTGAGGACTCAGCTAGTTGCTTTTCTAGAGGCTCAGATTGGGGGACTGCTTTGACTTTCCCTTTTCTTTTGGATGAAAGTTGTGGCGAGGAACGCTCATTTAGACTGGTGAGAGCTAGTGCGGTGGTCGTGGAGTTCTCGTCATCTGACTCGACCACACGTCTCCGTTTAGACTTTGAAGGCCCAGGTGATGCTAGGGCGTGGTTTAGTCCAGCTTCAACTTTCAAGGCTGGGTGGCACTCACCAGCGAGTTTTGGCGACGTGACATCCTTCCGTTTTGTTTTGGACTTAGCCGGTGCTGTTCGTCATTATAACCTGTCAGCTGTGCAGGGCGGAGGAGCACTCACACACTGGTGGTTCGTCGACCTCCATTCTGTCTCCCCTTTCTGTCGACTGTTTGCCATTTGAGACGGGCGATACTAAGAGTTCGCGAGGATTAAACTCCACAGTTCAGATAGTCCCAAATTCTCACTGATTTCAGACTTCAGTGACGAATCCGCCTTCAACTCATCCGCCTTCCTGTTGACGATGACCTCTCCCTTCACACTCTCCTCATTCGTGTTGGGCTTTCGCTTCTTCCCTCCCCACATTTCCGCCAGGTTCGATTGTTGTGGCGGCGCCGGTTTGCTGTTCTTTGGCATTTCAAAGAATTTACCTGGAAAAAGTGGTGGTGTGGTGGGTGGTCAGAAAGAGGAAGACCTCACACTACGTACCAAGTGTTTGTTGTCTTCTCATAAATCTTGTGTGAGCTGCGACGCGATAGAATGAGCGCGTGACAGACATGAACGCGTGTTACTTAAACGCGTCGCGTTGACCCGTGTGAACTGGTTCATGCCCCCTATCCCGCGCGAGCTCGAATCATAAATTGTTGGTAAAATTAAAATAACCAGTTAAGTAGTAGGTGGACCCAGACCAGCTCATTCAATTGAGATCCGGCAAATACTAACTAACCGGCCTCAATCGCCACACATCGCGGTGGATCCCATATTGCCGAAACATGCGCACGTTCGGCAGTCTAGAACTAGACTCAGCTCACGTGATGTCGGCTCTGTCGCGACTCGCGAGCGGCGAAACCCTACTCATTTGTCCATCAATTTTGACGATTCAACCTCGCCGACTTCATAGTAAAACCCCACGATGGATTGGAATGGATTGCGGTAGAGTAGGTCATTGATTGAAAGTCAAATGCGTAAAGCATTGCATGCAATGACTAAAGTGATGGGAATATACATGGCAAATGCCGGAATCTGTACAGTTTCAATTCTGTGGCTTCTTTCCCACGCACGCAAGCACAGAGCCGGAAATTGAGCTCCTCATCGACCTAATCATTCACCATGGCTGACCAGGTACGAGCTGCTACTTTACTGAATCTACCCTTCTTGTTTGACTTGTCATCATTTTTAGATCGAGAAGGCGTACCAGAAGCAGCATCTATTCCAAAACGCCAAAGCCCGCGGTATGAGACTTTTAACCCGTGAAATCGGAGTAGGAACTTATGTGATTGTGATCGCTGTGGTAAAGGTGGCAAGAAGGTTGCGACCAAGGATAAGCGGTGGTACAAGGATGTTGGTCTTGGATTCAAGACCCCTGCGGAGGCTATTCAAGGCACTTACATCGGTACGTCTCTATACTTGTTACACGTGGTTTGGATCGTTCATTGTTATGTTTGTTCTCAGACAAGAAGTGCCCCTTCACCGGTAACGTCTCGATTCGTGGCCGTATCTTGACTGGCAAGGTCGTTTCAACCAAGATGACGCGGACAATTGTGATCCGCAGGGATTACCTCCACTACATTCCTAAATACAGTACGTCAGGAGACAAGCTTATTGTTCATTCACGCCTATCTTTATTTGACAGACCGTTACGAGAAGAGACACAAGAACATGGCCGTACATGTATCGCCCGCTTTCCGTGTAGAAGTCGGTGATACTGTCACTGTCGGTTAGTGTTCCTCTTAGTTGGTACTACTCGGAATTGAACACAGGATATAGGGCAATGTCGACCACTGTCGAAAACGGTACGATTCAACGTTCTGCGGGTGTCGAAGAGCAAGGCAGCAGCCAAGGCCTTCGGCAAGTTCTGAGAGTGCCATCGAGATTCTATTTACGTTGTTGACATTACATGATTTCTACTACTCACTGCGCTATGCCCGCGTGAAAAATTTCATTGCTACATTATGAAAGCACTTGATTTAGAAGATCTGTGTGGCAAAGCACAGGAATGTCAATCGATCAGAATCAAACCTAGGCAATGTGCGTGCACTTAAGGAGCGCTTGACGGAACAGGAAGTAAACAATGGAACAAATAAGGACAGCGCAAGCAAGTTGTCGCTAGAACGATTGACTGGTCCTCGTTGAAGAGGATTCGGCTCAACTTAGTCCTTGTCTTCTTTCGCTTTACAAGCTGGCTCCAACACTTATTTCCATCTTAACTTCCAAGTTAACTTCAAGGTCGCGTTCCCGGTCTTCAGCAACACAGCCAGGCTCGTCTTCGCCCGAATCGCAGGTCTCACCACCAATGGGCCAACAGCAATCTAAAAAGGCAAAGAAAGGAGGAAAGGAGAAGGACGTGGACCCCGTGCACGATGATTCTATAGAAGAATCGAATGGTCAAATGCCACATGGCAGTTTGAATCGTGCAACGGGGAGTCATCCAAACCACTCCCAAAGCGTCGCCCACGAGTATGATGCAGTCCGAAATAGTGCACCCTCTCTTAACGTACCAAGTTCTGGAGAGCCCAATGGAAGCAGCTCAAGACCACCAGGTTCACCAGGTGCTTCACCGGCCATCCTCAGTTCTTCCCCGAGTGACCTTTCTACTCCCTCCCTACTCGCGTCAACTTCGACGCCACAAGCTTCGGCTTTATCAACGAAACCCTCTCCCGCTCCTCTCGACATTCCACTCACTCAGACAATCCTCTCAACTTCTATGCCGTCGTCATCCTTCACGCCGGGTTCAGCGGCTAGTAGCTTCCCCTTGAGTGACTCTGCGGGAGGAAAGGCTGGACAGTTCGACATCGACGGTATGATCCAACGGCTTCTTGACGTGGGTTATACTGGTAAAGTCAGTAAATCTCTGTGTCTAAAAAATACGGAGATTGCTGCTATTTGCCAAGCGGCGCGAGAGGTGTTCCTCAGCCAACCAACTCTCGTCGAGTTGTCACCACCAGTAAAGATCGTCGGTGACGTTCATGGACAATATTCAGATCTCATCCGCCTTTTCGAGATGTGCGGTTTCCCTCCAGCCGCCAACTACCTATTCTTGGGTGACTATGTCGATCGCGGGAAACAGAGTCTGGAGACAATCTTACTGCTCTTGTGCTACAAGATAAAGTACCCAGAGAACTTCTTCCTCTTACGTGGCAATCATGAATGTGCAAATGTCACAAGAGGTTAGTCGCTTGGCGCCTTTTATTCAGTGATGGTATTCTGACATTTTCCAGTGTACGGTTTCTATGACGAATGCAAAAGACGATGTAACATAAAGACATGGAAGACATTCATAGACGTCTTCAATTGCCTGCCCATTGCAGCTATTGTCGCCTCCAAGATATTCTGCGTACACGGCGGGCTATCACCTTCACTTCACTCCATGGAAGATATCAAACGCATACAAAGACCGACCGACGTGCCGGACTACGGGCTACTAAACGATTTGCTATGGTCCGATCCTTCTGATACGGCATTGGACTGGGAGGATAATGAGAGGGGGGTAAGCTACTGTTTCGGGAAAGGCATCATCAATGACTTCCTGGTACGGTATGACATGGACCTGATATGCAGGGCTCATATGGTCGTTGAGGACGGGTATGAGTTCTGGAACGACCGGACACTTGTGACGGTCTTCAGTGCTCCAAATTATTGCGGAGGTCAGCATAACTCTTATCTTTCTATCCGTCCAGCGCTGAAGAGATGTTCCAGAATTTGACAATTATGGTGCTTGCATGAGGTATTTTTGCGCCTGTTGGCATCTGGGGATTTCAATTGATTTGTATTGTTTCAGTGTCTCAGAGGACCTTCTGTGCGCTTTCGAGCTTCTCAAACCTTTGGACGGGCCGGCGCTCCGGAAAGAGATGACGAAGGCTAAACGGAAGAGGTGGGTCATCTCACTCACATTCAATGTCACGTATTGACCTCACGCCCAGTCTAATGGCAACTGCAACGTGATCATGATATGCCACACGTAGTACACCAGTGTCACAGGGTCAAGGGTATGGGTAACCTGTTAATGAACACTGTATGTCTTTTGGTGCCACTACGTATTGAGGCGCAAACGCTTGTTGAGATATCCGGGGCCTATGCCTGACCCTCACGCTACAAACATCATACTACCTTTACCTCTACTTCGTTCCGTCTAGTCCTGATCTGTTCACCTTGATATCCGAGCGACGTGCCTCACGCAAGCACACACCTTCTGTCCAAAGCACATGTACTTCGCATCTCTCCTCCTTACCCTCCTGTCTCTCCCTTCCCTTTCTGTTTCTCGCTCCTCTTTAGCTTTCTCCTTTTGGGCCTATTTAAGACGTCGCATATTTTCTTTGTGTTTGTGCTATATAATGATATTGCAGTTAAAAATACTGGCCGCGGTTTTCAGGAGTTGTCACGTTGCATCTCGCTACTTACTAGTATGATGTATTGGCGAGTTGTCTATATCCTTCCATAGAACGAGGCACACATGTTCTCCCCAGGCTTCGAAAATGGGCCGCAGCGCCTCCGAATTGCAGTGTGCGTCATACTCGGTTTAAAGAGTGAGATAGCTTGCATGCATGGACATCCCATCACACGAAAGATCCAGTTTAGCGTGACTGGGACCAACGGGACATATCCAAGTGAACGGTTATATACGCTTGATGTTCCCTTGACGAAGAGCACTCAAAGATCCACTGCGACTTGCAAATGGTGTCCGTCAAAGGGACAACTCTAAGATTGATAAGTATCAATCTATTGTAGTGGCCTCTACTGCCAACTCTAGAACATATCATAAGCGAGCACCGCGAAAGCCCCTACAATCATGCCTGCTCCCAGAACCCCACCGGCAGTCAACCCGACGGAGCCTAACATTAGATCCGAGATGAGGGTGAGGACGATTGTAAGTAGACTCCCAACGGAAGTAACAATCGGGCCCCAGACTCCCAACAAAATCTAAAGACATTGATTAGATAGGGGACATTGTGCATTTATCATACGCACCATGTAGCCTGCATTGAATATAACGCCCGTTGCACAGATTCCTGCAATTGCAGCGAAGGTCGCCATGTTGGATGGAAGCGCAAACTCTTCGATACCGTAATGATGTAACACCATTAAGGGTATCCAAAGCACGAACAAAGTGCATAAACCCATGGATGCGGTGAGGAAATTTGGATGAAGGCCGAATGGAAGAGAATGTATGACTTGATTACTGGCGACGAGTGGTGAAGATGCTATCTCCTCATCACTAGCCTGTTCCGCTGATGCTGGGATATGGGTATATTGTGTAGGCTCTGCAGCTGGCTCTAGGTCTGATGGCAGTGCTGCATATTTCTTGTAGAGAACTTGATACAGACCGTATATCACGGATGCAACCAGAGTTATAATAACGCCAAATAAAGGAGCGGGAGTTTGGGTGACAGTCATACCGCGAGCTGTGGCTGCGGTTGTACTTAACGGTGCGCTGTCGCTATATACGATAGTGAGCACTCCGACAGTGGCGAGGCAAACAGCACACATCCGAATAAGGCTCCATTTCAGGTTCAGTAACTTGACACTGAAGACGTAAGCGAAGAAAGCATTGGTATTCCAAATGGCCGTGACATCAGTAACACTGCAGGATGCTTGAGATCAGAAGCGTGAAAAGCAATTAACAACATACGGGGCATATACGACAGCAATAAACCACAATAAGGCAGGTATGCTGTAGACGGCAGTCATGACGAGAATCACGACCAAAAATCGAGACAGGGGAAATTGTGAAGAGTGGATGATTCTTGGATCGCGTGATGTCAACTGAGCGGTGATAATGCTGGACAAGCCAGATATCAGAGTACGAGGGGAATGGTGGGTCGTCAGGAGGAGATACCCTAGGTGCAATGGAAAGGAGAGCGCGAACGATGAATGCACGACGTAACTGTGAACTTTGAGTTCGCATCGACATGCCGCGGAGTCATTTGTCTACTCACAATAGAAAGAATGAGTGTTGATAACCCAATGTTGTTTGGACATACTAATACGATAAGTTAGTAGTTGACCCATCCATTGAGGTACCTGAACTGAAGCTAATCACCTGTGTGAGTTGGGTCTCTCCAACAAAAGCAAAAATCACCGCAACGAATGTTACCAGCGCAGTCTTTCCACCTAGGCGTGGCGCAGCGGAACCCTCTCTCTCGCCAGCCATGATAAGGTAAAGTAGGAGTACAGAGATTCAGGAAGTTTTCAAGAAAGTAAACAGATGGATGTCCCGATTAATGGAAGTTTTCACTGTTCCATCTCGCGAACAAGAAGTCCTTATCAACTTCAACGATAAGGTCAATGTTCAAGCCTGCGACTTTGATGCCGAGCCGTAAGTCCAAAGTCCAAAGAAGACTTAGTTACGTGGTTACTAGTTACTAACTGTTTGAACCAGAAGTCACAAAATATCTAGCTATAGCACGTGACCACAGCGTCTTCCTCACAAAACTTAACTTGTCTCTGGTCCGTATTTCACCATGTTGAGAGCCTTGCTAGCCTCAAGCAGGCCATTACTAGCGTGTTTGCGCATCTCTACTCTTCCTCACGTTCATAATTTCACACCTGCAATCTCATCACTTGGCACGAATGCAATACCGTCCACGGCGCGTGGAATGAAAGTGAGGTCATCTGTGAAAGTCATGTGTGACGGGTGCAGCGTTGTGAAGCGAAAAGGCAGAGTGTATGTCGTGTGCTCGAAAAATCCGAAACACAAGCAGGTGTGCTATTGATCCTATCTTCATCTTGACCTTGGTTGACTCTCGTGTAGCGTCAAGGATAATCATCGTCGAACCTGTGTTTTTGAATCGTGCAAATTGTTTTGGTAGAATGCACGTAGGGGAAGGGAGATATTTTTTGTCGATATAATGCACAGCTCTCGAAATATTCTACCACCAATGTTATTGACGAAGCCACATCTGGAACTCGTAGCTAACTCCCTTTTCCTCCTGGACTCCTGCTGGCACGTCGAATCCCGTCCATTGCACGAGTTCATCATGAGCCGCTTGCTTCCATTCTGTTTCCCCTTTCCCGCTTGCTCCCAAGAAGTCTGGCATAAAAACGTCACATTGGGGGAAATCAGGTGCAAGGACTCGTGTCAAGAGGACACGGTCGGCGATACAAGACGTCGGACTCGAAGATGTAGGGTTTAGTGTCTCCGAGATCAAGGATACTCCGCCGATAATAAATCGTCGGTGTATGTCAGCCTGAGACGCCAACTCAACTGCCGAACTCAGGTTCGAGCAAAGATGAACTGGAGCTGACAGGTTGAGGGATGTCCTGATTGTCGCTCTATCAATATATGACGAAAAAGATAGAGAAAAGTCGTACAGTTCGTAGTCCTCATTGCGACTGATGACTACGTTGAGGCGTTTAGAAAGAGGCCTGAAATTGACTGGTATGCTCTCCCATGTCTTCCGCCCCATGACGACCGCGTTCTTCCGTCCTTCAGGCGCGGTAGATGTGACCCGAGCAAAATAAGCCATCTCTTTCGACAGCCGCCATGGAAGTTTACCATGTTGGCCGATACCATTTGATTTCGTGGCGGCAACAATGATTGTAAGATGTGACATGGTCTCTGGGGAAGACGACGTTGATATGGGCCAGTACCGTTGTAAGTACTTACTAGTAAAGGTTTATACCTGTCAGCAATACCTATCACGACCAAATGTCATGGTCATACTGCAATTCTTTCAATGTTGGGGTATTTTCACAATCTCTCTACATGATGTTTTATTTATGCACAACGAGTAGCAGTTATGGGAGATCTTGGGCTATGCCTCACTATCTAATCTATCCCTGAACATCGTAACCTGCCATAGGCCTCTTTCTGACAGGAACGAAATGGGTTTTGATGTGCTGACAGGACAGAATCCTAAGTTAATAGTTTCGATGCGAGACAAGGATCCACTTTGAAAGCGTCGACAACATGCAGAGTAACTAACAATACAAGCCAGTGATCAAGTTCAATTCCACTTCTTCCACTCACTACCTGCTGGGGGCTTCACTTCGACGGTACCCTTGCTGACTTCCTCCCAGTTTGTGCTAAGGGTAGTTCCTCCACTCTCCTGGAAGCTCTTCATCATTGCGCGTTTGGCGTCATCATCTGCATCTCCGAATATCTTTTGGAAGAAGGAGTTGACCGTGCCGTCACCTCCAACGTTGGGATCCTCATCTACGGTCGCCTCCTTTTCGGATGTGAGAATCTTGGTGGTAAGTTCCTCCCAGTTCTTCTTGGGCTTAGCCCTCGCCTCGGCCACCGCCGGAGAAGTAGTTGGTCCAATAGGGGCAGTCTGAAGAGCTAGAGAACGTTAGTACGCATCGAAGAATTGGGCTGCATGGAAAACACGAACGATCAGGAGCGTCACCAGTGATACCTCCCCAACGGCCTTGAGCCGTTTTCGCAAGACGAAGTTCAACCTTGACTTTGCCAACCGTGAAATCGCACCTCTCCGGATCAATCTGTCCTTTCAATGGTTCTAAGGATAGTGTCTTCTCGCCATTTACGTAGATAATCTATAGCTTCTTTGAGGACCGTGTCTCCCAGAATGAGTAAGATTGCTCACCTTGCTTGGCTCAAACGTAATGGATACTTGTGCAGGATCAGCCCCTCGGTCGAAGATGGAGATCGTCAGTTTTTCGTCTGTCTCATAAAATTCGTGCCTTTATGATATTAGACGAATGTCAAGCACCTAGTGATGTTGGTCTGACCTTAAGGATGCCATGTTTGGGTGAAGATGCAAAAAAACCGATGCCTAAAGTGATGAAGTTACGCGACTCAATGAAAGCAGAACTTTCCAGTATAATTTGAGGTCACGTGAACTGTCATGAGGGAAAAGATTTACAAAAGACTGAGACTTGACAATTCAAGAATCTGAACTTGTGCATCGATTGACAACGATGTTTGAATCCGATGTGGATAGTACCTCTGTGATCAAACAGAAAATGCATCGACGATGAATGTTTCGTGCATACGGTTGCGTGCTAGCCCTAACTGGAAATCAAAAGAAGGACAAACAGGTGGAGGTCCAGACGTCATATTCCCTAACTGCTGTCAGGCAACCTACGATGACCACGTCGTCTGTGATACCTAAGGCCGTCTTGTACTACAGCCCACAGTCTGTGTGGTCCTCTGCGAGTAAGCATCGGTCTTTACATTCACGATCAGTGTTGTTCTGTGTTCTTACCTCAATGTATCACTAGTACTTCTTGCACTGTGAGGTCATCGAAAAACAGTGTATCATACTATTAATCTGCAATTACTCTGCAGGCACGAGAAGGGGTATGGAGATGATGAAGTTGATCTCAGGGTTGTGGATATTGGTACGTCTTGAATACATCGAAGTGGCTTGGGCATTGTCTAATACATGTTTGCATCAGACAAAGGAGAGGAATTTTCCCCGACCTTCCTCAGGTTGAGCCCAAAAGGTGGGATTGGACCCATTCTGCATCACAGATCATTGACCATTCCCTCAGGAATGGTCCCAACTCTTGTTGTACCCCTCCGCGGCTCTCTCGCATCTGATATTGCAAGCCGCTTCAAGGCTATCTCTGACACTAAAGTCAGCTGGCCTTCGTTTTACAGTTTCCTTTCTGCTAACGGAAAGAGCAGGCACTGATCGAGTTCCTGGATAAATCTCGGTCTGCATCATCTCACACGCACACTACATCGAGCGCTCCGGCCCCATCGTTATCCCCTGCGACAGTTGCATTCGCCAGTGCATCCAGCAAGATCATTGACTCTATTCATGCTGATGAGGTCTCTCCCGATCATTTGCAGTACTTGAATGCCCGCGATCAAGCCTCTCTACAAGAACTTGGAAAGTCTCTGGTCCCTATCCTCCAATCCAGACGAGCGGCAATCGTGGGATATCTCACCGATTGTGAACGTGAGACCATGCGGATGTCTGAAAAAACCAAGGCATTCTGGCGAGAGAAACAAGCTGAGACGGAGACAGCACTGAGCGTGTTTAATGGGAATGATGTCGATGGATACTTATCACGCTCCAGGAATATGTGGGAAATCACAATTCCTGGTGTTCTCACTCGAGTGAACGAGGAGTTGGTCGGACCCTACGCGTTAGGTTCGTCGGGAGGCCACTTTTCTCGGCTCATGATAACATAATGTGAAATATAGGCGATCAGGTTTCTATCGCAGATATTCACTTAAGTGTTTGGCTATCTCACCTTGTCAGATTGGCTGGCGGAAGCCCTTCGGATGATGGAGATGTTGCTATAAAAAGGGTGGAAAAACATATTGGAAATGGGTTTGTCTTTCCCGAGGACTTCTTGTCTTCGGCCTTTAGCCCATTCGCTGAAGAAAAAGCAGTCGCGAGGAGCAAGCTGGCGGCATTTTGGGATGCGATGAAATCACGGTCGAGCTGGAAGAAAGTTTATGCTTCGTGACACTTGTATACATGATATCAGTTTACTTCCGATAATCTCTACTTGGCGGCCAATGGAGTCTTTTTGCATTCCAGCCAATTAGTTCACACGCAACTTGCAAAGTAAAAATGACTTCACAGCAACTTCACAGTTTTTTTGATCGCAGCTGAAGTGACAGTGTCCTACCACGCCTGCTAGGTATCATACCCAACTCAGGACTGTTTGCTTTGACTTTTAAGGACGCTCATATCATTTCATACCAAGAAAAACCAACACGGGAAGTAACACGACGCTAGCGTTTAGTTTCGACACCGAATTCTAGCTATCGCGCGTTCATTTTTATTTAACGATAAACTGGTCCATTTTGCTGGTCGTCACTTTCTGAGGCTTGGCTTCCACGCTCTTTTCCAATGCCATGGCGGGCATTGTGGATTTCCCTGGTTCTTCCCATTCATTTCGAGCACCCAATGAAGAGCACCGCGACATTCTCGGAATTGATTATAGGGAGAGTGATTCGTCTAACACTCCCTTATCCGAGCGCTGTTCCTTCACGGACACTGGATACCCTGATGTAATGCCTGGAAGGTTGTCTTCGGATTCTTCGTCGTCTACGACACCCACACCGTCTCGCGCTTCTTCCCCTCTGCCGTTTTCTTTCCATTCTTCATCTTCATCAGAAACCGAGTCCAACTCACCTCTACTCGGCCTTGCAAGATATACATCCTCGGGAGAGAGCCGTTGGATCTGGCGTAACTTAGGTTCAAGTTCTCCAAGGAGGCGTAAACGAGATGGAAGAAGGTGGAGAATCTTCAAGGGTATTTTGAGACGTATTGTCAGACACCCGTTATTCCCTCGTCAACCGCTAACTATCGTATGTTTTGTTATCTGCACTTCGTTCCATGTCTGACAATTCGATAAGATACTTGCGCTCCTGGTGTTCACCGTTTTCGCCATTTCTCTCACTTTAATTCTGCTTTATGTCTTGAACCCGACAAGGAAGCTTTACCTTGGAGGGCATACTGCACCATCCCGCCAACAACATCCGTTCCTCCGCGCTACCGTAATACATTGCTATACCCGTACATCAACCCCCTTCCCAAAGTGATGCCACCATCGTTTCCACCGGATGATCTTGATACACTGCCCCCCGCAGGACTGTTCTTAGCTGTCTTCTCGATGGATTCGTCACTGGAACGTAGAATGTTGATTAGAACAACATGGGCAGCACATCCCCGTAGTCGTAATGGCGCAGGAGAAGGGGACGGCGGGATGGGCACCTCGAGAACTGTGGTGCGTTTTGTTCTCGGACAGCCCCGCAAGGGATGGGAAAGACGTATTCAATCAGAGATGGAAAGTAAGTGTATATCATGTTGGTTCGTTGCATTACTCTGACGCATGCTCTTGCGTAGTGTACAACGATATGATAATCTTGCCCTGCTCAGAAAACATGAATTCCGGCAAATCGCATGCCTACTTCACGTGGGCAGCATCGAATGCTTGGGTCCCACCAGTTTACTTCAATACCACATACCCTGTGCCGGAATTCTCTTACTCGAGTCAATATACCCCTGCTCCCCGCCTTGCCCCTCATGATCCCTACCTCGCTTGGAAGGACAGTGCCTCGGGTCATCCACGGCCTTGGGTGCGGCCCGATTATGTGGCTAAAGTCGATGACGATGCTTTCGTTATGTTGGCTGAGCTGGAGGCGCGCATGAGGCTAGAGCTGTACGCTACAGGGCAGAGGCCATACGGCATGCCCTACACTTCGCCAATTTCGACATCCTTCAGAGCCGAGACAACCAAAGGTGGAACCGCAGACCGGTGCTCCTGCCGATATCCCTATACCATCGATGGTTGAACGGGAGATGCCGCGCGACGGATCAGCGGATGACCCATTGGTTTACTGGGGCTATCTTGTTAAAGAAAAGTTCATGGCTGGCGAATTGTATGGCTTGAGCTGGAGTCTTGTCGATTGGGTTTCTAAGGATCCAAACGTCAAAGGTCTTACCAAGGGCGCAGAGGACAAGCAGACGGCCAAATGGATGGGACTACACCCACGTGCAGCGGAGATCCGCTGGTCAAGCGACCATTGCTGGATATATGATCATCCTCGGTCAGGGACTGTGTGAGTTAACACACCTGTCTATCTAACATTCTTGTGCTGATTTTCTTATAGATACTCCCATGGCTTCCTGTTTCCTTCCGAAGTCTCTCGTGTTAAGAAATCTGTTTTGGCACTTCTTGACAAAATGTCCCGTAATTCATCGACCGGGACGACTTTTGTATCAAATACAGCTGTTGGGGCTTCGACACTTTTATCTTTATCACACTCAAGTGTTTCGGCATTTGGTACCCGGTACCAGCAGCCCTTACAAGAGATGGATTTGGCTCATAGTGTTGAGGCACTAGTTGAAGGCAGCCATATGTCCGAGCTGCAGGAAGGTACGATATCAATTGTCCTCGATGAGCGTATGTTAAACATTAGCGGCTGCAGGGAAGTCTACAGAGAGAGCATGGCGCACCCGCGAGGGACGCATCACGCAATACGAGAACAAGCGTGTTGGTGGAACTGTCGTAGTGCACTTCATCAAAAAGCACATGTGGTTCTTAGAGACTGCACTCGCTTTCTTGGAAGGCGATAATTACTCTCAAGTTGAACTCGAGAGTCTCAATGCGGACGAGAGCAGGCTCAACGTAGGCTTGGCGTCAGTATGGACAGACAGTTCAGTTTTCAAGCCGACGAATGCAAGTGCTGCATTGTAATGGCTATATGTGTGCTATCTGGACTGTTTTAGCAGACCTCTTGTATTTATCTTTGGGGGAAGCCCGGGACCATCATATACCACAGCTTGGAGACTACTTGACATCGTTGCTACCCGGACATCAAATTTATCGCATACAATATCATCAAGAAAAATGAGAAGAATGATAAGTCTGTATTGCCCCAGTCTTTCATCCCTCAAGGGTGTTCAATACCCATCCAACACCAATGCCTGATACGTAGGGTGATCATCAGGCATTGTCAAGGGTTGTTTGTCCTGCAGCCTGTTTTGCACTGCTCTTCTGATAGTTCCCTCCCATTGCCTCAGCCACTCTCCTTCTCGCATGCCAACGACTTTCATCCGTCGGCCTGGAGGGTCAGGGAGGGAAGATCCTTGGGCGGTGGCATCCACGGTCTCAAACACATCACGGAAAGGACTCTCCGCATGTACGTCCGGAGCAGATTGCTTTGCAGTTTGTTCGACGCGCTTCAGCGCATACGCACCGCCGCAGACATCCCAGCGCCCACCACCGCGTGAGTGGAAACGTTTAAATAGCCATATAAACGGGTATATGAGGGTAAGAAAGAGCAGAAACTTGATCCAGCGGTTCGAAAGAGCGCGGGAGAGGCGGTTGTGTGAGCGGACAGAAACAACGTTTTGAGATGTTTCAAATTGGACAGACAAGTCACCCCTATAGTGGGTAGAATTGACGACGGAAATAGCAGCAACCCTCATGGCCTCAAAATTCCAACCATAGGCAATCTGTGGATCGAGGATGAGAACTATGCGTATGAGGTCACTGAAATATCTATTGACCTTGTGGTAATGAAATTCTTTCAAGTACTTGCGGCTGGCACAATAGTCGTCTGCCCACTGACGTAATGTCCACGATGATCTGAGGACACCGCTCGTTTGCATGACATATGGCTGGTCCTCTCTCCATGCGTAGTCACTACCGATCCACGGAGGGAACCCCCTGCGAGTGCGCTCGGTATCCCACGCCTTTGCTGTCTTTCTTTCCGACTTCCGTGCCTTGCGTTTCTCCTCTGAGATGCCCACTTCTTGATACATGCGCCCCCTATATGCAGGGGTGGAATCGGCATATGACCAATGGGTTGGCTCTCCGAAAATGTGCTGTCCGACGTCTATGCAAAAGTCGAAGTCCGTTATGCGTTCGGTATACTGCTCTGTCTTCATCTTGGTATGTCCATTGTGATGCGAGTGGACCATCCGTGTGTGAGTCTCGTTATGTGACCCTTGACATCGCAAGATGACGGTGGGTGCTGTTGAGGCCTGTGAGAGTAAGAAACGGTATAGGGCTTCGCCTGAGAGAATTGAGAATATTAAGATGTCAGAAACCGGAGGGCAACGTACCGTCATCGTTGAGATGAGAATCATGAGAAATGATGTCACCAGAACGGGAAGTAAAGAACTGGGCGTTATAAGGGGCAAAGGCGGGTGGCTCCTCGCCACTGTCCTGTGCAAAATTCAAACTATCGCCCTGAGGAAAATGTAGAACATGGTCTGCGACACTTTCCTCGAATGTTGGAGGAGGCTGCTGCAAAGATGATGATGCAAGCGAAGGGGTGCTGTCTCCGACAGAGTCCTGCTTGGAATTGACTGGATCTGCGTCTATAATGAGCATGTTGTCGTCGTCGTTGTCGAAAGTGTAGCTGTGTGGGACAGCCTAGAACAAGTCTACATTTTGACGGGCCTGGGTGTTTGAAACGTTGACCATAAATATTGCACAGCCTGGAGCACATAACGGTGTTACGTAATGATATACTTAATGCTGCCAGTGCGTGGTGTGTGTAAAATGAATCTGCTCCTGGTTAACCCTTACAAGGTGGGTCAAGTACAGTTAGGCTTCCATCCCAGCGCTGACCGGTGTTTACTTGTTATCAGCTTCTATCGCGTTGCACGCGATGATCCTAGAAGCTTCGTCTATTAAGCCACGACTTTAAGGTCGGCCCTGCAGTGTGAGTCTTTTGTTCCTAATTGTCTGCTTCATACTTTCTTCATTTTACTTGTGCATGGCAACTCTTAGCTTGCCTTTGTTCCTAGAGTCTTGTTAGGAACCTTGTATGATCAATTCCTGTAGGAAAGACGCTCAAGGTTTTGATTAGGGTCTTACTGTTTTTCTAATACCATTTCCTGCTGCGGGGTCTAGCTCTCAGTGGTGCAAGTCTCCCTTGGCACCGTGCACCATTTTTTTTTGTTCATTCTCCTCCAAGCATTGTTTCTGATAAATCATCTCTTTATTTCACTCCGGTTCGTGCTCACAATTTGCCAACGACACGCCTTGGGAAACCCGACGACATTGACACCATATCCCACCCCTGTAACTGGAACTTTTCCACCAACTCATCCGCTACGCCCACAACTTTGAAACCTGTGTCACATCTACATTTGGCTCGCTTACATCATATCTCTGTTGTGTCTCCACCCATGACTTCTGTAACGTCAATGTCTTCAAATGCATCTTCCTCGTAAGTTTCTCCGTTATCAATCAGGCCCGGTTTCTTGACCTATTCGCAGCGTCACGCCCACAACCGCAGCGCCCAGCAGTGTGCCGCCATCGACCAGCGATTCTTTACTGCCCACAAGTTCTTCTACGCGCCTGACGACGAGCCCTATTTCGTCCCCAACGTCTACTACTATGTCTTCCGGTATAGCATCATCCACAACCCCTGTATCATCACAGTCCTCGACCAATGCAGATACAAGTACAGCCACGATTTCTTCTTCGACAACTAGTCAGTTAGCGACGACAGCCACCAGCTCATTACCAACAACTTCCTTGTCACTCACAACAACTTCATCACTAACGACATCCGCTTCATCATCGACAACTTCCTCATCACCAACGACCTCGTCACCAACGACTTCCTCGCCATCGCCCACCACAAGTACACCACAGACTACTTTCAATGCGCCCCCACAGACATCAACCTCATCATCATCTCAACCTCCATTGACGTTGCCTAGCACACCATCATCGTCGGTCACACCGGTGCCAGTCGTGTTTGTGTGCTCCTTGCGTTTACATGTCGTCTACTGACGCATCTTGTTCATACATTGCAGTACAACGTTGGAAAGTACATTGTTTATCACTACAACGAATGCTCAAGGACAACCAACAACGACGGCGCCCTCTATTATCACAGAAGTTACCACTTCCACAAACAGCGCAGGATATGCTACTACTATCACAGTAGCAGCCGCAAACCCCACCCTTGCGCCCAACAATGGGACATCATCGGGTTCCGCGTTAGCTCCCCTGCTTATCAGTCATTATTCATACTTATAATATAACAGGTTCTTCAAGAACACTGGCGCCGTAGTCGGTGTCTTCCTTGTGATTGGTTTGGCCGTTGCATCCATTGTGCTGTGGATCTTCTTTTTCATCCAACGTAAGCGCCGTATCAATCGAATTGACCATGACACCGAAATCGAGGCAGCTGTTGCTGCCTCGGGCTTTGGTCGAGCTCCTTTGGATGATGACAATGATTACCGAGGTGCCCGGTCGTTACAGTCACATTCTTTGTCTTCGGCGCAGATGGTACAGCGCGTGAGCCCCGTTGGTTATATTCCCGATGGTTCTGGCTTGCCCACTGCCGGTCAGCCAGTTTCAGAGGGTCCATTTGATGATGACAATGTCGCATTCAATCCTTACGCGGGCTATGTAGTTGAAGGTATACCAACAAGTGGAGGGTATATTCAAGCTCGCAGTGCTAGTCCTCCTCCGGAAGCTGAGCAGCAAGGGCCTCCTAGTAGTGCAGCATTGCATGATATTGGTGATTCCTCCCGGGATCGGAAAAGCTCCTATGGCCATACCCCCACGTACAGCGTTGCAAGCTATGAGCCGCTACTCGCCGCATATACGCAGGGATCCTCTGCGGAGCGAGGCGCCAGCTCACCGCCCACGCCGCCCCCAAGGAACCCAGCACGACGTGCGCACCTTGACAGTGCCGCTTCCCGCCCTGCGAATAATTCATCGGATGGAGGTATCGATGATAGGTTGGATCCTGAAATTCGGAGGCGGACCAGGTCGGATAGTCTTGGCTCAGACGATCTCAAGGATGAAGAAGACTACAGCCGGCCGGTGCTTACCGTAAGGTTTTCGATTTTCTTTCTCGACGCTATACTTAGACATCACAGGTCCGCAATATGCCTGATGGTCGCAGTATAAATTCTGCACTGTGACGGACATTGTGTTTGCGTTCTGGGTTTTGTTTCCTTCCGGAAAGAAATCTGACTGTTGTGTCATTAATGTTGTGTCCGAAATAATCTGGACTATTTACTGATTTGTTGAGCAGATCATAATCATCCTCATCCTTTCTGACCCTCGTACATACTGCAACCGCATTCTGTATATCATCACAAACCATGGACATACACAGACGAATGTTGCACTCACAAACTTCATACTTAGTCTTCAATCTACTCCCGTTCAATGTGTCAAGTCGTTCCATCACGTGGTGCTACATCTCCGGCGTACTTTCCGTGACTCCCTAAGACCCCATGTATCCCGTGGTACATCTATTTGCAGACATGACACTTATCGTACCTTATCATTATCTCATGTCACAGGGCAGAATTCTCAGGCTGCCATCAGCCATACTGCTGGAATTCTCTCGGAACTCCTATGGATCATGATGTATGAGGTATAACTCTTCGATTAACTGTTACTCTGTTGTACTTACGTTGCCCACTCATGAGTCAGGTTCCTATACACGATACCCCAATACTCGGCATGGCTACGCGTCCCAGGGTTTCAAAGGCAATCGAATATGGGAACATAGCCAACTTTTGGGTTGAATATCCCTCCGGTCTTATGGACCTCACGCGTTCGCAACATCTCACGACTGATGGGGTGGAACCATCCTTGGCGAGCTCGACACAGCTCGACATCCCTGTATTTGGCGACCGTACCATTCGCGTCGACAAGTCCAAGACAGCTGCAGTGATAATTGATATGCAGAAGTAATATACTATCCCGATGTTTACTTGAATAACGAATTGATGGTGGACAGCTTCTTCCTGCATCCCGAACTCAGAGTGCATAAAACCGGCTTGGCTTGTGTTGACCCGCTTTTGAAGGTTATCGGGCCTCTTCGAAAGCAAGGAGTGAAGATACTTTGGGTGTAGGTCATATCCTTTTTACATCGGTTACTGTTCACCCAACCGTAAAATAGGAACTGGGGCCTCACTGATCAAGAGCTGAAGACCCTTCCCCCTGCTGTGGTCAGGGGATTTATGAAAGGAGGGCTCGGAGGGTTCGGCACTGAAATGCCTGGCAACTTTGGCAGATTGCTCATGCGAGACGCTTGCAATTCGGAGTTGTATGGCCCTTTGCAAGCAGAGTACTTAAAAGGAAAGAAAGAGGGAACCGACGTTTGGATTCACAAGAATAGGTCCGTTTCTTCGAACATACTCCCAATTTGTACTGAGTTCTGACTGAAAGTGCAGGATGAGTGGGATATGGGGACATCAGACAGCGTTGGACCTCTATCTGAAGGAGAATGGAATTACAACATTATTATTTGGAGGTGTAAATGCCGATCAGGTGGGACATCAACTTAGTTTCTCGCCTTCTTGCTGCTGAAGTTGACGCAGTGCGTTTCGGGCACCTTCATCGACGCTTACTTCCAAGGCTATGATTGTGTAATGGTTGAGGACATCACGGCGACAACTTCTCCAGCTGGCGGTCTTGAGAACGTCTTGTACAATGCTGCAAACGTGAGCATTCGGTTTTACATGCGTGACGGATTCGGAACTAATCGAATAGGGGGCAGTCTCAAGGTTTCGTCACCAATACGTCCAACATCATCAATGCGAGTGGCTGATTTTTTTTTCCATCGCCCACTTTGTTGAGCTCCATGAGCTATCCGGTACTATCTACCTATCATACAAGATCAGCGCACACAAATTCAAGCTCTTCCTATCCTCACAATGTGCCCACGCATGAATCGCAACAAAGGACAGAATTGCCAAAGACGACAAGCACAATATACTTCAGGCGGAAAAGTATGGCAATTGTTCCAAGTATCAGCCAGACACTGAACACCAATGGCAAAATGAGATAAGTTAATATGAGATCGTGTTACGAAGCTATGTGTCTAAGTATTCAAATCCATATGACCTCCCTGTCATCAAAACCTACATCCACTCGCAGCACGCCTCTCTCGAACAGTCTATCCAGTTTCTGATTGACAATCCCGCCCATCCTTCCATCATCTTCAGTTGCCACCACAACTTGTACATCCTCCAGGGTTGTCCAAGGCTTTCCGTCCAATACGTGAGCTAACCCTTCGAAGTCTATTGATGAAAGGGCGTGCATATCAGCGGGGTACAATGCGAGCGAGAGGGCTCGCAATGGCGCACGCACACCGTCGAAGAGGACAGTGAGTGGCATCAACTGCGGTGGCGGCGGGGGAGGATCGAGATCTGATAGATCTGGGGGCGGCAAGGAAGGAATAATGAATCCATACACATGCATCTCCTTCAAAAAATTGTTATGACCGAGGTCAATGTGAGATACAATCTCGTCTGCACTGTGTGAGTCCTAGTCTTTTGTTGTTAGAAGTAAGTTCTCACCTCCATCGTCTATGAATGCAACATCGAACCCGAGATGAAGCTCTTTCAAGCTTGCGCCCAGCATCTTCAAGAACTTCCCCACTGCTGGGGCACTCTTGACACCCAACGCTCCGAGTCTCAACACTTCCACTGCCACCCGCCCTCCATCATCCTTCATTGCCTCCCTCATCCACTTCAACATATGTCTGGTACATGCTCCCCGCATCGCGAGCTCCCTAAGTTTTCTTGGCGGCTTAGGGACCGCTCTATCATCTGCTCTAGATACAAACACCGCTGAGTCCGCAGGTATATCATCCCACTCACAGCGCACCCCGTCCAGTGCGAGCACTTCTACATCTTCAAACACTCCTATAACCTTGATCATCTCCAGCGTCGTCCTGAACTCGCATACCCGTAGCGCAAGCTTCCGCACACCCTTGAATCCTTTCATAAAAGCATCCCGAGATTTGGACGACAGATACTCCCAGGTGATTCGCTCAGCTTCGAGAGAGTGGAGATTGACGAGCGAGTCAGCTAGGGTTGGCAAGACTGCGTTAAGCCATTTCGGGTCCCACGACAGACCTCCCCGCGATTCACGAATGAAGAGGTGCTTGACATGCGGAACAAAACTCGGAAGGGTGGATTCATGCCCTGAGTTGTAATTTTGTAACAACTCGACGAAATTATTCCCTCTTCGTCCGCTGCCAAGTCGCACGTATCTCCATAAATGATCCCGGGCTGCGTATAGCCAAAATCTGCTCACGAGGGAGCAATTACAGATTTCTGCGAGATTGGGCTGGTCGTAGATGCTCGTTATGGTGGGCGTGTCTGGCACAGCAAGGAACGAGATGATGTCCAGGAAAAGCTCTGGTGGAATGCGTGGGAAAGGAGTTACATGATATACACTCTTCGTGGAGATGCGGTGTTGGAAGGTGGATGATACTGGGGTCGAGAGGGGGAGTATTGGAGAGAGATCTGGAAACGCAGGTGATTGTGGAGACTTCCAAGAATGCACAAATGTGGTCGGAGAAGTTATTATCGACAATGAAGGGGACTGCAGGTGCAACCCAGGGACGGTGGTCATCAGTGTAATGGCCATGGTCGAAATATCGAGGCTAGATAGCGAGGTTTACAGATGAGCCTGGACGGCTGATTAGAACCAGGCTAGCAGGGGGTATCTGTGCGTAAGTACTGTTGTGGACCAGCCAAGCAACCCAATCCTGGTAAGAAGCTTCCCCGGGCAAAGACACAAAGCACGATAACAGAGACAGAAACAAGGAGCATGTTTATATCGTTAAGCCGGCAGACAGAAAAATCCTTCAGAGACTTTCCTATATTGGATCGCGCTCCGAGTCTTGTACAAGCTAGCAGCTTAGTTACAGCCAAGCGTTTAATGGCAGTAGTTATAGTTTTTACCCACTTCCGGATGCTTCCATCGGCCCACTCCATATCGGGTTACACCTGCTGCGCCAGGTTGCGCCCCACCAGTATACAGTTCCTTAGCACGGGTACCCAAAAGCTCTTGCTAATAAGAGCGGAGGACAACAAGATTGGGTTATTCGAGTCAAATGCATTGTTAGGTTGAAGTATGTCTATTGGAAGTAGGACCGCGCCAGCATAGTCAAGCATACAGCATGGAAGTCTGTAGTGCACCAATCAGAACGAGACTCGCTATGACCGTATACCTAGCTTTCACAGCAAATATATACACTCGACTGCGAGGTCGGCACAAGAGATGTTTGCATTTCGTTTCTTCGATGTTGTGGTGAAAAGCCTCCCTGCCAGCCCATTTCATCTTGACACCCGAAAACCATAATTAGAGCCTGTTCTGGTAGGGTGGGCGACGCCGAAAAAGACGGGTAACTCAGTTTTGGCACGACAACAGCGATGCACACTGCCGAAGCGTCATGGTAAACAGTACGGGAGAAGCAGTGGTGGCAAGTGCAACATTTGTGATTCATATGTTTCCGCCAAAGAGGCAATGTGTGTCAAGTTCCAACTCCGATGTTCGTGGTATCGGAATGGGAGACCTGACTTAAGGGGAGAGAGACACGAGAATAGACCATGGAGGTAGTACTACGTCCGGTTCGCGATCATTGTCTACGACATGTTCGAAGCAAGTTGTGTCGCCGCACTCTAGCTACAATAAGTACATACTAGCGGAGACGAGACGCTCAAGGTCGGTAGACCCTGAAGATTGAAACCTCAGTGGGAGTTGAAAGGGCTCTGAAGTCGAATTCAGCGGCATTTATGCGAAAGGACCGCGTACTGTGGTAGTAAGAATGCAGCTCGACAATGTTACCGTAAGACACAAGACATGTCACACCATGATATATCATAGCGACGTGCAACCTAGTCTGTTAAATTTTATGCTGTTGAATCTGCACAAATATTATTTGTGTCGCCCCAAAACAAAAATGTGTGACCACCGAGAAAATGTGTGTCTCCCCGAAAAAAATTGTGTCGCCCCGAGAAAAATGTGTCGCCCCAAAATTATATTATGTCTCCCCCCAAAACAAAGTATGATTCTGACAATTTATGTATGTTTTTTTTATCATGGTAAGGCTCATTTCCACTTGGACTTACACGAAATAAATCAATTAAAAAGATTGTAGTAAGAGACAGTTACTATGTACGATTAACAGAATATAAACCACAATAGAAAAGTGCATTTAAAAGGAGGGATAAATCTGTAGTGTCAGTTTGCAATAGGAAGTTGGGTATGACTTGGACAATATAGGTGCAAAATAATTACAAATTAAATGATAGGACCTAGAAATCAAAGAGATGATTTCCTTCCCATGGGTTATTGAGACTGGGATCAATAACAAAAGACCCAGAGGCCTGTAAGGTTGGTGTCACAAAAATTTCACCAGTCTGTGATGGGGGTGTTGAGACAGGCCCAGGTGACTCAAAAGGCTTGAAAGGGGCAAGGTCAGCCTCCACTGCTACCTCTGGCTCAGCTACAACCTCATGATTGTCTAGCTTGAAGGAACTGAAGAAGTTATCAGGGTATTCATCATCACTTGCAGTTAAGTCAACTATAGTGGCTGATTTGGATAAGTTTTCAGAGTCTGATGCTGGCAGGATCTCATCGTCAGTTCCTGTTAATACTGATGTTCATCATGAGTCTATTGACAATCAACAAACAAGACCAACAGACTGTACCTTGACAATATTTGCTTTTTTTGGGGGGCTCGGATAAGCTTGACTTGGATGAGGAGTTGTCATCTGAGTCATCAGATATGCTCTCAGACTCGGTGAGATCATGAGTGTTATGAACTCAGATAGAGCATCGTTCCAATAAAGGAATCAAGATCAAGGTCAATCAAGAACTAAGCCTTATCGAGTCAATGCCTCCCTCAGGAGCGATTGTCTAGACTCCCGCAGGATCTAGAGTTCAAGTTATCAGAGAGAACTGAGTAGATTCAAGTTAGAGAAAATACAAGTGGTAACTAGAGTTTATATACATAAAGGAATTGTGCACAGACCATGCTGGGCAAAGGGTAACAACTACTAGGAAAGGAAGGTTCATGGGAAAACAAGGTATGAGTCAGAGATAAGGGAGACCATGAGGAAACAGCACAGTGAAAAGGAAGTGTTAGAAGTACAGCCATATAGGAGTCCACAGTGATGATGGGAAAAAGAGTGGGGCACTGTAACAATGAGATGCCGATCTAGATGGGAGAGAGGGCATCTTATCCTTCCCTTTTGATTTCACCCATCCTTGTAACACTGATGTTGGGATGCTCTGGCGAGTGGCTAAGAAATAAGCTATCAGTAGTCTGTGTGAAGCAAATGAACTAAGGACTGACCTAGAATGACCACATTTTCTCGAAATCCACCTCTCTTATTTGTCCTTGCATTTCGTGCCACCAATGATCCATCAGGGAATTGGATACCAGGAGGGATTATGATTCTTTGCTTCTCCTTGACACAAAGATAGTATTGGGGCAGATATTGAAAGATCTCATCTTGGTGCTCCTTGTAATCTGGATTAGGCAACTTTGGCAAGGCATTGAGATAAAGGAAGAGTCATGGGAAAAATTTGCGAAGCTCAAGGTCAAAGAGCATGAAAGACCAGTTCTTGCTGATGACAATACCATCAATATGATCTGTGATCACTAGTCTCATGACTTCAAGAGTCTGGACTTCCACCAGAGTTGGCATTTGAGGATTGCAAAGAACAGGTGTCAGAAGGGGGATGTATGAATGCGAGGTCTTCTTAGGCTAACAAGGTTAGAATCAGTAATCTCAGCCAATAGTAGTCGCAATATCAACTACTTACCTGTTTTGTCCCACAAGGAATGAAAATGATTTCACCAGCTATAAACTGGAAGTCAAGAGGACGAGCTGACTTTGACTAGTAAACAAGTATTCCAAGTCCATGGCATAAGCAACAACTCCTTTTCAAACATGCTGGCACTTACTTTGGGGACCATCTGGGCCTTAGACCTGCTGTGTGATTGAGAAGCAGACTTTAAACCTTGGTTGGCCTTGCTATTGGCCTTTCTATAGGCAGTTGAAGATCCAGCTGAACCTCTGAGCAATTCCTGCAGAGTAGAGTTAACTGCTAGTGTCAAGCTTGATTTTCTAGAGGTTTCCATTTGCTTAGACTCCAAGGTAGAAGGATGCAAATTGAAACCAGATGAAGTTTTACAAGAGCTGCTGGCTTGTTGCTTATGCTTGAGAGCCATATGACAGAATTGAAAAAAACAAAGAGTAGTGAAGGAGTGACTGGTAGAGACAGGACAGAAGTATTTGAAAAAAAGAAAGTGAATTGTAGATTGTAGTAGTATGAAAGTGGTCATAATTGAATTCAACCACATTGCCCATCATGTGATCTGTGGCTGCTCATGTCATATAATTGCATAGTCACTTTAAACTTAACATTGTCAATTCAGATTGATCACTCTTATATTGATAGTCTAGATATTGTAATTGTAATTAGCCATCAGAATCGTCATGATCACCAACACTAGCAGTAGTACTATCTGTGTCACTATCTGATTCAACATCAGTACCAGCAAGCTCCAAAAGCCTGATCATAATATTGAGTGCTCGACACCACTGGATTGCCCTAGGTCACCAAATAAAGTCAGGTAAGGGAATTTGTAGTTCTTTGGTCCCTTGTTGTCCTGATTGAATTATTTCATGTGAAGGATACTCGTCATCATCCCATTCATGTGGAAGGATACCAAATCCATCTGGGATATGCTCTGCCTCTCATACTTGATCAAGGGCTTGATGAAAGGTGTCATAAAGAGTAGCAGAGCAAAAAGGACTGGCATGTTTCAGGACACAGACAGGCTTATGGTGAAAATGGGCATCATGATCTGCAGCAATAAGCTGGGGAAGCTCTTGTAGATCTTCTGTACCAATGTCCTCTGCATCATTAATATCTTCCCATTCCTCTTCTGATTCTTCACCATCTGATTCTCCATCAGTAGATCCAGAAGCTGAGTATACCTCATCTGAGGGGTGACCTGCTCCAGTTTGATGGGGTGCACAATGAATAGGCCTTCCTGCAGTTCCATAATATTGTCTGATGATATCAGGATGGACTCCTTCACAATTGTCAGCATATAGTCCATGCTTGAGCTGGCCCATAAGCCTCATATCCTGATAGATACAAAATCAAAATCAATTTATTTAGCTGGCTGTGTCTGAGCTATTAGATGACATACATTCAGGCTCTGATCATGTCCTTCTCCAGAGATAGGGTGTACATTCCATTCAGCTTGAAATGTGTTGCAGTCAGACTCGATCTGTCCGAGGAACAGCTCATGTAATAGCCAAAGATGCTGGGCATTAGATACATTGAGTCCATGAAGCCTCTCGAGCCGGTAGAAAAATGCATGCCACATGCGAGCAAATTGAGTGCTGACCTCAACCCAGGATCATTCAATCCTGCTGTTGTGAGTTGATCTAGCAAGCAGCAGATTTTGGAACAACTAATGTAAGCAATTAAAGTGTGGTTACTTATGATCCCCACATAAAGCTTGCATGGTTAGGCCCTCTAGTCATGATCATATAAACTGATACCTTCTTGTTTTCTCTGCCTCTATCACCTCGTACTCTTGAAGGTGTACCATAGAGAGCGACTGCATTCAAAAACACCCCAAGCACTGTGGATGCACTATTGCTTGTGCTGGGATGAATGGCAACCATATAAAAGTCAATATCTATCAGATATGGGTGGCTAGTGAAGAATAATAGCCTACTGTGCAACAATACCCATCAATGATACCATGGATTATGATACCCCAATGAATCAGCTTATGGTGACCATCCATGTGCCACAGAGCATTCAGCCATGAAACCTTGTACTGTCACTGTTGAATCATAGTGCGTTGTTGGAGGACAGTTCCTAAGGGATCAACACAGTGGATAGAGGCAGTAATATGCTGCTGCTGTATCCACAAGCCCAGCTGTCATAGATGGCCAGTAAGATAGCAAACTCCAGAATTTGGTTTCATCTGACAAAACTCCCAAACAGCATGATCCAGGTCAGCATCCAAGATTAAGCTATACTTGTAGCTAACATTGTTCTGCTTCAAGTAGGAGTGCAAAGTATTATGGTGGATACCCATGACTCGTGCAAGTTTGGTTTGTTGTAGATGGCAACCAGGAGATGTTGCTATCCTTAAGGTTTTGCACCTGTGGATGATAAGCAATAGCATCAAGTTCACTATTGATGGGCTGGAAAACCTCACCCTGCAGCCTACTCACAGACTAGAACTTGCTCGGTTATATTCCATACCCCAGTGGATTGCTCCAGCAATCCGCAAGATCATATTGCTGTCACTTGTGAACACTACCAATACTGAGGCTGCTCAGATGGGGTTCAAAGTATATACAATTATCACTCAGGCAAAAGAGGTGATAGAGCAAAAATGACAAGCATTGGCAGTTTACCCACCCTCACTCCTTGTTTCACCATCTTTCAGCTGCTTGACTCACTTACATAGCTGGTGCAAGGAGGCATGGTCAGGATTCTGGTGGAAGAAAGTAGCTCATGTGATCCTCCACCCAACAAACCCACTCCCACTGGCACAGACCCTCCAACTCATCATTGAGGCCCCATTACCTGATGGTATGAATATTGCATGCAGACAAGCTATGGTTGATGTGATGATAGAATTAGATGGGCTCGAGGTCAAGGAGAGGATTATCAAGGGGGTCATAAGAGCAGTCACTTTGTATTTCAGCTCCCTGTAACATATTTCCAGTAGAAACTGTGGGTGTGATGATAGGTTGTTGCATAGAAGCCAGGATTTTATGTCAGAAAATCAAAAAAAAAGCATAAATGTAATGAAAATGAGCAACAAATGATTAGGATAACCTCTACAGTGAATAACATGACATAATTAATTGTGGCAATGGGGGAGTTGAACAGCAGAGCTTCCTGGCTAAATCCTGCACAGCAACGCAACAGGGACCAAGTTACCACTACACTATCCTGGGGGCGACACTATTTATTTTTTTGGGGGGGCACACATTTTTTCGGGGGGACACACATTTTCTCAGTGGTCACACATTTTTGTTTCGGGGCGACACAAATAATATTTGTGCAGATTCAACAGCATAGTCGCTACGGTGATATTGATGGCTTAGTCGTAGCCTATGGACACGGGCAGCCATGCGCTGGATGAAGCTCGGAATAAAGAATAAATTGTTCCGCTCCCTGCAGAGTACCCGAAAAGTGTTAACCATATCGAGCGTTTCTCGTGCTACACTACTGCTAGTTGACACATGCAGGCGTTCCTGAAAATCGTTAGCTGAACTCATGGTGGTTCCCATATCGGAGCTGGCCACGAGCTTAGTGTGATCCCAGCACAATCATCTGGATGCACGAATTTTTTTCAAGAACGCCAACAGGGACGATTTCCCCAGGAATTTAAGTCCTATATAGAATGGTGAACTGAAGGAGTCAGTGACAGATCGGCATCATGATACCGCTGACAGCATCGGAGACAAATAAATGAGGTGGATGCACGGAACAACAACAAAGCTGATATGCGTGAAACTTAAGCAGGGGGAGAGAACTGGGTTCACGTTATGAGCTCACCTTGCGAAGTAAGCTATGTTACTCTTCGTCAACGCCGTGGAACGGTTCCCGGGCCCGATATTCATCCTTTCGATGGTTACGAAAGTGTTTAACAACAATCCAAAATGCGAGACACGGCGTGAGGACCTCCCATGCAGTCATGGTCATGGAAACCATAAGTAGATTCCCCTCAAAAGGTAACAGTGCACTAATAGGTGCTGGATAGAATGAGCACCTCTGCTGAACCCGTCGATGAGCCTGATGCGGCACCGAAGTCTTTCATCCATGAATAAAGCCTACCTTCTTAAATGAGTCGTTGATATTTCGGTGATCACTCTGGTCGCAATCTTGACAGCCAGGAAGACGACAACCAGAAATATCAGTATTTTTCTGGATCTCTGATACATGCCGTGTAGCCGAGTAGATGATCATGATGACTTGCATGATGTTTCAGTTAAGTCAACATCGCTGAGGTATCGCAGCAGCACAACTCACCGCCAAAGTATTGCACTGGCAAATACGTCAATATCCATCCAATTTTTTATGATGGACATCAGGTTCTGGCCAGGAACTAGAACAGAAAATTGAACGCACAAGTTGTTCAAGAATCTCATTCACCCCTGCATGGATGGAAATGCTGGGCATCGGTACAGAACAACAAGTTGAAGTATTGACGCATGTGTCAACTATATAGCGTCGACAAGAAGACCTCCTTCGATAGGTCTTAGTAGGTACTCGTGAGGAAAGTTGCATGCTGTAAAGCCTCACAGGGTGTAGGGGGCACTGTGCCATATCGAACCTTCCACATGAAATATAACTATCCATGAGATAACAGTGATGATGAATAACTATGGGAATATATGGGAGATATCACATGAAGCATCTACACGTATTAGATACTGTGAATCAGTAAAGTGCAAGGGTGAAATGATGTACAGTGTTTGAGTAGAATATGTGATCGAAAACACAAGAAGAGTACTAGTGGTATACAAAGAGGTGACACGAGGCGCATGGCCATATGCAAGGAAAACAAGGCAGAAGCGGCACTCTAGCTCAATACTCACCAGCCGTCGATTATCACTACCTAACAACATTTGCCCGAGGGTGCCCAATTTTTCAATCGAAGCTTGTCCGAGCGTCGCCTTCGAGCTCCGCTAAGACTCCCAAAGCTAAGATGGCTAGAGCTCGTCACTCTTCGGAGAGCACGGTCCCCATAGCTGACACCGCTCCCGGCTTTCTCGGGATCTAATATTCCTGACTCTATGGAAAGTAGGATAGACCTTGCGGCAAGCAGAAATGGAGCTTCAACGTTGTCGCCGCTTAGTGAAGAAACCTCGAGAAAGTGAACATCTTTTAATAGTGTCAGTATATTTAAGGTCAAAAGAACGACAGATTACCATTCTGCGCCGCCCATCTACTAGCTTCAGCCCACTCCACTTCACGGTCCTCCTCCCTGTCCGACTTGTTTCCAACCAGGACTGCAACTAAGTGTGGGCTTGCCAAAGCTCTGGCATCAGTGAGCCACTGGGACATATTCAAAAAAGAATCGCGGCTGTCAGTAAAAGCTATGAGGATCAAGGCAATGGGTAAGTACGAATACACCAACTTCGTGATATCGTATACAAGGATTACGCCAGCCGCACCACGGTAGTAGCTACGCGTTACAGATCTGTTCCCCGTGCTGCTGTCAGGATTGGAGCAAGTCACATCAAACGCACAACGAACCGGAAGCGCTCCTGACCGGCAGTATCCCATAGCTGTGAACACTGTGAGGGATGCGGAGTTATTGAAGGGCATAACGTACTTGAAGCTTAATCCTCTTCTCCCCTAACTTTACTGTTCTACTAGAGAACTCCACTCCGATGGTGTGTTGAGAGTGGTCCTTGACTATGAGCAGGCCTGAGACTGACACCCAGTAGAGAAACGGACGACAAACATGCGTTGTGGGTAAAGTGGTGCAACAAACATGATTTGCCTGTCCCTGCCTCTCCTGCAAGTGGAAGAAGTCTTACTCCGAATCACCTGTTCCCGGTAAGCGCAACACACCGATGATAATGTACTTCATTAAGAAGTCTGGAAGTTCATGAGCATGAATCCAATTCAATAGATCACCCAAAACAAACCGTAAGTTTCCAGAAGTTCTGTAGCATCTACATCATATTCGTCTAGCGCCATAGAGTAAGGAATAGGGTGTTGGTTTAGGTGCCGATTCGTGAAGCTTCCGCCAATTGCTGCAGAGAGGCTTACAAAGTTCCCACGATCTTCAGTCCAACCATTTTCATCTTCAATTACATAATACATGCGTGTAAGTCTAGCTGACTACCAGCCCTTCCATGGGACCCAAATGTCAACCACTTTATCACCTCCTTCATCCGAATCGATGATGTAGTACCACGGGTAAGCAGCAGCTATCAAACATGCGTGCTGCCCAATAATCTCGATAGTATCTCCGATCTTCAATGTAGGATTTGTGCGACCTGACTCTGGGTCTGGGGTAACTTGTTCCAGTGTCCCGTGCTCCTGTGAAATTCTTCCTAGCTTCCATGACCTGCCAACAACCTCCCCGAAGCCTGGAATACGACCCGTGTCTTTACTCATAGCTATGGCACCAGCATCACACATGGCTTCGTCTCGCCCGTCACTTCCTCTTCCGGGGTAGTATGAAATGACAGTGGCTAAAACCTTCTGGGAGATTTGTGGACGGCCGATCAAGGTTGTGTGTACCTGCTGGAGATCGAGCATGGTATAATTTCCTGTACGAATCGGTTTATAAACTCCCTTCTTGATGAAGTTTCGCTTACCTGTATGGAGCTCCAGTGTTCCATTGAGTGTAGATGTCATCTTCAGCTTGGCTTCCGCGGTTGCGCTAAGAGCAGTCGGAGTAGATCCCACGGAGAGGACGAATGGCTGCTTGTCGACCTCTCTGTTATCTGACTCTGCCAGAACTTCCATGGCCATGGCTGCTGCATCATTGGTGAGACGCACTTCCCCTGTTAAATATGATGTAGCTTGCTCCAGTGATGTTGATCCATACGAGTTTCCGGCGTGGGTATAAAATCCAAACACCGAAATTACCGAAGACGCAAACACCCTCCTCATGAATGCTTTGAAAGACACGGGCTCTGGAAGTATTCCGGCTCGCCTATGTTTGTAAGCAGTATATCACTGTGGTATTCAGAGAACATACTTTGTACCGCCATTCATCTTGATAAACGCAGACCATTTCTTCGGGTGCTCTTGCGCCCTCTCGTATTCCTCCAGAAATTTCACTTGATCTAAATGATCTAAGAAAATACGAACAGTTCCTCCGTATCTTGTCATCTCAGCATGCAGAGCAGACAGATCATCCAACTTGTTCAATCCAACTGGAAGCCCGTACAGAATCTGAAAAATAGGTGAGAATCGGAATAATTTTACATGCTTCTTGACCAACATCTTTGACTGTACCGTCGGCTACGAGACCACCTTGCACCACTCCCCAAGCTTCCATAAGTGTCGATACAACGACTGCAGAAGTTCTGCCGACATCTGAAACTAACTGCAATTTCGTTCCTTCGACTGTCTGATGAGAGTCATCACAGTGGATTTCATTTGTGTTTGACCTCTCCTACCTTGTGAGTCTTCAAGTGTCCTCTAAAAGTTGCTCCCCAGTCTCTAGCATTCTCGTGCATCTTCCTGCAGTTCTCTGCGAACACTGCGCGGTCCACGACGAAGGCGGGTGTTCTCAGCGCATTGAGTGGTTTGCCCACAAATTCAGCAACCAATGCATCTTTATTGGGGTTAAGAAAGTGCAATGGTGTTTTAGTCTGCAGCATGGGTGTCATGATCTTTGCGGTGGGAGTTGGCTGTCAATATCGCGCCGATATCATTTGCTTATAACTCTCCAATGCAAGCTGCTTCCTCCGATATCTATATCGTGTCCAACCCGTCATGATGTCGTTGCAGCTGCCTTTTGTATCTATATCGTGTCCAACCCGTCACGATGTCGTTGCAGCTGCCTTTTGTATCTATCATGTGGTATGTCTTGCACACAACGTGGCAAGCTTTTCATTCGCCTTCAATAGAGGCTTTGCAAGCTCCACGGTATCTACGATTATCGAATGCTATTAACAGCTCTTCGTATCTACGGGATTCCGTCATATGTCCTGGTGACCCTACGAGATCGGCCCGCCCTGACCGAGGTGAATCGTCCGACCTCTACATAGAGGATGTTGTCTGAAAGATACCTAATTATCACTTTTGAAGGGAACCTGCTCCGAATCCATTGTTTCAATTGAAATGGCAGCTCCGCAACCTGAAGCCACTAAACCGCAAGCCATTGACCCAGACATCCTTCCACGTCTCGATCCCGAGTATGTTGCCTTCCACAATAAATATGTCGCACATCTCGTTCCCCCTCACACCCTACCTTGGAACCCCGCCATCCGTAATGGTGACACCGTACCGGGAAGCGCAGAGGTCTTGCCAGTCGGCAGTGTTCAAGACTATGATTTGAGCCACTGTAAGGTACGCGTCTTTACGCCGGAGGGCACTCCTCCCCCTGACGGCTGGCCTGCATATGTCTGGTATCACGGTGGTGAGTTTGAGGCACTTTTCAATATCAACGATATTGAAGTGGTGTTATAAGGCGGATGGACTCTTGGAAACATTAGCTCAGAAAACGCTTTCTGCTCTCGACTTTGCAAAGGTAAAATTACGAGGTATCAAAACATACCTAACGTTGTGTGCTTATCGCTAGCTTGCAGGAGCGAGGTGTGTTGTAGCATCACCAGATTATCGCCTTGCGCCAGAACATCCTTACCCCGCCGCGGTGGAAGACTCATTCGAAACACTGCAATGGGTCTCTGAGAAGGGAAAATCCCTCTTGGGAGTTGATCCTACGAGACTGGCGATTGGTGGCTCATCTGCGTAGGTGGTTACTGTCCGATGCATCGAGATTGTTTTGACCACCATTCTTTTAGTGGCGGTAATCTTGCGGCCATAATCTCTATGAAGGCTGCCGAACTCAAACCAGCTATCCCTCTGAAGCTTGCACAGCTCATTGTCCCAGTAACTGATAATACTGCTCTCCACACGGATGATCTGTACCCGTCTTGGAAGGAGAACGCAAATACAGTGTGGCTCAATACAGGGAGGATGCTCTGGTTCCGGAATTTCTACGTTCCAAAGGAGGCAGAAAGGACCGAGTGGGACAACTCGCCAATATTTGCGCCTGATGAGCTGCTAGCCAAGTCTCCAAAGACTTGGATCGCGGTGATGGAACTTGACATTCTTAGAGATGAAGGCCTGGCATACGGCGAACGACTCAAGAAAGCTGGTGTGCCAGTCTCACACAAACTGTATGAGAAGGCACCCCATCAGATTTTGGCTATGGATGGTAAGACTCCTCGTACTGTTATTATATGATTGATCAGCTGATCATATCTATCTGCTTTTTGTCTGTAAGGGTAAGTCACAAGAGCTCATTCTCATTGAATGCTTTTCTCATACAATCTTCAGTGTTCTAAGTATCGGTCGCGAGCTCGTGAGTGATGCGGTCCAGAACCTTGCCGAGGCCTTTGGTGCATCGTGAATCATTGGAGTTACGAGTACCAAATACAGTCGAGCTGAATGTGACAACGATGATGTGGACGCTTTTTTCGTCCAAGTATGTGCCATGGGTACTAGGTCTTTTTACTGCTCAGGCGAATACTATTGGAGTGGAATTGATAGGGTCGTACCTCTGTTCGAATGGAGTCTTATCACCTCGGAATCAAGCAGCAGGTAACTTATGTTGACAAGCCTGAAAATAATTCTTGGAAAATCACGAGTACAACAATCAAACTGCAGCAATCGCTTCGATCTCTATGTCTACATCGTGAGGCAACCCCCCAGCTTGGATACATGTACGAGCCGGCTTAGGGTTTGGGAGAAACTGAAAACATTGTTGATGAGCCAATCTCAATCAGAAGAAATGATTATGACAAGCCTTAATATACTCCTCGTTCATGGCTGCGTAGTCGCCCATGCTCTTGAGGTAAATGTTCACTTTCACCACTTTGTCCCATGACGAACCAGCGGCTTTCAGTACGTCAGTCAAGTTAGAGAGGCATTGAACCTGTAGAGCCCGAGTGTCAGGTAACAGGTCGCAGGTTCATCATGATGATGAACTTGCAGTATGGGCTTTGACGTCCCCTGGGACCACGTTGCCTGTACTATCCACAGGGGTTTGTCCGCTGCAGAAGATAAGGCCCGGAATCTTCACCGCATGTGCTGAGGCCCGTTGGTTAGTTTCTATCATCGACTCGTTTAAATTTGAGCTCATACAATACATAGGTGCTAGCGGCCTTTCTGGACTGTTGATTTTTTGAACAGACATGTTGAATATCAATGGCAGAAAGAAAACAGATTCAAGGGGATTAGAAAAATGAACTTGGTGTCGAGCTACATAATATGGGGACGAGGAGTCCTATCCTGAATAAGCTGTTCAGGTGACCACATCTTATCTTAGACCGTTACGTCCTACGTGGCATAGATATCGCCAAATCACATGAGCTGCAGGATGGTGTCACAAGATAGCGGAGGAGACACATTCGCACTTACGGATTCCGGTTTTCCGAAGCGCCGCCAATGATGCCAAATCGCCGTTTATCGTTGCCGTAAGATCTGGTCACCATTCATCCAAGGCTTGTGTATCTGTGTACTGCATACCACAACCTGGCCTGGCGACCACTCTGAAGAAATCCCACGTTCCTGGAGCGCAGGCTTGTCAGGCTCACCACCAGGATAAAGGACAATCAACGACTGGATTTAGACAGTACGAGAATCTACGGCAAGAAAAGACACTCTGAGAAAATGGAACTCGTCATGAGATGGACAAGAATCGGCGATCAACCTGCCTGCGCTTGTGATCTTTTCTCCGGAAGACTATGCACAGCATAAGTTTGGGAATACCAATCGAATCGGCCAATAGAGACCTGTAGCATACAAGCATCAATATCTTCAAACCGTCATCACTTCAGCATGGAATAAGTCGAGAAATGGTCACTCGAGTGGGACCGGAATCGGTGGAGATATCGCTCATTGATGCGCAGCCATTATCGCATCGGAGATAAATACCGCAGACACTTGTTTGCCACCGAACCACCGAGCGTTGAGACCTTGCACAGCATTCTTGGCGGATTCGATTGTGTCAAACTTGACGTAGATCTCACCCTGCAGTTGCGTTCAAGAATTAAATCAAAAACTAAACGTGGATAAAATGCAAACCTGTGTCTCCCTTTCGACCTTGATGGCATTTACTATGCCGTATTTTTCTTCACACTCGCCTTTGACGTCGTCAGCGAGCTCTTTATCCCAGTCACGTTCAGTTTCCCTATAGCACGAGAAAGTTTGTTAGAAAAAAAATCGATTGCTTGGATGTGAACCCACTCCTCTGGGTCAAACATATTCTTCAATAAGACAGAACGGGACTGCATAGCTTGTGGAATGTTCGGTTTGTTGCTGCAAATAATTGTAAGATAAGTTGTTGGTATAATTAAATTTTACATACACAAGCTGCGGCTTCGGAGCAGGCTCGATTCTAGCAAGTTTCTGCATTAGTGCTTGACGTGATGCTGCGTTCAAATTACCGCCTATAAAAATATCAGTAAATACTTTGAAAGGTTGATTAAAACGCACCGCCAGCTTCGTCTAACGAATCCTGCTGGGCGTATCGCACAGTGCCCTTCTCGTGGACTGTGTTGACTCTCAGCTGTAGCTGAAATTGAATGACAATCTATGAGTTTGCGATTTGGGATGCCCTACCGTTCTACCAGCAAGCTCGAAGCCTTCCATTTGTTCAAGAGCCATTCTGGCATCCTCGGCGCGTTTATATCTATTAACTTTAGTGGATGCCTAAAATGCAGGACAAATGTTTACTTACTGCACAAACGCGTAACCTTTGCTGCGCCCGGTCATAGGGTCCCTGTGCAAATCAACAAATTCCAATTCCCCGAAGGGTTCAAAGACCTGCTTGATATCGGATTCGGTAAGGTTGAAATGCAAGGAACCAACGTAAAGTCTGAAAAGCAACGTCACAACTTTGGAGCGAGTAGCTGAGGAGCTTGCTTACTGCATAGCTCCATGAGGCGCATGAACGCCAGGTGGAAGATTTAGGTTCCTCGATGAACTGTCAGATGATAGAAACACACGACACCTGCAAAACTCACCCGTCTCCTGGATGAAGCCTATTCCTTTCTGACTCAGTCAATTGAACCATGATAGGGAGACCCATTACGACTGTTCCGCTCAATGACATAGCTTTCTCTACCAAATCGATCGACCGGAACTCGACGTATCCAATGCTACCAAAGGCATGAGCATCTCAGAAACAATCTCAAGAAGTGGTAGAACACACCCTTTAGAACGGCGTGACAGCCGGTCCGTGACAATCCTAGAATCCATTACGGTCCCTTCACCGAGTTTATCCTCGAAAAAGTACCCAAGGTCACGCGCCGTGAGACGAGCGGCAAGCTGAGAAACAAAGACCGACCGAGCTTCTGAATCGTCTTCTTTAGGTTCATCGGGATTGTAGTCTTCTTGTGCCTCATAAGTAGGTGAAGGCCGTCTAGATATTATGAGTAACAAGTCATAGTAATACGAAGGTAGCATACTTGATTGGCGGGGAACTCATCTTGAATGAGCCCTTGTCTGGCTCCTCCTCGTTAAGCGGAGTGTCCTCAATGGGGGGACGTTTGTCGGGTGCACGATCCCTTTCCCTCCGGAACCGAGGAGGGTCATCGAACTCGTCTCGTGGGTCACGATACCTACGTTCACGTGAGCGATCTCTACGGTCATGACCCCTTCGTGGACTGTCCTTGGGCGGAAGTCCAGCAGAAGACTCGTCCATGTCATCGTATCTCTTCTTCTTCAAGCGTTCATCTGGGGGCTCGTCGGTTTCTTCCCTCTTGCGGCGCTTGTCACGGTCTCCCCCATCACGGTCACGGCGATGAACGTCTCCCCGCTCCCGTCTATCGTCATCACGATGACGCCTGTCTTTGTCTTTTTCACGATCGCGGTCCCTGTGGGACCTCTCGCGCGAGCGATCACGATAATCTCGTTCACTTCCTCGGTCGCGACTCCGTCGTCGTTTGTCGTCATAATCTCTTTCTCTGCGCTTTTCACGACGGTCTCGGTCATGCGAGCCAGAACGAAGAGACCGCCTCGTGCGATGGGTATCAGTGGAATGGTTGCGAGACCTCATGAAGATATCAGTAGGTAAGTTGAAAATAAAACAATGAGTGTGAAAGACGCACGATTTTCGATTGGGAGATATGTCTACATCCATTTTGCTTGGTAGTGGACTTCGCTTGTGGTGGACAGTGTTTGAGTTGCTTGTGCAGTGATTCGGAACAAACATGCGAAAACTTCGTGTGGTAACACAGCCACACGCATAAATACGATTTTTGGATACAGACAGTGTACGAAGGGAGATAGAGTCACTACGCATGTAAGTACTTAAATGTGGCCGTACATAGGGTCAGGTGCCTGTTCGATGAAAAATATCTACAAAAGCCCAGCCAATCTTGCTCTGACGCGCTTCTCAGCCTTGACGAGCTCCATTTCCTCCGATCGTTTATACAGTTCATTCAGGGGGTTCGTATCACCTTCCTCGTCGAGATCATCCTCGATTTGGCTGAAAGCCTCGCAGAACTTGCCGCTCAATATCTGCATAAGAGGATTCAGCAGGGCTTGGGAATTCAAAAAGAAAAATCATGCCTGGTTGTACAGGATGTCCTTGAAGTGTTCCCGCATGGCCCCTCCTTCGAGCTTAAGTGAACCACTCAGTTGACCGTACTGAGAGACAGTAGAGTGGTGCTTGAGCTAATTTTTTAATACCATGCATCAGTATCATTTTTCATTTTTCATCGTACATAATCTTACCTGTGCGACGAAACCATCATCTGCGGCTCGCTCGAAGATCTCTGCGGGTTCTTTCGACATCCACCTGGGAGCGAATTCATTACAAATAAAGTCTGTTATAAAATAACTCACATTTCGTAGCAAAGAGCCTCGTCCGAGCATCCAGCATCCTTGAGGACATTGAAAGCTTCCCTACCAGCAACTATGTTATTTACGGTGGCGTTTGAAACTTTGGCGGCATTCAAACCTGAACATCATAATGATGTTGGGCCAGAGAGCCTGTTCAGCGAAGAGATCCATCACAGTCTCTTCCCGCACTGAAGAAGCAATGGCTCCCTGTTTGGTTGCACCAATGGCGCGGGAGAGTGCAAGAGCTGCATCCAAGCCTTTGCCGGTCCCGTTCTGCTCGACAGAAACAAAGCAAGGGAAACCACGACCTTTCTCGTGGAGAGAGCGCACTGAAGAGCCGATCATCCTGTAAAAAGCGTCAGCCAGGGATTGTGTGACCCGACGAAATCGTACAGCTACCGACTTACCGTGGAGCAACCATCACGACATCCTGCCCTGGCTGGAATCTTAACAAGTTGAAGAAAACGTTGTACCCGGAAGCAACAACAATGGTGGCATTACTCTTCAATTTGGGTGAGAATTGCTCATTAAACACGCGGGGTTGGACCTGGTCTGGTATCAGGATAAAAAGGACTAGGAATTCCTGCAATTAGTTAGGATTGAACAGTTTGAATTCACACATACCGTCTGCAACTTTGGCAGCTTTTGCAAAGTCGTGTTCAACGTGAAAGCCTTTAGATTTCGCAGTCTCAGCATACGAATCCACCCGGTTGGCAATCAGGATTTGATCATTAGGGATGCCACTGTCGCGCAAGTTCTGCGCTTGTGCAGATCCCTGATTTCCAAAGCTAAGAAATAAAATGAACGGGGTCCGAAGACATAAGCGAACTCGAGGACTTGCCCGAGGAACACAATCTTCTTGTTACTCAGGACACCTAGGTCCGCGTCAGAGTCATAGTAGCTGCAGCATATTTCAAGATCCTCGTAGCGTTCTAAGACAATCAGACACGCACATCTTGGCTTGTCCCATAATGAATTCAAGTCTGGAGAGGAGAGCACGCTTGTAGAATACCTATTTCCCTTTATCATGGGTCCTTATAAATCCACAGCGGGGAGCAGTAGCCGAATAACAATCCCAATGGCCCTTGGTTCGAGTCACGTTCCACGATTATAGATATCAAGATGAGCTTGTGCGGAAGTCATGAGGAGCACAAGATGACAGAAGACCCAGTTCGCGGACCGGTTGACACCGTCCATCCGCACTTTATCCCGGGATTCCGCATGGCGCTGTATATAGAGAGAGATATTTCTTGAGTCGTTTGGCTATGGCTTTGCTAGCAAACAAGATCGTGTGCATAACTGGGTCGTCTCGAGGTATTGGCCGAGCATGCGCGGTCGAATCGGCTAAACATGGAGCAATTGGTTTAATATTGCATTACTTTGGAGATCAAGAGACCGAAGCGGAGCTTCAGTCTTTGAAAGAAGAGATACATGCGACGACTTACAATCACTGTCAAGTCGTCGGCGTGCCCGGCGATATCGCGGATTCGGAGACTTCACAAAAGGTGCGCACTGTCCGAAGGCAGTATTTACAAACGACCAGTTGTTCAAGTTCTCACGACATCCGAAATAGATCGTCGAAGCAGGCGTCGAAGCGTTCGGACGAATCGGTAGGCCGTAGGACTTGTAAAGTAAGAGATATTTTAACTGATGCTCAGACCAGATGTGCTTATCAGTAATGCGGGAATTTGTCCACTCGCCGAGTTCTTGACGATGCCCCATGCTATATGGGAACGTACCCGACAAGTAAATTTGGATGGCTCCTTTTACGTGGTGCAAGGTGTGTACCCTCGTGACTATGATAATATGGTTCTAAGGTGATATCGCGTTTCGTGCAGCGGTGGCAAATCAAATGAAAAGCCAGGTCCCCCAAGGCGGGTCTATCATCGGTCTGGCTTCTATTTCAGCGCTCGTGGGCGGTGAATTCCAATGGTTTGCATCTTGATACCTTGATGAACGAGACTCAACCTTTAAAATGTGTAGTCACTACACGCCGACAAAGGCAGGTATCGTGTCGATGATGCAAAGTTGTGCTATCGCTCTTGGGAAGTATAACATACGCTGTAATGCTATACTTCCTGGCACGATTGCTACGGACATCAATAAAGAGGACCTTGCGAATGAAGAAAAGCGGGAGTATACGATCAAAAGGACTGTGCTCGGGAGACTTGGCGGTACGATTCAGCTGAAAACATGTGTATCCGCTGTTACTGAAGTTTAATCTCCTAAATATAGCTCCCGACGATATAGCTGGGCCTATGGTGTTCCTTGCCAGTGATCTCGCAAAGTATGTCACCGGCGCGCAACTACTAGTGGACGGTGGACTATTTGTTAATCTTCAGTGATATATTTTCCCGGTGCAAAAAGGAGAAACGATCGTCTTCCTCACATGGCCAGCTAGTGCACTTGTGTATACCAGATACTACTTATAACACGCAAGCAATGCGCAGACTTGGATGTTTCATGTCTGAGTAAGGGACACGTTAAGCAACCTGTTCAAACAACACTTCATGTGGACACCTACTTCAGTGATGCAGACCTTCCGAATTTACTTGTCCATCTCCAAAAGCCATCCCAGCTCTTGTCCATTTACTACCGCTGGTTTCGCATCGACCAGAACTGTCGCCCACCGTGTCCATTCCTTCCCTGGGTTTCTCCAAGCATGATTTGTCCCTTTCTGAATCACAACATCTCCTGCGTTCTTGAGGTGTGTTTCTGTCCCATCGTCTGTTATCAAAACGAGTTCCCCATGGACTATTCATGATATACTTCAGTCAGGCTATGTCGTGTACGGCGAAGCGTATACGTACTCAGGATGTTATAGTCGATAGAGGGGGTCCGATGCTGCTCGTCTAGCTCCATGAAATTCGTATGTGTCAGACAACTCTACGCACCATCGGAGTACGAACTCCTGGACCAAGATCACTGTACATGAAGTTGGTCGCATTACTTGCAAATAATCCGAGGTCACCCACTTGACGGGCTCCGCCGTCCTCCCTATTGCATCTCACTTCGAACCACCAAGCTAGGATACTTCAAGTATACTACTCACGAACAATTGTTGTCATTCGTTGGCAGACCATCAGTAGAAGCCCAGAATGTGCCCGTTCGATGGCCATTGAAGTTTTCTATCATCACCTAGATTTGGGACGACGATAAGTCATTCCTGTACACCAATAGTGACCTGAATGGAATGCACACCGACGAATGAACTGTTCCATCAACTGAAACCACGGCCTGTCCGTCGCCATCATGCGAAGTTACGATGCGGCGAGGGCCTGGGAGAAATGGGGGTAGAGTACCAGACATGAAGCTTTAAAGGAGGTAGGAAAAGTCGTATAACATCAAAGATCTCGGTCTACCTAAGTACTTGCGGAACTTACATTCTTGACGTAAGTAGCCTGTAAGATATTCTTCACCTTTACGTCAGTATTTCAATCACTAGCGTAGCGTGATGTGGCATGTTCATCATGATGTGGCCGATTAAAGGATGTGAATCGTGAACTTCCGCGTACTACGGTCCAGATCAAATAGGCCAAACAATAGAACTTCACATGGCGCTGCGCAAGTGGTTAGTGGCCGATAGAAGCACGGGAATTGCGGGACTCCGGACATTGCGGTCCTGATAGGTTCGTCCAAGGAGTTCGCTTGTTTCCCGAAAAGGTAAAGGAAGAACGCCGAAACACCAAGACCACATCAATGTTCAAGTGCAAAGGTACAATATTGTACATGAAACCGGGACGAAGATGACATTGATAGTATGCTAGCGTTCAAGGAGCAGTGTCTAGCGCCAGCCACTGTCAGCGAGAGCAAGGATTTATTAAAAATACTCACAATAATAATATCCATCAACAAGAGGTATCCAGTCCTTCACGATAGAACTAAGGACTCCAAGTATCGGCGTATTAGCAGTCTTCTCCACAACAGCCTCAACTTTGGGCCTACAAAGGATCGAGACATTAGGCTTCGACAAAACTGGCATAAAATGCACAAACCTTGAATATGTCTCCCATACAGAGCCACGCAGAAGGTACCAGAGAATATCCCTGTCTCTGCGGGCATATTCTTCACGTTCTAGATCCGCAGAATTTGAGGGCGTCCGCCTCAAACTACGAGAGATAAGCTCCATGGCAAAAGCAGTCACAAGAGCCTTATCCTTGTGTTTCTTGATACTTAACATACTCGCTACAGGAAACTCGTGAGCATGTCAGGTCCCAGCACGTACTTTGCACTCACCGTAAACCAAGGGGCGAATGATGTAGATGCACTCAGAAACCCACTCCAAGGGCGATGACATAGGCTTCATCAGTAGCATAGAGGGCTTAACAGATGACGTCGTAAGAGCTTTAGGGAGGAGATAATCCTCCACTGATATGTCAGCACGGGCAGGTGGTGAGGGGGCGAGCATCAAAGCATTTGGCTGCAAGGGAATGTAATTATTCTTGAGGTGATCCGGAGTCGGTGGAGAAGACGACAACGGAGAAGTGGGAGCAAGCGTCGGAGAAGTGTGCGTAGAGCTAGGGGGCATCGATGCTGGATCAATGTCGCGTTCTGGAATTGGAGGAGACAAAAGTGGTCTTGTCGTGATCTTCAGTAGCGCGAACCGTAAAATCATTCTTTAGAAGTGAATTCAGACGCGAACTTGGGGCAGTCAGATCAGCCTTGGAACTTACTTCACAGTTTCGAGGAACACAATGCCTCTCCACCGGTTCTTGCCCGAGACTTTCCTCCGAAGCAGCATTTCAACAAGGAGTTGTGTAAAACGAATAAGCTCTAAAGATCGAGCAGCCCATTTGTATAATGTTTCCTTGTCTGACCAGGCGCGGGTATAGCGCGTGTGCAAGGGGATGGGAAGTATAGGCTTCCAATGAGGATCACTCTGCACAACTCTGGCCAGGAGGGTATCATGATACATGCTGGACACATGCAGTATCGCAGACACTAAGACCATACGTTATTGTTTGAACCAAGCACAAAATTATAGCAATGTTGATACTGACGACCCTCCGAAGCAAGATCGGCGTCTTTGAACCGTCCAGGTAGAAACCATGTTACAGACCTCAGCGAGGATTCGAGGGTGGAGATGGTGGAGACGTTCTTCACGAGGAAATTTTCATATTTTTCCAACGTCGACGACATGTATAGAGGTCCAGTATTAGTATATACCGTGAGCTGGAAGTGTGTTGGGAAGACTTATCGCCGCTTTGGCCAACCAGGTATGAAATCTCACGTGTTTTACATACGTTGCCGCCGGTTTAAGTCTCTTGCACCAATGCAAGTAGGAAAATGGTGCAAAAAATCCTATTCACAACGTAGCACTAGATACTCTACTGGTCAAAAGAGCGGTTATAATTTTTCACGATTTTCACGAGGCGTGACGTTAGCACTGTATGAACCAGGAGTCATTTTTCAATCTGCATCTTGCAAGAACACACCATATAGGATCTCCGTGAAGGTAAGTAGTAACACTGAGGTAAAGTTCACCGGTTCATTCCAAAGCCCCTAGTCTTTGTCGTTCCGCTTCCCGTTACCGTATTTGCTCCACCCGCTTCTCTCACGCGCCTCTCCACCTCATTTACCTTGCCCTCGACTTCGCGCACAGCCCCATCGATCCACTGCAGGCTGTCCAAATGGCTGCTCAAGATCTGAGATATCTGCATCATGGGATCATCGTTGCCAACCATCCCTTGTGACCCATTCGGTATTAGAGATAGTGCATTGACCGAATCAATCATCTGCGTCAATGATCCAGACAAATCGTCCAGGTGGGCATGCAGCTCTGTGGCTAGCATATAACTAATGGAGGACGGAAATCAAAATTGTGCAATCTCAAACTGAGGCAATATGAGGGCCCACTTTTTATCCCGCTCGGTGTCAGCAGGTCCAGTATCGAGCGCACGCAGAGTGCCGCTTTCTCCAAAAAGTTCTTCTGCAGATCGCTCGTACGCATCCAGCGTCGCAGAGAGATCCTTCTGCTGTTGCTCGATGTGGTCGAGAGCTTGATCAATGTCATTTTGTTCCCGCTCTACAGTCTGGACGTGGGTAAACAGAGTAGCCAGCTGCATCGTACACTGTCAGACGACGGATTCGACGAATGCGGAGCGAACAAACATACATTGTTGCCATTTTCCATCAAGGCCCGATCCCATACAGCGACTTCACCAGCGAACTTATTGAACTCTCGGACATGCACTTCCAGTTCAGATGACCACTTGTTTACTATCTCCTCGATAGTTTTCCCCCTGAGCGCCGATGGTGGAGGCACCGTTACTGAAGTGGCGGTAGCGGTTGTTGCTAACAGTAGGAATGAATGGATGGAAAGGATCAGTTTACCGAAAACTGCTCATACCATCTTTTGGTTTGTCAGATTCCTTAGACAACCCAAGGGTTGGTTGCCCTAGTGGCGCGGCTGGGGGAAATGAAGTCGTAGACAGGGTAGTGCCAATAAGACATGCTTACTTGTTGTTGCAGTGGTTGTGGATTTACCCCCAAACAAGTTGGTCACAGGCGCTGTGTGACTGCTGAAGATGGGCCTATTTCATCTGCGAAACGTGATCTCACCTGCAGGGGCCGTGGTTGCGGAGGCATTCTTTGCACCAAACAAATTAGCTGGTGGTGTTGATGCTGTGCAACATCCATCAGGCGGGTCATCTACACTACATGCAAATAACTCACCTGCAGGGGTAGTAGCTGCCGTGGTTACAGGCTTCAGGCCGAAGAGGCCGGTCGTAGGCACTATATACAAAGAGCATATTTTATGAGCAAAATGTTGGACGTGAAGAGAACATACATGTGCTGGCATCTTTCTTGTCCGACGAAGTATCCTTGTTTCCAAAGAGGTTGAATGCCGGAGGAGTAGTGGACTGCATTTCTTTGCCAACGTCCGAGAACACAACTCGAGACAATTATCGACAACTATTGGTTCGGCATGAATGCCGAGAGCGTGGACTTTGCAAACAATGCCAAGCAAACGCGCTCAAGCGCTCAAGCTCAAGGCTAGTACTTGTTCCACAACTCACTAGTACTCACTAGTGCTCAGGAAGTCGGTGCTCCAGACAGGAGATACGCCGTAGGCGTGTTGTGGGCGGTGCCATCAGCGCTTGAATATGATCTCTCGCAATCATTTGAATCACAATTCATTCATCAACACAGCAGGCCCAATGATGCTGGTAAATCACGGTACTGCCGACACATAATTAATACTCAAATGCTTTGCGACGACACTCATCGTTCCCTGACAGCTCGAGGCTATTAGGCACTTGCTGGATGAGTGAGTAGTACACCTCATTTATGACAGGAGCGAAAAGCAGACGTGCATATCTTATACATCATTTCTCAAATGAAAACCACGAACTTCTCGGCGTTGCGACTGGTTGAATAACCACGCTAGAACTTCTCGGACTGAACTGGGTCGTGCATGCAGGCGCCGTTGAACAGGGATCCCCATGAAGTGTCAACGTTCCGCACAGCAGCTTACCTTTGAAATCAAGGACAAATCCGCATGTTTCATAGCCTTAAATAACGGCCCCTATAGTACATACAATCATGCATGTTTTGCAATGACCATTGGAGATTTCATTTAAAAAATTCTCAAAAGTCGCGCGGCCCGATGGCATGGTGTTTTTACTAAAGTGATGTACAAAGCTTGTCACCAAACAGGTGTATCAACAGCCGATCAAATAATGAGAATCTCGCTTGAGTCATATGCATAATTGCTTTTGTAAAGCCTTTCTCCGCTCCGCTTTCCTGACTCTCTGATGCGCAGAGATTCGACTGCCAGCACTGCTACACTCCCCCCGCTGGACTACCTTCACTCCAGTCCAGTCAGAGGTCAACTAGAGCCTTCAGATGAGGTCACAAAAAAATCCGGCTGGCGTTTTCTCCAGTGCACAGACACTCCAAATGAGCTCAAAGTACGTACAACGACTTTCTCTTTCGATGGTTCTCAATCAGACGTACTGTAGGTACTTTTACCTCCCCGCACAGCTCAGCTATACTCCCGCCTGCTCAAAGCAGAGAAATCTGAGCTCGCCAAAAAGTCCAATGCATCTTGGGACCGTATCCTCGAAATACGGCACCTCAAGGATAGAATGATTAGAAAGTGCCAGAGGCTAGCTCGTTCTTATTCCGCCAGCAGGCCTTCTGCGAAGGTCCCCTTCTTGTCCATTCATGCGCCACTTGATTTCAGATTAAAAGAGATGGAGAAGTGGATTCGCCTACATGGCGAGCCTGATGAATCCAGCAAGACGATGCCTGTGGGCAACTCCATCCGCCCGCGCAATTCATTCTGCTGTGATCGTTGCACGAATATGGTCCCTCATCAGCACACCATATCTCGTCGACCATCAACCCAATCAACCCACTCCCGTCGTTCAGCACTCTCCGACCATTCCCCATCAAAAGCTCTCCCACCATCTCCCCGACGTGCTCGCTCCTCCAAGGCGAGTTCTGTCCAAAGCGATCACAAACCTTCTCCCGTTGCGAGCTCCATCACTTTGAATGAGAGTCATTCGCATCATCAAAGTCAATTATACGAAAGCAGGGTCCACGAAAGTAGTATACACCAGGAGACCGGGGATAACCAAGTACATGCGACTTTCACCACACACGAGAGTGGGTTTGATGATAGTAGCAGTACTCAGGAAAGCAGGGTCCAAGACGCCAGCAATATTCGTACGCGACAAAACAAGCACTCCAGGAGTATGTCATATGATGCACGGAGATTTGCTGAGAGTGGTCTTCAGGAAATCACGCGCACTATGCACGTCATTCCTGAAGCATCAGAAGTCGGTATCGATCACAGCACAGTGTCGGTCAGCAAACTATCGATCATTTCACCCGATCCATTGCCTCATCCATACCATGGTTCGACTTCAGCGGTTTTCTTGAACATGGTCGAGAGCCCTGTAGATGCTCTTCCGGTGCAGAGCGCTGAACCTTTCTATACTCGCATCACGGAAGACGAGGGAGTAAGCACACCTCCTTCCGAAGATGAACCCACCAGCGACTCCCCTCCCCAGCCAAACACCCTCCGTAGACGCAGTAGCCTCAAACGCAGCAACAATGACCTGCGCGTGAGTATGGCGTTCTCTGCTAAGACCGTATCCTGGGCGATGGACCGCGACTGGGCCGATCAAGTTTCGAAGTATAACGCTGCGGCGGGTGAAATCGAGCATGCTGGTAGGTTTATTTCCCATTTCCAGTGGTGTTGGAGGTTCACCAGTCTCGTGAGACCGGGAATGGGATACCATTTGTGCGACGTATCATGAAGAACTTGCTGGCATGAAGGCTCTACGTCGAAATGTTACGCAGACCCTGGCCAGGTTACGCTCGGAGGCAGAGAAGCTACAACGCGAAGACGAGGTGATCCGGGATCAAGAGGACAAGCTGCGAGAAGGTTATAAGCAGCTCGAGCAGAAGCATGGTCAGTATCGAGAAAAGGGTGAGTGCTCGTCCTCGTGTTTGCAGCCTGTCAAGAGATGCTGATGTTGACTAATTATCGTCGGTTAGTTAAAGCTGTTCTAGAAGAGACTGAACAGGTTCTTACATTGTGTGGCACCAAGCGAGATTCTTAAAGCCATGATTCGCCCGATATCAGAAGGCTTGCAGTCGTTATACATTTATTTTGCTTTCCATTACAATTTACACAAAATTTACATACCCATATCTTGACTGCTATAAATCACACCCAAGTACACGCCGTTATCGATGTTTTAGATTAGGTTCAACACCGTTTCATAGGGTTATGAAGGCATTAACAGTAAATATGAAGAGTCCCTATGAAAGCTTTGATCGGGTACGTTTCGCTTGATTCCACCAGTGCCGCACGGTAGCGAGAAAAGTAGCCTCAACTCCAATCAACAAAAGTATGACCATGGCGAAATAATTGTAAGGGCCTGGAGGATTAACGCTATTCTTCGGAACCTTGACGTTTTGCGAAAATAATCCTATGAAAAAGTAAAAGGTAAGCATGACACTAGAGGACAGCTGGTAACATACCGATCGGAACTTGAATGCACAAGATCCCAAAACTAATGAGAGACAACGCCAAAATGGCTTTATCACTGTATTGCTTGGTCCTAGCGAGATGAGTTCGCAATTGAGTCAGGTATGCTGGGTGAGAATCGCTGAGCATGTGCTCGTAGTGATGAAGGGATTGCTGCAAAGTCAATATATGATCTGCAAAACAGTTCAGTTGCATCGTCAACAGTCAAAACAGCTCTCTACCTTGAACATCTCCCATGTAAATAGCGATTTCAAGGTCGTCGTTCCCCTGAGGGGAGGCTGTTTGTCGTCCACCGATCAAAAAGCGTTTGCGAATTTGCGAGATGACCTCTGACTTTGTAGCAAGAAGACGAGTCAACGAAGTAACGAGTCTTCTCGCCCTAGCCATGCGTAGTAATGTGTTTGTTGTTGTCGCTTGTGTTTTGGTCTCACGGGTCGTCACAAAAGTGGTCCACAAATTTTGAAGCCTGCACTTCAAACGTCGGAAGAACAGTGGCTGGGTGAATCGGGAAAGGAAAGACCACGATTCAAGCTAGGAGGGGTTTCTCCCATCTCTTTCGAAAGCGTATCTGGCAGTTTTTCAACGTTGGGATCGCACTGGTTATCCGTAGGTGTATGAATGAGATCAACAAGAGTGTTTGTCGACGAAGTTTGGGAGACGTCGTTGCTCGAAAATACGAGAGCTTCTACAGCTAGAACTTGTTTCTCGATTTCCTTTAGGAACGGGAAGAATGAATCCACAACAGAGTCCAATATGCCATGAGCAATCCAGTCTTTAAAGTACGTCAGTGTGAAGAACATGCAATTCACATAATAGTTACCTGATGACATATTGAAGCAGTCCTGGAGAAGTTGAACTCTATTCCTAACTTTCTCTATGTGTTCTAGACAAGGTTAAACATCGAGTCTTTCAACTCGTGTGCAAGCCCACCTGAGACATCAGCGAAATAAAACTAAACGGCATTAAGCACGATCTTCACAAACCCGATGTAACATGCGAACCTACCGTGCAAATGCCTTCCTTGAATACCACCACGTATATGTTAGCCTCTCTTAAAGCACCGTCGTCAGCCTTGTAAATATCGTCATCTCTTGAAATGTCCTGATAATCCGGCTGCGTGACAGCTGCGTTCTGTATAGTTCGGAACGAGATAAAATAATAGCCCAGTTTTGAAAAGAGCTCCGTCTTTTCGCGCGGATCTTGTTGGAGAATATCCTCAAGTGTAAGAGGATGAATATGTAGGAGCTACTCATCTAATCAGCATGGCATGCTGATGAGTCGAATGCACCTACCTTGCCAATGGTTTGTAAGTCGTCCCAAGTCGGACTGGCGACATCAAGCCACCAGGCTTTGGGTGCTCGATTGAACTCGGGAGAGCCTCCGGAAGCCAATTCATTAGGCGTACGACTCCCTGAAGAGAACTCTTTATGTTTCCCTTGGACGGAAGACATCAAGGCGGAGGAGAGGTCGCCGAAAGACGCAGGTCGACTGAGTACACCATCGGACATATAATCGTGATGCAGGGAAAGCGGAGGTGTGCCGGGGCTGAATTGACGTTGTTTCCCCCTGCCTTTTTTTGCCCTCGATGCCTTCTTCAGTGCAGCCTCCAAACAGTTGAGGACAACAGGTAGAGAGGTTGTTTGGGAGACAGACTGCTGAGGTCGGTCCAAAGATTCCGACAACCGGATCGTGGTGATCTCGGGATTCAAACTCGGGGGTAGGTATAGGGTAAATCCCCTATCAACGCATCTAATTTTCTGTCTGATGCTAAGACGAGCGGCTACCTCACGTTCGGAATGTGTGGAACGTATGTTAGCGGAGCTTGTTCGTCTCTTGCGCCGGCGACTATGGCGATGGCGAGAAGGCGTGTAAATAGAAGAGTGGAAAGATGCAGAACTAGATGATGATGATGATGATGATGATGATGAAGCCGCCGAAGCTGACGAACTTCGCCTTCGAGCCCAACGGGTAATTGCATTTTCTAATACAGCAGCAAGTGCTCCCAAGCGACCCGTGATGAAGGACCCAGATAATGATGAGGCGGATGAAGCAGATGCCACCGACTCCGCAATGATAGGTAGGGCAGAGGGGACCTCGCCGCGATAGATGTCGTCCTCTGAAGGCATGTCCTTAAATATATTTTGTGCTTCAAGGGAGGGGACAAGATTGACGGGAGAATGTCCAAAGGATAAGAACTGTTTAAGACATCCGAATCGTGTAGTTCGGGGCCTACCTAGCTAGTGAAAAAGCGATATTCCTGCTTCCAATGTGCAACCGCGGCAGTAAGCACAGCTACATAAGAGCCGAACGCCATAAATTAATTAATAATTAGTACAAAGCTCCGAGGTCATTTAAGCTTGCGACTGTGGCATGTGTACCGCGCGTTAGACCCTACAAAAGACATGCATATCAATAATGTGTTAGCCAAGCTTCATCATATGGCATAGCGGTAAGAAAGACTCATTTATACAGACTATTAATTAAGTACTGCGCCAACATGTGTCGGAGGCCTGCGAACCGAGATGTATGTGTTCTGTTCCCACAGAGTCAGCCTGGCTGGGGAGCTGTTTATAAATTTCATGCACGACGCAACAGTTCGTGTCGTCTCAATTTTTGAAGCACATTGGATATAGTCGTTTGTTGCACGATGTTCTGTAAATTCAAGTCCACACAGCGCATAATGTCACGAAATTATTATGTAATCAATGACAAACAGTCCGATCGCTGTCTTCGCCATCATCAGACTCAGTTTCCTCTACCTCCTCGTCGAGGTGAACGATTGACTGAAGACGCTCTCCCAAAACTCTGATCGTGACATTGTTTCGAGTTTAGCAGAGCGTCTTCACTGGTTTCCGTTCCACATCTGGTGTTAGCAGCTGGGCTTGGGACCGCTTGACACGAGCAATGGCTCGTTCCTGCTCCTCATGTGCGAGCTTCCCCCCCCTAGAGTTGGAAGTACTGTGCATGCTTGGCCAGTGGTGAGAAGTGAGTGAGGTGGGTTGAAAAAAAAAATTGGAAGCTTTAAGAACATCGAATAGAACATTACACGATCTACAATATTTTGTACCTATCAAAGTTGCTACCAATACATAGTCATACATAAAAGCTATACTATGATGAATCCACCAAAATTTTTGATGGAATAGGCTTGCAGCGGAGTGTCGTGCGAGGCAAATACAAATGCCACTACAAACGATTATAGAAAAAAGTTATTGATCGCGCGTACACTGCCCCATCTACCTTGTGTTCATGGTGTTTCCCTTCAATATATGGCCATTTCTTCTGTAGCTCTTCCTCCAGGGGTAGCAACTTGCAGACAAGAGCGGGATCGAATGAGATCGATTGTTTCTGTCGGAGAACAGAAGGGTGGATTGTTTCGTGCGTGATGTTATTCGTGACTGTTGGAAGTGTTCTGACATGTTCCTTCGATAATGCGAATATACCGGTGCGTGGACTGCAATAATTATATGAGTGTGGTTCTAAATGAACTCTATGATACACTTGTCGACTTACTTATGTGGGTGCCGCTCTCCCCAAGGTGCCACTGGATCCAGTAGCGAAAAGATGTATGCAATATCAATGGACAACATGTCACCGATATTGGCCTGCATAGTGAACAACGCGTTCAAAACCGATCACATCATAGATTCAGACACTCACCACCATCCACGCAAGAGTGATGTCAGATAAGTCATGTTCTTGCCAGCCGCCTCCGATCTATTGGTCCAGCACAATCAACAGATAATTGGGATAATAAATGACCATCGCTTACGTCTGAATGATCACCTATGATGTATGTTCATAAATAACATTTGTATAAGAGTTGTATTGTCCCGAAACTTACCAGAAAACCAGCACTTTGAAGAACTCTGTGAGTAAAAACCTATAAACCAATCAAAATACAAATCACCTGTTTCAAAATCTGCCCTTTCCGCCGTCCGCCGTCCGTTTGCGCAAATTTGCAGCAGTCCTAGAATAACTAGATGAAAGAAATTCCGAGGGTCAGTGTTCAACTACTTACAAAGTCTAGTCTGATTTCGTTGATAGCAAGCGCTTGATATGCATGCTCAATATGTTCCCCAAGTTCCTTGTTGGGGAAGCCAAAAATAGATTTTACGGAAGGCGACTTATGCGTCAATTCTTCAGGCAGACCGACCGAACCGACAGTATCAAAAACACCGACGCATCTGAAGACGCAACTTAGCCGTTGTCGCCGCCGTGGATGATGCGGTAATACTCACTTTATGGAGAAAGAGTCATTATCAGAGTCAGCTCTTCTCTTACCCCGGGAATCGGGGGAGGTCCACTGACTCAACAATGCATCCAGCTTTGCGATCTCTGAAGTGCAATCAGAATTGCCAGAATAATGATAGTCAATGTGACTAACCTCCTGGGTCAGTCTCTTTGCCACGTTTTTGGTATGTAACAAATATATCGACGAAGTGATCCATGTCGGTACGGTCTAGGACACCTATGGCACCCTGAAAGAAGGCTTGTTTATGAGACGAGCGTCGTCAACAAAAGGTCTACTTACGATAAACATAGCTATCATCCGTGCAGTGTATGCACCCTAATGAATACGTCAGTAATGGTGCATTTCATGCTAATATACCATTGCATACCCTAGAGAAGCCAAAGAGGAATATCTTAAGTGATGACATGAGTCTGAAATCGAGACACAGACGAATTTCTTACTTCATCACCGGGGTGGTAATTTCTGCGAGGAGACGTCTAAGCCACAGCTCAGAATGTATTCGGCAAGACTCACTGGGCAATGAACGCATAAGCCTCTTGGACCTTTTCACCTGCATGCAGTGATAAATCTTCGCCAAAATCAGCGAGGAAAATATATTCTTACCGAGGGATCCTCCTGTCGCACCTGATCCAAAGAAAGATTGTCAGCCCCATACTATTAACGGAATCATCCCGCGAACCATCGACATATTCAGAGTAAAAATTTTGCCCGGATCCGATGCCACACTGGTAGTAGACGATCTGCGGGATCGGAACTCCCCTGTCGACGTATATGAATGTCAAAATAAGGACATGCCCGAGATAGCTGAGCTTACGATCGTTCATCCACATGTTCCAATGCCCGCGATAGTTTCTGAAAGATAAATATGTATTAAATTCCCAAATATGTACAATCGACGCACTAGGATATTGGTTTGCTTCCAACACTCCTTCACGATCACTCCATCTTGCCAGGTTCTAAAAGAACATCGATGTCAGATAGCGGAAACGCCCAAGATTTCATAACTGACTTACCCATCGCAGCACACAATGATTCTTTTCTTAATTTTAGCGCTAGCTTGGAAGGGTTCAGTTGAGGCCCTTGGTAGTTGTGTAAGGTCGAGCTTGAATCGGGCGGGGATCATGACTCGGTCCGGGTGGAAGTTGAGGTGCAGACAAGAACGATGTGGGTATTTATGCTGGATTCCTTCTTGCGGCCAATATTATTATAGCCATGATCAAGCCATATGAGCACGCCGCTGATAGCATAACAACACAGGACTTGCCACATGAGTGGTAATTGGCGAGACCGATGAGAAAATGACATGCTGAATTGTGAGATCTGAGCGCTCGACTTGGGATCTGATGCCGGTTTGGCTTCTGGTTTCAGGAAGGTTTTGTTTCACGGGGAAATGCTGGCCCCGATTCCCCATCAGTAGTCAGTGTAAGAGATTGGTCTATTCAAAGGCTATGATAATCACGAAACCTGCTAATTGTCCCTGGAAGCTCAAAATTCGAGAGCCACACAGCAACACAGCAGCGGCTGCCGGCCCGACGAGTGACTACATGCGTTACATCGGTATTATTGATGAGTCATCAAACACCAGTGCGCCCACCGCTTCGTCCGGCTTTTGAAGAGAACCGCTCTCAATTTCTAATTAGAATAAACAATAATCTAAGTATCCTCTAATAGCTTGGGAGTCGGGACCAACATGCTTGTGCCATCGCTAAGAAGCTCATAATTTGCTGGGTACATGCTATACTGAGTCAGGCAACGTGTGTCCGAGTTCCGGATGGCATGGCGGTCAGAGGTATGTACGACTAAAAACAGGCTACAGGATGATGAAATTATCTCCCCAATCGAAATTGAGCGCCGGCGTACTCGTCCAAGGCACGACAGAACGCTTCCTCTGTGATTAAACTTGGCATTGAATTGTTTGGATGTTTCAGGAGAGCGACGTCATGAGCGATAGTCCGGCTGTGTCATGTCATGTGTCAATCCAACACAGCAATACGTCAATCCGCGACTTACTGGATTTCTGTCAGCGCGATTTGCCACGGAGGAAAACCGTGTAGTTCAAGAGGAGGCGGATGGTCCTGTGGGCGGATATGATGGACGATCATGAAGTCCGGCGACGGCAGGCCTCCTGGTACAGAAGTCAGATGGGTGAAATTTAACATAGAGTGAACCTTCCTTCTAACATCGAGTTTAATTTAGAGATAGGAAGTTCATATGCCTTGACGTGGTCCAGGTCATCACTGTTCTGGCGCCTGCGAAATTCTTCATCTAAAAGAAAACGTGCAGCAGATGCAATGGCAGCTTTTGAGGCACTGCGTGAAATTATATGGAGTGTCAGAGGATTATAAGGAGGATGCTTGTCTGTAAATGTTATGTTAAGATTCTTTTTGACTGTAGGAACACTCCACCTACCGTGCGCTCGTCGGCGAACTGCAACCTCTCTTGGCCTATGATGCGAAGCACCTTTCCTGGAGGTGGACACTGTTGTAACATTGAGTTGTACGGGGAAGTCTTCAAAGTCGGGTGAATGGCTTCTTGACTCTGAGGCTTCAGAAAGTGGAGGGGTCAACGGATATTCGAGTTCTGATTCACTCTCGTCGGTGAGCATATCATTACGGTGTGTTAAGCGTTCCTGAATAATGTCAGAGCACCCTAGCAGTGTACCTGAGGACCGCTCAACGTGAACAATAATAATAACATCCCAACAAAAAGTTTACCTTCGGCATCATATGCAGTAAGCTGCTCTATACCTAACACTTTGCACCATTTAACAACCCTAAACAGGCATTCCAAATACAGTTCTTCTGTGTGCTTGGGGTTCGCCGCGTTATAGGAGACCAGAATAATTGCCAGGTGTTTTGGTAGCTTGCTGCGGTACGCAGTTACCGGTTGAGGGGGCAAGTATCGGCGTTTTTGAAACTTTGTTGTCAAAAACACTAGCGAGGCATGCAGAAGATGCAGGAGCCAGAGAAAGAGGGAAGCTACCATTTAGCCAGCATGGACCAGAAAAAAGAAATTTGGATCAGCACTCGCGCGGTCTTGCACAAGCTGCAGGCATACGTTGCAACAACAGGATCACGTGATACACTGCAATCATGATGAGCGTTACCTAAAGGACATGTATCGTGATTCGTCTTTCCGTGATCACCATCATGCTCCCCGTCAAAGAAATACAAGAACGATCTGACCGTCACCCGAAGCCTTCAGATATCAAGTTTCAGTATGGGACTGCAGGTTTCAGAACGCTGTACGTTCGTGTCTGATATCGACATTCGTCAATCTGATAGCAGCGACTAGGGGAAAGACCCTCGATTCAGTACTATTCAGGGTGGGTGTTCTCGCAGCCCTTCGAAGCAAGAAACTGGATGGAAAGACTATCGGTGTAATGGTGACTGCCTCACACAACCCGGAGCCTGTATGTACTTCATACGTGCACTGATTGCCTCGGGTCCAACGGTGCTCCCCTTTATAGGACAACGGGGTTAAACTCGTTGACCCACACGGCGAAATGCTTGAGTCATCATGGGAGGCACACGCCACTGCACTTGCAAACGCGCATAACAGTGTTGCTTTCATTGCTGCGGTCGACGAACTGGTGAAGGCAACCAAAATAGACCTCTCGATACCCGCTCGTGTGGTGTATGCCAGAGACACGCGCCCGACAGGTCCGCAACTTGTTGCTGCCCTTAAGGATGGGTTAGAAGCGATCAAGGCAGACTATAGGGATGCTGGTGTTACTACAACGCCGGTTCTCCACTACTTGGTGAGGACAATCAACACCAAGGGCACTAAAGATTCGTACGGCGAGGATACCGAGGAAGGTTATCTTACGAAAATGAGTGATGCCTTCAAAAAACTGCTTGTGGGTGACGCATATATGCGCATACATGATGCTCATTTCCGGTACAGGCTGGAAAACCAACCCCGCCGCCGTTACTCATCGATTGTGCGAATGGCGTCGGTGCCTTGATGGCTGAAAGATTCAAAGCGTATCTCGGGGACATCTTCGACATCAATCTCGTGAACGCCGACCTGCATACCCCTGGCGCACTGAACAACTCCTGCGGCGCGGACTTCGTCAAAGTCAACCAGAAGCTACCTCCTTCCATCACTCTGCAGCCAGGACAGCGCGCTTGCAGTTTAGATGGAGATGCCGATCGCCTCATATACTATTACGCAGATGAACGCGGTCAGTTTCATATGCTTGACGGAGACAAGATCACGGCACTTGTTGCGAGTTATATCGTTGAGCTGGTGAAGGCCTCGGGTTTGGACAAGCAGATCAAAGTCGGCGTCATCCAAACGGCATATGCGAATGGAAGCTCGACAAAATACCTTTCTGAGGTAAGTGGGACGATGGATATAGTATGGATGAAAATTTAATTTTGCAATCTCAGAGACTTCCTGTCAAGTGTGTTCCCACGGGCGTGAAACACCTGCACCACGCTGCAGAACAGTACGATGTTGGGGTCTATTTCGAAGCCAATGGGCACGGCACGGTTTTATTCTCGCCTGCTGCTCAGGAATTGATTTCCAGTCACATACCTTCCACAGCGCTCACAAACTTGAGGAACGTCATCGATGTGATTAACCAAACAGTTGGCGATGCTCTCTCAGACGCATTCCTGGTGGAAGCAGTTCTAGCACACAAGTCTTTTAGCGGTATGGAGTGGGACTCCCTGTACTGTGACCTCCCGAACCGTCTTGTGAAAGTCGTCGTAAGTGATCGGAATGCGTTCAAGACGGAGGATGCGGAGAGACGCCTTGTTAGCCCTCCCGGACTGCAGGCCAGGGTCGACGAGCTTGTGCGTAAGTACGAGGGGGGTCGCTCGTTTGTGAGACCGAGTGGTACGGAGGATGTAGTCAGGGTTTATGCTGAAGCTGCAACACGCGTCGAGGCTGATGGTGACACTGATTCCTCTTACTTGTTGATGATACACTCATTGTCTTTGTCTCGCTTAGAACTCGCATTTCGTGTCGCTGGACTCGTGTATGATGAAGCGGGTGGTGACCCATCACAGAAACCAAATGAATTTCTTTGAATCATGATGCAAGTTTAGATTTGGACATTGGTACCTAGTTATGTGTACTCTGCAACAGGAATGGAAGAATAGAAATAGCTGGCACTGATTGTATGAAAGTTTGATCATTGAGTTGCACTTTTTGAGCGTACCTGCATTGAGATTGCTGGGAACTTGATCGATTGGAGCAAGTCGGTCACATGCGATAAGACGTAATCTAGAGCGAATCTTAAGCCATTGTCACGTACTTTATGCACGGTTCGCTGCATTTACGGCTGAAGTGATGACTCCAGTTTTGCTACGTGTCCTTTCAGTCCAGTTTTCACTTTATAACAGTTACTCTTACACTTGAATAAGATCCTTTCCCGACCGACTTCATACTCGCGCATGTGTCGCTTCGTAATTTACAAGGGCACATCACCTGTGCAGCTGTCTCATGTTAGTAGCTGATTTAGAGCTGATCGTTGCAAAGAAGACACTGACCCTCCCTGCTCTTAGCTCTTAACTCGACCGTGCCATTCCATTATAAACCAGGCCTTTGATTCGCGGCTGCGTCTCGACCATCGTCGGCCAATCAACGGTGATGGCTTCGGCGTCGGTGAGTCGCTTTCTGAATCACTTCAAGACAACTTTGGGACGTCAAGGTTCAGGTTGGTATGATTCCGTCCACGATGAGGAACTTGGCAGCCAACCTTGTATATTTACCGCTGTTACACCGGTACGCGTGCCGTTTCACCGGGGTCATACTATCAACTGACTGAGCTTTTGCACATCAGGCATGGAATAACGTAAACTTAATCCGATTAGCAGAGAAGATCAAGTCACCACTCGTCTTGTGAGTCGCTGGGAGTCGCCATCTTCTCCAGTCAATCGTGCTAAACAAATACTGTGTTAGTGGGCACGTCCGTGCGACAACCACTGGTTCTTTGTCTTTGGATAACTGTCACCCATTTGCATATGGGAAACTTATGGTGTGTTATGACGTATATGCCAGTCCGTATGTTTGCCCTTGCTGACTTCCTCGTTGAACAGTTCATGCATAACGGTGCTATTGCAGACTTTCATCTGATTAAGCGACGACTGCAGGCCGATCTGTCGGACGATGTATTCAATGTAGTACAAGGGAATACGGGTGAATATAATACTCATGAAAAAGAACGAATCATGACCATATTCTCGCAGACTCTGAGTGCGCTTTCGCACTACTGCTGTCGAAGGTATATTGCTTGGTACTTTCATTATTTCCATCTAAATGTGTTTGTGCATGTGCAGCTCCCCGACCCAAAGGCTAAGAGCTTTACCACTCGCACCTTGCAGCAGGCAATGCTGGATACTATTGCAACTTTAAATTTATATGCCGAGGAAGCCGGTATCACTGAGGTGAGTTGAAGTTGATTTTCCTGTGCAGTATTGCTGAGAGTCAATTAGCCAAGCTTGATGAACTTCTGTGTTACGGATGGCGAGAGTGTCGTCGCAACGCGTTATATTTCCTCTCGGCACGACGAAGCTGCGTCATTGGTAGGGTCCATCACTGTATTGTATGGCAAGGACGTTCTGACCGCATTAAACAATAGTGGTTCTCGTCTGGGACGACATTCAGCGAATACGCCCAAGGCGGTCATTACAGGATGGCGAAAGCCGATAAAAGAGAAAACATCATCATGGTAGAGCCCTTTTAACCTGGTTATCCACTCTCATTCTGATCGCTCTGATTGTAGATAGCCAGCGAGCCGCTTACTTTCGAAAAAGCGGACTGGATGGAGATACGCACGAACAACATGGTCGTGATCACACCCAAAATGAACCTCCTGCAGATCCCTATCGTTGACAAATTCTATGTCTCTCCTTCCGACCCAGCGGCACTGAATCGTGACACTGACTTTGCCGCCGCCAAGGGCCTCCTCAGCCCACATAAAGCCTTAGCTCCAATCCAACCTCGCAAAAACGCCCCTCAATTGTCCATCTGATTTTTTCTTGCGATACCTCCACCGCATTTCATATTATCCATCGCTGTTTGTGTTGTGTTTCATTGCTATTAGGATCTGTACCGTAATGTCGATTAATTGTTGTAGACCTTTGTATTGGTGTATGTGACTGTGAATATCACGCGTTGACGCGTTTTCCAAGTGTGGCTTTGGCAGCGCTTTCTGCGTCTTTCCCCCTCCTGTTGACATACAGACTTGCCACTAGTGTACTCTGTTCTTGCTTCTCTTGGTTCTTGGAACTGTATAGTGATTCATCATTGTCACTCAGCCACCGTTATGTGACCGTATAATTAGTAGCGTCTCGCATACATACGTTTTCCCTCAGCGTTTGTTCCTACTCGCTGAGGTATGTTTACTCTTATAACTCGTACTACTAGACTCGTACTGATTTAGACTAGACTCACGCGCTGCTCTAGGTACTTTCAGTGCACAACGTTCGTTCCTACTCGCCGAGACTCACTTGTTGCTCTATTACTTCCCTGTAGCCGCTACAGCTACGCTACAGACTAACTTCTCTCTCATTCACGCACGTCGTGTTCTTTAAATCATTCAGCATAATGAATCCATGGCTGCTTTGGAGCGCGTTGTCGCACACTGCTAGGTTTTTGATCCAGTGTCATTCAACACTACCTCAGCATCTGACGATGGACTTAAATTTAGGTTATCGACAGCTCTGCAGATCTTGCTTTTCTTGCCATTGACGCTAGCGACCCTTTCAACGCAAGCCTTCCTCTTGCTTTCACTTCTGCTCTCGATCCACTCTCTCATTCATGGAACTCTCATATTACTCTGGGGATCCAACGCGCTCTCCATCATGCAGGTGCCAATGCACCCCTTCCTTCTTCTCGTCACTTTCAATGCCTTCTCGCAGTCTGCACAGCCCTGGCTTGCCACTGCAGTCTATTGGTGGGGAAAGCTCCTCACATTTTGCGGCCCTTCCTACGTGGCCATGGAGGGTCTATCTAGTCTATTGTTCGCGCAGAAAGCGGGCCAAATAGGCAGAGGCATTGCGGATGAGGCAGAAAGTTACCAGTTCGTAATTCTCATCGTAACAGCAGCTGCATTCGTTGCGGCTGCGTGGTGGGTCGTCATTGTACGTGCTGCTTCGTGTCTTCCTGAATCACGCCCTATACTAAATTTTATACAGGCATACCCCGCAGCTGCCGCATCTCCTTTGTCGTCCACATTGTTGGGTGTAGCATTAACAGCATTCCTATTCCTCGTTCTCATCGGTTTTCGGTTACGACGCACCAATGTTGTCGAGGCCTCTCTCCTCGCACTCTTCCTTGCATATAACGTGTGGCTCTGCGGGTTTGATCAAACATCGTTCTCGGACCCTGCTTCCTCCTAGTATGTTCTACTGCAGTCTCGTGTACTCATGCTTACTGACGGCTCCCAGTGCCCCTCTGCTTTCAAATATCCTTCCACATTTACAGACACTTGTGAACTTCATCACGAATACCCTCCCTAAGCCTGTGCTCGTTGCGCTACTCTATCGTCTTTCAATATTGCAAGTTGCATCACGTATTTTACCTACGATCGGTGCTGACAACTGGGAATCGGACCAAGGAGAGATTGATGGACGGCCGGTACGAGCACATGCCTTGTGGTTTCCTCCTGCTGATGGTTATTCTAGACCTCGATTATGACACGCATCCTTCTAACATATAGACAACTAATCTTTGTCATGGTATACTCGCACCTTCTTCGTATGTGTTTTTTGTTTGTATGACTTTTCGGGGACCGACTGATATTTTGTTCAGTTCTAGATCCCTCTTCACAAGTCTGGTGGCGATGGGCGAATATCATGTTTACTCTGTTCCTGTGGGCTGTGGAACTGGTGGTCAGCCCTGATGGGGACGATGATTCGGCAAAGTGGAAGATCGATTAGTTCTGTTGTCCGATATCCGGAGAACCGAACCCTATGATGTACTTGGACCGGCATCACACCATTCTAGCCGCTATTCGCCTTCCATTCCGCCTCCTCCTCCTTTTCGCCCTCGTAGTACTCCCTCTTCCATATCTGTACTTTCTGCTTCACTTCCTCGAGAATCTGCTCACATGCAACGAATGCCTCCTTCCGATGCGGTGAAGATACCGCTATCACAATCGAGGGTTCTCCCACCGGCACCGTCCCCAACCGATGGTGCACAGCGCAGGAAATGATGGAAGGCACTGCTGCAGGCGCTGGATGATGGGTGGAACGTGTGACTGATTGATGTGTTGTTCGGATGATGTCTGTCATGGTTTTGATAGCCAACTTGCTGTACGCCTGGTATTCTAGACGTGTCACGACCTTTCCTGTCCATGGCAGGTGATGAATGTTAAGACATGCGATGACTCTGGTACATTTGCATGGTTGGTACCTTGATATGAATTTCGAGTCGTGCCGATGAAGAGTGCTGTTGCCCCTGCACCATCATCGCTGACTGATTTTATAATCTCATCAATCTCCAATGACTTGTATGAGAGCACGCATACGCTCTTGCCCACTTCTTCTCTCGCATCCACCGAGGTGCTTGGGTAGGATGTCATCTCAAATCTGTATGAGGCGCGAAAACCAAGATGGGATCAGATAACGAGTATACGTACATGAGCTTGTCGGACAATACTAGAAGGATTGACTCACGTGGAATCAATAATATTATTCATACTTTTATGCCGGCCCATCTGGAGCTTCGAGGAGTTGTCTGAGTCCTATTTTCAACCACTAGATTGCTTTCAACTTTGTCTTAGCTCCTTGACCTCCAATGCTTCGAGCTTCCTTCCGGGGAACCTTTACCAACCAACGTCTCGTTTCACTACGGGAGGCGTCGAGTCTATCTGCTGCTCGGGAGCGTCGAGCTCCCATCGATGTTCACCCCGAGGTGGAGGATGCATTGGCTGCTGGAAAGCCTGTAGTTGCCCTCGAATCGACCATCATCACTCATGGAATGCCATACCCGACTTCATTGCAGATGGCCCAATCAGTTGAGAGGATAGTCAGGTCCACAGGTAGTATACCAGCCACCATTGCTGTCATTGGGGGACGCATCAAGATTGGACTTCATCCAGCAGAACTGGAACGTCTCGCAGACCAACATTCAACCCCAACCGCCGTGAAGTTGTCCAGGCGGGATATCGCGACTGCAATTGCTCTGAAGAAGGATGGCGGGACTACATGTTGTTCTACCCTCATCTTCGCTGCACTAGCTGGTATCAAGGTGCGCATGGGGCAAATGTCTTTGTGCGTCAATATGACAGTCGTTCTAGGTCTTTGCCACTGGAGGGTAGGTCGGGAAATGTTAATTTCGAACTCTTATATTCTGAGGCGGTATTCCTAGGCTCGGTGGAGTGCATCGCGGCGGGGAGAATAGTAAGTTACATCGAGTGTTTACGGAACTTCTGATGATTTCGCCCCGTGTCTTAGCAATGGACGTCTCAGCTGATCTACACGAACTCACGCGTTGTCCAGTTGGTCTGGTTTCGGCCGGAGTGAAATCCATTTTAGATATAAGGCGGTATGTCATCGTAATAATCTCTGTCGTTTGTCGCTAAACTGATAACACAGAACCCTCGAGTATCTGGTGCAGCTGCTAGAATTTTTTTGGGGAATTTATCTCTAATCTATTTGCACAGGAAACGCTTGGTGTACCAGTAGTATCTTACGCAGAAACGAATGATTTCCCAGCTTTCTACAGCGGTCGAAGCGGTCTCGAGGTGCGAATATATCAAATGTCGGTGTTTTGGCTCACTAGTTTCACAGTCGCCTTGGAGGGTAAATGATCCTAGAACAGCCGCTCACATTCTACGTAAGAATGTTGGCACATAACTCAGTGCGGCGGGCTTATCAATATGTACAGATACTCATTGGCAATTGGGCATGTCGAATGGGGCCCTTTTTGCTGTTCCTATCCCCGCTGAATACGAGGCCGTGGGGTCAGCCCTTCAAGAAGCGGTCGAACAAGCTGTTCGCGAATCAGAAGAACAAAATATCAGTAACCTCGGGAAGGCCGTCACTCCTTGGCTTCTTAACAGGGTTGGCGAGTTAACACAAGGAAAATCACTTGCTAGCAGTCAGTATTGAACCTTCCTAGACGTTGCTCACTGCTCAACTTTGGCCTCAGACGTAGCCCTTATCGAGAATACTGCACTTGTTGGTACGAAATTGATAAAAGAGATTTTGTCCAATTGTTGACATTTCAAGCACAGGAGGTCAAATTGCAGTGGAATACGCGAAACTTGCTGGAGACAGATATGACCAGGATGTGAGGCGAATTGTCAACCATTAGACATAGCAAGTAATGTCCGTTCCTCTTAGCAATGCTATCCTATGCCAGGAATACGAGAAAAACCGGACGAACTTCACAGTGCATCTGACGTCACCTCATCAGGGACTACTGATGATCTCAAAGGGCAACCACTACCGAACGCTTCTTTGATCGTGGTTGGTTGTGCAGCAGTAGACATCACATCCCAACCTCTTATGGATTCGGACCTTGGACACCAGTCAACATCCCCTGGGAAGGTTTCTATATCACTCGGAGGTGTTGGTCGCAATATTGCTGAGGCTGCTCACCGAGTCCTTTCGTCATATGGTAGCGAGTTCTTGGCCACAATTTTGCTAGTGTCTCCAGTCGGCAATGATTCTTTCGGGAGACTACTGAGCGAGGAGACACGAATGCTAGGAATGAGAACAGATGGTCTTGTTCCTGTCCATGGAGGTAGGTCGCCTGTGTGCAGCCTACTTCTGGAGAGATCGGGGGGATTGAGGGCAGGTGTGGCTGACATGGACCTCGTTCGGGATATGGATGGACATATGGTTAGTCTTGTCCTATGAGCAGTCGTAACAGGTTTGATGAGTTACCTGCCAGACACGTGAATTTATCTTGGCACACAAACCAAAACTACTCACAGTGGATGGAAACCTATCACCTGATACACTGAAAGTAGTAGTGAGCGAATGTCTTCGGAATGGCGTCGATGGTAAGCTTCATAGGTATAGGCTGTGGGAAGTGGCTAAAATTTGTGCTTTCTAGTTTTTTTGTTCGTTCACATTCATGATTTTATCAAAAGAGCTGCTGATAACACTTCAAAATTTAGTGAACCAACTTCTGTCGTCAAGTCAGCTTCGATTCTTCCTGCTATAGCCGATAATCTCGACCAGCTTGCATGGGCGCCCATTGCTTTTGTATCTCCTAACCTGCTCGAGCTCGCCCATGTGTATCAACAAGCACAACTTCTGGACCTCACTTCACATGATCAATGGTGGCAGGTTCTGGACGGCCTTGGACTTGGTTCAAAGTTCCGCACAGACCTCGATCTGCTTTCTCGAAGATACGCATCAAATCACGATACTTCACGAGGAAATCTGGCCTTCCTTGTTGAAAAGGGTGTTGCCCAAATGGCAATCAATCTCCTACCATTTTTTCGGCACCTCGTCATCAAGTGCGGTGACTTGGGAGTCATTGTCGTAATGCGTTTCACGGGAGATGACGCAGCCGAATCATCGTGGTCAACGGAGTCGACTCACCATCATAGGCGCTGTGTGGTGTCCCACTCGTCAACATCGGGTGATATTGTGGTCTTGCAGCATTTTCCTGCAATGCGACTCTCAAGCGATGCGCTGGTCAACACAACAGGTGCAGGAGATTCGTTGGTCGGAGCTTTGCTAGCCGTATTGGTACAGTCTCCAAAGGCGTTCCACTCCCCAATAAACCTACAACGTGCAATAGATATCGCTCAGCATGCAGCCCTATTGAGTTTGCAGAGCCCGCTTGCTGTTTCGCCACTACTATCGTCCTTGCACGAGCAATTTTCCCATTAATGATAATAACGATACCGTTTCTAGCGTGCCTCATGGTCCACCAACAGTCCTACCTGAACAATCTCCCGTTCCTTCCTTCGTCTCTCCTTCTCTGCTAGTTGGGAGGTTTTCTTCGCTTCCCTCGCTTTCTTCTCATAATAGGCCTATTCAAGAGTATAAGCACAAGCAGAGATGTACATATGGACTATACCTTGGCTCCGTGTTTCAAGCGAGTGATAATGTTGGCTGCCTCACCCTTAGTTATGTTCTGCAGGGTTGCGGCAGCAGTATCTTGATCTAGCACGCATTTGACGCGCCGTTTCTGGATGAAGTTCTTCTGGTTATCAGTCGCAGACGCTTTCCGCCATTTTGCAGTCCGGAGTAGCCTTTCTACATGTCAGAAATATTATGACTTGTGTAGACAGAAGTATACCCTAATGCCAATGATCCACGAAGAACCTTTTGTGCTGCATAAGTGTCGCAGCCTCGGATCGCATCACTGAGTGTCTCCGCAGTCATGATCAACCTTTTCCGCATGAATGGTGACACTTTAAACGCCTTCGCAGATGGCATGTGCATTGTCGCCTCGGTAAATGTGGCGCGATAGTGTGTCAAATTTCCTGAAAGGCACATGAGACGAAGGATTACAGCAGAAATTGTCGAGCCGACCCTCATCAGCAGAAACGCGCTCAACACGAATATAACCTTTTCCTAGGCACTCCAGGATGTAGATGTCTTCGCCACATCCTACCCATGCATTGGTGCTGAGCTTTGTGATGTGAGGGGCACCTGAGCAACCGTCCACTAGGGTGAACGGGTTCTGGTAATCGACATATGTTATGTATTTTGGATCGGGGATATCGTCTCGGCTGTTAACTGGTACTTGTTCATCACCTGCGTCCTGAAGGACGGCAATCTGAGCACGAGCCTCCAATGTCTCAACGGACTCATCTATGTGAGATATTAGCTCCACATTCACGAAACGGGAATACGCCTTGCCGTCGATAAGTTCTTCAGGATCGAGACCAAATAGCGTCGGAGTCGAGACCACACCAGCTACCCGGTTTGTAGAGTCGACAAAGTCAATTATACGGCAGTTCACTTTGCCTGTCAATGGTGATTGCCGCATCCCCCTCCCGATCTATCGAAAGTGAATGGTGGGCACACATGAAGCGTCTAACATGCTGTACTTCAGCCTACCATCTGCGCGAAGACATTGCGTGACCGAGTCGGACGAGCAACTATAACACAGTCAATGTTTGGAATATCGGCGCCCTCAGTAAGAATTGCTGTTCGTCCTATATAAGCCGTGAAAAACGCAACTGTGAAAAACAAACCACAGTTGACAAGCACGGGATATTTGCCTGCTTTAAAAGCTGTTATCAGCGCATGCCGCTCAGAAGCGGGCGTCCCGGAGTGAAGATAACGTGCATCAACTCCAAAATCTTTGAACGTGTTTGTCAGCGCTCGTATGTGCGCAATGTTAATGCAGAACACGAGTGTTGATCTGCGCTGCCCTATCGCAGACATAAGATTGCGGAACTATATTCAAAGGACGAATACCACTTACTCGCTCTGTCGAGCCACGCTTGCACGACAAGGTTATTCACGGTATCTGTATTGATGATATGGGCCAGGCTTGTAGCATTGAAGTCGCCGGTTTTTGAGTTCACAGTGACATTGCGCAAGTCAATGTTTGCCTTGACGGATGTGAAACGCACATCACAAAGCCTGCCATAACAGATTGAGGAGAATCCCAACGGGCATATTGTAATGGTCTGACCACTGTTCCTTTATCATCTCAAGAAAATCACGATGGTAAACTATTTGTTGAAAAACCGAGCCAAGAGCCAGCCCATCATGGCGACTGAAGGTGGCAGAAAAGCCGATGATTGGAATAGGTCGAGACAGCTGTGGAGGCTGAAAGGTTACATCAGGACTCTTTATTGCAGGATCAAAGTGTGCAAGAATTCGGCGGTATCTGTGTAAAGCGCATTAAATTTGAACAAATCTTTCAAAAATGAGGGCATTCACGATGGGGCAGCAGCATGGTGTGCTTCATCTACAATCACCGCCTTCAGATTACCCGGATGAAACTTGGCAAGGCGCCGAGGTTGTAGGAGTGTCTGATAAGTGGCAACTGTCCTGTTCAATGATAATCCATGGGGATAAGAGAATTGAGTTATACAAAATTTAAGTACATACACATCTGCATTTCCAGATGCTTTATGCTTGACACCCTGCTCAATCTCGACGTGCCATTGTGGGAATTGTGCTGCAGCTTGAGCGGCAGCTTGTCTTGCAAGCTCAATACTGTTCACTATAATTAATGCGCGTGATGTGGATGGGGAATGAGATGGTGGAGAGATCTGTGCCAATAAGGATATGAACACGGTTGTTTTACCAGCCCCTGTTGGCAGAGATACGCCAATGCGCGTCGCACCAGCCTGAAGCGCATTCCTGCATGCTTCAAGACAGGACTCTTGGTAGGGTCGCAGCTTGACCGTGACAGCACTGGCAAAATAACGCCGAGAACTGAACATCCAAATAGTTCGGGACATCTCTTGCTCCCTAGAAATCATGTAAAGATCACGTGAAGAGTTGGCATACATGTACAAACACGGGCCCAAGTTCTGCGACTGTGCAATACATTCCTTAAAGGGCTACAGGCCTCAGGGCACCAAATGTTCAAATGTTCAACGTTCAATCGCAAATCACCCGAGTACCAATAATCCAGGACACTCCTTTTTACAGTGCTCTTCCTAAATCTTGTCTCGCAAATTGTTGGTCATGAATGTCTTCTGCATTCGGTATGAACTAAGGTCTACTAGTGTGGGAGTATGTAGAAGAATCCATACTTAGAGGAACCTAGTGAGATGGAATAAAGTCTATCGAGATAAATCATGATGCGTCGGATAAAAGAAGGGATGGAGCCAAAGCCCAAGTAAATATGCAATACTAGGCATTTAACCGGATCCACCAGAGTAGACCTTGCCAAACATGACTTGCTGGAGCTTGTCATATAGCGATAGAACACCAGCACCAGCAACACCACGAAGAATGTTGGCACCTGCACCCTTGAACAATGACTTCATACCCTCCTTGGCAACGATCTGAGAACCAGCATCGAACATAGACTTGTAGTGAACGCCAGCACCGGAGGTCATCATCATACGACGACTGGAGATGACGGATGAGTCTCGCGTTCAATCTGAGAGCACAGCCTAGAACTCACCGGATAGTGTCAAGAGGGTAGGAAGCAAGACCAGCACCGATGGTAACACCCCAGCCAAGAGCAAAGGAAGCCAAGAACGAGCCCTCAAGAGCACCAACGAGAACAACGGGCTCTGCAATTACAATTAATGGTATGATCAAAAGTTGGTTTAGTCGACTCACTAAGCGAATCGTATACACCAAAGTAAAGACCACGGTAGACAATGATGCCAACGACTGAAGGAACGAAACCACGGTAGAGACCCGCGATACCGTCGGAAGCGAGAGTCTTTTTGTACACATCAACGAGACCGTTGAACTGACGGGCTCCTCCACCTTTGGCCGACTTGGCATCATTGGCAAGACGAGTACGAGCATAATCAAGGGAGTAGACAAAGAGCAGTGACGAGGCACCAGCAGCACCACCAGATGCGACATTGCCAGCGAACCATTTCCAGTAGCCATCGTTCTTCTTGAAGCCGAACAGAGACTTGAAGTAATCCTCTTGAATTTGTATCAGGGGCGAACTATATAAGAGGGGACTGAAAACGTACTGAAGGCGAAGTTCAAGGCTTGTGTAGGGAAGTAACGGATCACGTTGGCAGTGTTACCTCTCCAAAGTGAAACAAGGCCTTCTTCCTTGTAGGTACGACCGAACGCATCCCCAATACCCTTGTAAGGGGTAGCCAGACGACCCTGCTTGATCTGGGAGGCAATATGTAAGACACTTGCGGGCTAACCATACGATAGAGAACACACCATCTCATCCTGATTTTGTACCAAAAGCTTAATACGCTCAATTGGAGCTGCTGACGTCTTGGCAACGGCCTGCAAAACACAATGTCAATGTCGAAAACCTTGACCATACTGTAGCAATGACACGTACAGCAGAGACACCACCCATCAGGAAATCCACTGTTAGAAGAGTGTATTAGCGCTCCATGCGCGACACAATGCGAGCTGCACGGCAAGCAACGACGACGAGCAACTCACCCATGAAGTCCTGGGGAGTCTTGACCTTCTTAGTTTCGGCCATTTTGAATTAGAAAGCCAACAAGGAAAGGCTGAGTGGAGAAGGATGAAGGGGAAGGATGAGAGCTAAGCAGCGAAAAAAGTTCGCGTCAAAAAGGAATTCGGAATCATCCGGAAGGTTTTATCTCCGCTCTTCACCGATTGAACAGCATCGTGTTTACCGGTACTTACGTTCCGGGTGGTCTCTGTTCCGCTACTTAATCTTCATATAGTCGAATACGTAAATAGAGATGCATTGCATACTGCGCTATCTCTGCGAAAAACAAAGGATTATTACGGCTAACCCGACCTAAACAGACGTATAGTAGCGGAATAAACTATCCCTGCAATGCGAAATTAATATTAAGGCCACACGCCTGGTCGGCTCGTAGAACCACTAGGTCTGGCCGGATAATAACCGTTGGGATTGTACGTATCATATGGACTACGGACGGTGTCATGAGGAGATGTAGTTGTCACAGGTGGCACGTACAAGCTTGGGTTGGGGTAACGTACTGGAGGTAATTGAGGGACAGCGTAGTTGCTCGGTCCAGTAGGATATGCGGTCGCAGGTGACCGAGGCGTGCTCATAGATACGACATTGGCAACTGGCGACACGGGTGGAAGATGCACCGCATGAGATATTTGAGGCTGTGGCGGCGGGTGTGGTTGCTGAGGTGCTGGAACGGAATCAACCCGAGATTTCTTCCAGATCTGCTCTGTAGGCGAGGGTGCACCAGAAGGTGCCTTGCGCTTCTCCAAAGAACTCCGCGCCATGGGCGGTGGCTGGGGCTCATCCTCGTCGGAGTCAGCTGTTAGGTCGATAACATCACCGCCCCTAAGTTGCCGCGCGGTCGTCGCAAGACCTGCATTGGAGGCGGGACTGGATAAGGTGTTCATCGGGTAGGAATCTGATAACTCCTGCTTGACTCTGCCCTCGTCCTCATCATCAGAGTCCAGCACAAGAATCTCCACATTTTTCCTCGCATGAGCTTTTGCGGCAGCCTCTTCATCAACCGACGCTGGTGATGATCCACGAGGAGTCGGCGAAAACCTGAATGGAGCTGTCCCTGGATGCGAGGCCAACCAGGAAGCTGAGCCAAACTTATTGTCACTTGTATGCCACTGCCCGTCGCTTTCAACAATAACGTCTTCGACATCCTCAGAAGTATCCTTCAATATCTGATCGAAATACCTGTTGGCATATACATTAGTCAACTGATGATTCAGCGACATAAAAACAACGAACCCGTCGACAATGAGATCTTCAAAATTTAGAGCCTTCTCACATACAGGACAAAGCCACGTTGTCGTTTGCTCCATGCAGCTGAACCACGAGTCTGCGTCAAAGCACTGCGGGTGAGGGCATAGTATTGATCTACATGGCGTTGTCACTCGCATGAAGCTCAGCTAGACCATTTTACCATGAGAAAAAGTCAAGCGGGTGGAGGACGTCCATACTGGGCATTTCAAAGACATCTTCTGTGATCCAGCAATAATATCGTCATCTTCACTTGAGGTTTTATTCACTGCAAGAAATATTATTTAACAGATGATTTGCTCAATAAATGAACGCTTTACTTTGTGCCACAATATCTTCATGATCGCGATACTTGCCCTTCTTAAGTTTGTCCACGAGCTGTTCTACAGTCGTGGCTTCGACGAGCATGACGATCAGATAGAATTTCTGCTGGCGATACTAAGACAAACTGTGTGTAGATGATAGATCCACCAACCTTGGGCTGTATGGGCTGCTGGCTGTTCACGTATACCATTTCGACTCGATTTTGACCCGTCATTCTAACGTTCCTCCCAAGATCTGCTGGCGGAGCAGTACCAGGCTTCTTCTTCAAACCTTTCAGGTTTGCCGTTAGCTGCACCCCATTGACTCGCACTTCACACGTGGGAGGAAATTCGATCGGGCAAAGTGCCGTGGTGGGTCTGAATCCTGAGGCATAGAACGTGTTTGAGGTGCAGTATAATCGAAGCTGGAACTTGGCACTGGAATGGTGCGTTAGGCTCACGGCATCTAATCCACTGACGGAAACATACGTCGTCGAATTCAGCTTCATCGACTGCTCGCTGGTGAGAGCGAAAGTTAAGGTTTGTTGTTTTCGATCAGTCGAGCTTGTGGATTCTAGGAAACTGTCAGACCGGACCAAATTTATGGAGAATACGTATGTACTTACCAGGACACTCGACAATACCAGAGACAGCTTGATCTACACGAAAGAATGGGGAGGGCTTGAAGCGCATACCTGCGGTATATGTTGGTGATAATGAGCTGGGCAAGTGTGTCCATTTATCTTACCTGGTTTTGACACAGCCGACGGGCCAGCGCCTGTGGTTGGTGGCGGGGGTAGCCGCGGAGGGGCGTAGGGGTCATAGCGGCCAGCGGGGATCGCGTTGAAACCGCTACGAGCTGTATTTGAAGCTGGACCATATGCTACTGAGGGAACAGAAGGCAATGACTGGGATGCCATCGCTCCTGGCATACGGGAGCTCGTGTACCTGGTGGTCAAGCGCGCGGTCAGTGCTGTGTCCGGAGTGAAGGATGCTACCACACATGAATGTCGTGGCTAATCGAAGGAGCCCAAAAACGCGGCGCATGAGAAATGCCACGCATGCGAGATGAGTCAAATGCATGAAATGGCACTCACATTCCGGTATTGCGAACCTGGTATAGTATAACTTTCGCTTTGGTCCATTTGTCGATGTTGTTGGCTTGACGCCAGGATTCCAACTGCTGTACGATCCTCTCTATCAGGTCCTGCTTCTTTCCAGACTTGTGAAATACAGTGTTGCATTCCTCATTGAAACCGGTAAGAATTTGTTTGAGTTTATCCACCGTATTATGCTTGACCGTGTGCCGCAAATTCTAGGGTAATAATTCAGTAACATATGATATATGATTTACAACCCAGACCTCGAAATCGCTCCAAGAGTCATTGGTAGCCATTGATGTCTCCGCTGTCTGCCACAGCGAGCAAAAGCTTTCAGGAGAACAGAGAAGAGTTGAGGACTAAGCTGAGCAGGAACAAATTGGGTTTACATACCATAATACACAAAGATAAACAAAGCAGATTCAGATCCTACGTTGCTCACGTGCGCCATCTCTTTCATATCGTTTAAACTTGTAGGATTGTCAAAGGATTGTTTCATACGTATGTCTTCAGACAACGACTACGACAAGCTCACGAAGGAAGAAAGAGAGGCGCGCGACAAGGTCGATAGGGAGCGTGAGGCGGCCGAACAGGCTGGTATGGTTCCACTTAATCAGAGTTTAATCAGATCATAGACCATGACATGCAGCTCTCCCATACAGATGGAAGCAAGAGTTGGGCGAAGTCGATATCACTGTTCCTGTTCCGAAAGGGACACGAGCCAGAGACTTAGTCGTTGTCATTCAAAAGAAGAAACTTAGCGTAGGTCTCAAGGGTCAGGAAAAAATCATGGAAGGCGAACTCTGCAAGGAGATCAAACTCGAGGACAGTACATGGACACTCGGTGAGGTGCTGCATCATGATATGTATGCTGATTCTTAATCGTAGTTTAGAGGATCAGCAGTCTCTTCTTATCCATCTAGAGAAGCTGAATCAACAGCAGTGGTGGGACAATATCCTCACACATCACCCTAAGATCGACACTCGCAAGATCCAACCAGAGAACAGTAAGCTCAGCGACCTTGATGGAGAAACTAGGTAATGTTTACCGTTATCAGTCAAAGCTCGCTCTTACCCGGCTTCTTCAGGGGCATGGTCGAAAAGATGATGGTGGGTGTCTAGCATATGTTTATATTTATTTCTACCGACTCGTTTTCGTGCTTTTAGTTTGACAATCAACAGAAGGTACGTACTTAATTGTGTCTGTGGCCGTGTGTATTTAGTATACCTTCAGCAAATGGGAAAACCTACCTCAGACGAGCTGAAGAAGATGGATGTTAGTAATTCCTGTGTCAAGTTTTTCGAGGCTAACCAATTTTGATGTCTTAGGCATTAAAGAAATTCCAAGCTGCACATCCTGAACTCGACTTCTCGAATGCCAAGATCTCATAAATATCACCTATTGTGACGAGTGTTAGGTTTCATATTGCATCTGCCATGTACAACAGGAAATTCCACAGCGTGTGAATAACATGAGATTTATCTTAGCGCTTCTCTCCAAATGCAAACCCTACGTTTCCCAAGCGTGACCAGTAACTGTCCTCCAAAGCCGAGCACACAAGCCTGCACGCCTCCCTGCGCACCAGGAACTAGAACTTCCCACTTCTGCGGTTCGGGTGATATCCCGAAGAATTTTGTAATTGGTTGATCTTCCTCTTCCTCTTCATCATCCAGACGTACATTTTGGAATTCAGATTCAATGTCACGTTCCGGCGGGTCACGCTCAGGCGGGTCTGGCGCTATCACGCGGGGGTGGAAGTTTGCGAGGTTATACAAACGAACGCTGTCAGGAAGAGACAGTGCAAGTATGTAGTCGCCTGTAAACGTCTGGGTGATATGAATGTGTCGAGTCTGTTGGGGCAACGAGGACGTCGAGATGAGCGTAAATGATGCTGCAAAGACGGATTAAGCCACTAATTCAAACAGAAATGTTGATGCATACAGCTCTCTTGATAATCCTGCACAATGATCAACCACATAATTAAAGAAATAGAGGGCAATGTACCGATGAGCAGCCCCTGAACACCCCCCCAATATTTTGTCCTGCAGGAAAAAATCTATCGAATCCAATCCACCGGAAAATTGTCACGGTTCCATCTTCGTAGTATATATCATCCTTGCGACCGCGGCGTCTCATGAAAGCGGGCGCACTATGAGTCACTAAAGTGTCGGTGCTAAGCCTGTCTTGGCGTGGTCAGTGGATTGAGAACGATGTCCTTTAATTACATAGGAATACGTACCAACTCACGGACATGATCCGCGCCTTGTGGATCCGACTGCTGCTGAAAAGAGGTTTGTCTTCACGAGCAAATTTATTCGAAGATGACGCTGAAAAACGCCAAATCTTCACAGCCCGATCTAGCTGAGCGATTTTCGAAAATGTTACGCGAAATATGCAATCTCGGATGGACTTACCCCACACGTAGCGATCAGAGGATGTGTTGGATGGAATGCCTTAAACCATACGTTAGTCGCGGTATCAACTTAGTCTACAGCACTCACAGCACTCAGAACGGCAGCCTGATGACCACCAGACGGACCACCACAAAGAACACTAACGCATCGGCCTACGCCCATACCCTCTGGTTCGCTAGCTTGCAGTCCATGGGGGGCTCCTCCTAGGCTGGGGGCTTTAGATGGTGGCCAGCAAGGATTGTCGGGGCCCTGTCGTGGGGACGCTGTTAAATCATATATGCGTATTGTAAAATCCCTTGAAGTGGTACAGAATAGATAGGGATGCGTAGGGTGGACGACTATGGATGTGATCGGCTAATTACAAGAACCGTCCATCAGCGGATTAAAAAAAAAGCGCAGGTACTCACCCCACCATGTCCACGCAAGTGGCCGATTATTTCGCCTTTCACTGGGTTCAGGACATAAAGGATGCTGCCCGCTGAGAAAATAATAAGAGGCTCTAGTGGTGCCTCAAAAAGCAGCGCCCACCCCACGGCCATTACGGATGTCTTTTTTCCAGGCGTCTATACATGAGTTAGATCGAGTAGGTACATAAATGTCACCTCATACGTTCTGTTCTTGTTTTGGTACAGACACTGAGAGGCCTTTGCGTGACCTCGAGGCACTGAGTGGGATAACAAGTAGAGAGTCCAGGGTTCCGATCGCGAGGGCCCCAGACCAATCGGAAATCATCTGTTTCCATGGCCCTTTCTGGAGTTCTTTGTCCTTCTCGCCATACCACAGAGTACCCGAAGACTGTTCAGACCACGGAAATAGCGCAGTGCAGTAACATTCCTCAACAAAGTCGAGCTGACAGAGCAAGTTGGCTCAAGTCACAATCAGCAAGCTACAGAAATCAGCACGGACATCAACAGTTTTAAAAAGCGTGAACGGCTTGGGTCGAGCGGGGTCTTGAAACCATGGAGCATTGCTGTCATTAGCGACCATCTGGTCACTGTCATCGAGAGCCTCTTCCATCGTCGAGCTACTAGTAACCTATTCAGAATCCACCGATATTGTAATAGAGGATGTTGAGATAGAAGATACCGACCGACAAAGGTCTTCCAACTTGAAGTTCAACCTATAATAATAAAGGGCTACTGACAAATAAGGTAATCGTTCAATAAACCCTTTTCGCCGACTCCCGCCTCGCTCCATCACTCATACCAGCCGTTATGTCTGGACTACCCCCACAAGCTTTGGAAGACGCTTTCGAGCCAAAACCTGCACTGCGCAATGCAGCAACAGTAGGTCTTCAAGCAGGTATTGTCGGCGCGTTTGTGAGTGCGGTTCAAAATGCCTTGGGATCGCATTCGCGAGGCGCTGCTGGGTTCTTGACACGTAGTGGAGGCACTATTGGAACTTTCGGTAAGAGAAACAAATCTGTTTGTAATATGAGAATGTCAAGATTGAGCTTCATCTTTATAGCTGCTATGGGCGCTGCTTTTGCGTTCACGGAGTCGGCTGTAGCAAATCAACGAGAAACAAATGATGCACTGAATGGCATTGCGGGTGGTTGTGCAGCAGGATTCCTTGCGGGTCTTCGAAGTGTGTTGTCATGCTGAATCTATTATTCATTCACCTTACATGTCAACCTCAGCACGTTCAATACCGGTTGCACTTGGATCGTGTGCTGTAATTGGCGCGGCTATGGGCACCTTCGACTACGCAGGGGAAATTGCTGGCAGGTCGAAAGAGGAGAAAGAAGAGAAGAGAAGGAAGTTCTTCAAATCAGTACCCCAGCCTGTCCATCACGCTTCTGAGTAGAGGCGGCATCGCTCTACAGCTCATCACCTTACTTTGATCTAGAACTAAATGCTGGCACCAAGCTTCACACCTCGAGAAATTCAACAGATATTTGAGGATACAGCATGACAAAACGGTTCATAAAAACCACAAAGTTGCTTATAGATCGACCTCCTAGCTGGAGGAACGTACAAGCTCCTCGATACGTGCATAAACTTCACTTTGGTGTGTCGTGTAATACTCCGGCCAAGACTCTGCGCTTTTGCAAGGTCGCTGAATGAAATGGCGGTCAGGAAGGGAGGAAATGTCAACGCAGCGGCTCACATATTGTGATAACCTTTCCCATACCCTCTCGTCATTATCATCATCCCCTCCACCGTTGGCAAAGAATTCACAGATTATCTCAAAATCTTCTCGTTCCAAAGTTTCTTGTGACACAATAGGGGCAGCTGGCAAGGCAGCTAATCGAGGCTTCTTGGACGGGCCAGGTCTTTCCTCGGTTGATTTCTCGGTATTCCCATTCGAAGACTTGCGAAATGCGATATTTGCCCTCTTGCGGATGTCAGTAAGTTGCGTCTTCAATTTCGAAGACGCTTGCATCTGCCAGGACCCAAACGAGTGATGTGGCATCTGCAACAGATGACAAAGTCAGTTCTTTCAAAACAGATAGAATACACACATCGAAAGCAACCACGTACCTTTTTGTGCATGGCTTGGAGCAAGGCCGTGGTGGACATCGTTGGGTCTTCATTGAGCAGGAATTGAGCATACTGACAGAAGTACTCAATTTCTGGCTGCGTAAAGTGAAACTTCCCATCTCTCATAGATTTGCGTGTCTCTGGGGGAGGAGGGGTAGGAGACCGTCGTGCATGATGGGACTTTGCCTCCTTCGAGGAAGGTGGCAGCAGTGCTGCTGATATTTGTGAGGAAGTGGATGCTGATCTCTTCTTCGCTTTCTTTGTTGGTGTCTCTGTAGGCGTGGCCTTCTGTGCCTTCGGCTTCGGCTTTGACACAGATTTCTGACACTCTTTCTTGACAGAAGATGTTTCCTGCACAAATTCAAAAAATGCGCTATTTGGTCTGCCACGCTTCGCATGTTTGACCGAGACACCCGTGTCGAGCGCATACTCGCTTTCATCCAACAACGTGTTCTCAGCGACGCAGTTGGCAACGAAGACCGACTGAATCGGAACCTTGTCGCAGGCATGGGCCTCACTCAAGAGCCCCTGGAATGTCTGCGAGCGCGTGAAGAGGATGACATAATCTGCATCTGCAATACTCCCGATGACCTTGCCTTTATTTTTCTGCGTGTTGGTAATTAAGACCAAGATAAACACGTGAAAGACCTGAATACACAGACCTTGATGTTCGAAACCACTCCTGATCGCCCCTGCAGGTCAACCTGCACAAAGAATGTCAAAGGCTGCCCTTGATCGTCAAGGAACACCTCTCCGGAATTCTTTCTTGCGTTCGTGCGGCCCGGCGAGCTCAGAAGAGACTGCTCAAATACATCGTCTGAACCGGCAGGAGGGGCATCTTCGTCATTATCAGATTCGTCAGATATTACCACGCGTTCCTTGCCCTTGAGAGATCGGTTGTTAGACGGGTTTCCGACCAGTGACATGGCCTCATGATTAGCTTTGCGCTTCACTGAAGGAGGAAGTAAAACTGTAGATGGCGTGCGAGAAGATATGTCGGTGCGAGGTTTGCGTCCGGAAGGACGAGACTGTTTTTCCGGATGTTTCGACACAACAACGTCGGGAGTTGGGCTGCGTGATTTATAAGAAGACGATGAAGGAGGGTAGGGTTGATCTGTAGCAACCAGTGAATCTGGTGTTTGTTCGTGATGGATGACAGGAGGAGCACTAGATGCAGCTTCGATTTGGGGATACATGGGTGAGGGCTGCCCCGCCTGCAAGAATTCGCCTCCGTTGGTGTTCCTCATAACATCCATCAAAGTCATGAGCATTTGAAAACTCTGCGGGTCCCTTAAGTTGTGAAACGGCATGCCCGTTGGCATCGTCATTGATTGGGGCGGCATGAATGGCATGTGTCCAGAAATAAGTTGTTGTTGAGGAAACTGGCCGAACTGGTATGATTGTTGAGGGACAGGAAATTGTTGAGGGAACGGTGGGGCTTGCGAGAATTGTGGCTGAAACTGAGATACTTGAGAAAACTGGGGATGTAGAAAAGGTACTGGCGTGGCGGGTTGTGTAGGCTGGGTTTGTGAAGGAGTCTGAGAGAACTGGATATGCGAAAATGATGCTGGTGTAGCGGGTTGCGCTAACTGGGGTTGCGGAAGAGCCTGCGGATTATAAGGTAATACTGAAATGAGTTGCTGAGGTGGTGCAATGGGCTGAGGGGTATTGGATGATTGAACAGGTGGGGAAATGCTTGGCGTATGATTATACGTAGGTTGGCCTGCGTGTTCCGAGGGCTGTTGTAGATTTTGTGAAACGACGAGTGAAGCTTGTTGCGGTGACTGAGGTGGCCTTGGATTATTCGGGATTAGAGGGACATCTGCAGCCAGAGTTGTAGGGACATTATTGAGGATTCTCTTTGTAAGTGGTTCTTCAGGCGTAACGCGGGGGGTAGGTAGCGGACTTCTTATCGAGGACATCAGCAGAGAGTCCCCTTGAAGGACTTCAGGGCGTGAAACTGACTTTGAAACGAGCTGTTCGACCTCTGCTTCTTCGCCATCAGCAGCCACTTCAACGATGGGTCTGCCATCATCCAAAGTTTGTGTCCCACCCCAACCATCGATTTCAAGGAGGGGTTTCCTGGCTTCGATGCTTTTACGTAGCCATTGAAATTCAAGAACGGCTTTCCCTGGAGTCTGATGCCAGGTACGAATGAGACGTTTTCCATCGAGTTGTGAAGAATCAACGAGAATGATGTCTGCATCCTCTGGGCGACTGGCGTATGCCCCCCCTTTCTATAAAGACATGACATTACGAGGTCTATTAAGCTGAGCCACAAAATTACATACCTTCATCATACGAACTAAGTTTGGTCGTAGTGATATGCCATTGACTTGCAAATGGATGTTGTAGCCTCTACCATCTGGATGGACAAGAATTTTCTCGTTCTCGGAAGTACTCTGTGACGCAAAGAGCGTGTCCATGAATGGTTCGGATGACAGTTCCATGGCGGCCCAGCTATGAACGTGTTCTTGATCAGAATTCTAACTTTGACTTCACTAAGTCACGTGCTCTGCGTGCCGTCACATCATCACGTGCCGTTCAAATTAAGAATAAAGTCGTCGCGAATCGTGGGCCGTGACGGGCCACAGCATACAAGGTATCGAGGTCCACACAAGTATATGATGTAGAAAGAGCCACAGCAACTTCTAATTGTTCTTCTTCATATAAGATTCAAGGTTATCTACAACGAGTTCACCAAAACGCCATAATTCCCTTTGATACGATGGTCCTCTCCGCACCTGACCTCGAGAATGAAATCTCGAACTCAGTCGATAAGCTGCAGAAGTTGTACCCGGGCGAACTTGATGCAAAGAAACACCTATACTTGCCCCATGGAAAGTATGCATTCGCCGCTAAACACACATTCCATGGGAAGAACAAAAAGCAAATAGGTGGGTGCTCTTCACAACTCCCTTTCGGCTTGCAGCTCAATTTTAAATCAAGGCCATCTCTCAGGATGTGGATACCGTATAAACGTCCGAAGTGGCGTTATTGCCGGGCACAATGTTACCTGTCTCTGGAAAACGCAAGTTATCTGTTGTGTCGAAGTTTATGGCAAAAGCTAACTATTCACCAGCTGGGATGTTTCCAAATCATGGAGAGAGTTCTTTCAAGAGGTATTCTGTCCTATGCCTATATGTTTGCATTATCCTGACACCGCTTCGAAGTTATACTTCTACTCCCACCCCGAGCTTTTGAGATGGCTTCAAGGAATCGTCGTTTCGCACGTAATTGGTGTACAGGATGGATCTAATGGACAGAAGAGTATTTTCATGGAAACACCTCATCACATACTCTGGCATACAGCACATCTAGGCTTGTCCATTGGCGAGAAACAGGCGGTTATTCGAGCTTACGAAACCTTGCATGCACACGGTATCCTGCACAATAACATCAGCGCCCATAACATATGCATAGGTCAGAGATTAGCTCAAGCTCATGCAAAAAATTCAAAAATTCATCAACACGGTTCTAGATCAAGATATGAACGTTACGCTGCTAAACTTTGAAAAGGCCTGCTGCTTGAAAGACAAGGGGATAGACGAAGTCCCCGAGTGTGATCAGGAGGCGCTGGCGCGGGAAATGCGACAAGTTAAATACTTGATTTCCTACATGGACGCGAGGCTTATTGAAACCGGAATCATCACCACTCCACAAGCCCCTACCGGTGAACAGCATGTGAGTTGCCCCTTCTTACACACCGTAGGTTATCTGAATGACATCTCAAATCCAGACCCAGGCGCTCCACCCCGACGATTTTGTTCGCTGGCTTAAACATGTTGAAAACACCCATACCATACCGATCGAGATGCGCAATCGGCCAATTCCAAATGACGGACGTAGAAAACCCAAGAAAAAGGTCAAGGTTGGAGCAATCAGTCGGTGGGAATCAGGGGGGCCTGTGCAGGACGCTGGTAATTCTGGAATATATAGTGAACCGATCGTGCCTCACATTCTTCTGCCAACTGTCCAATCGTCATCCTCCGCAATCATTGCTACGCCTTCGCCACCATCAAACCATCCTGCAGCTACACATGATTTCTTCTCCGTAGATCGTCTCCCTACTGCCGAATCCTCGTGCTGCACTGCCTTCTGCTTGCCATGAAGAGGATACTTATCATACACAGGACAAGGATACTAGTGTGCAGCTTCCGCCGCTCCAATCTGATCTTGAAGGCTCTCAAACTGTATCAAGAGGCTTGCATGATATCCCCGTTCACTCGTCACCGGTCTCTCCCTTCACTGCCTCTTTACTGCTCCCAGGGACACCCATTTCGGACACCTCAGGGCGAATTCCACAAACACCCTCATCTTGCCCACCGTTGCCTGCCCATCCAATAAATCCCACCTCCGTTCTATATCCCGACCAGCCACCTTCACCTAAGGTGTTCTGTGACCTTACACACGAGCAACTCCGCCTCGCAATAAAGCAGCACAATGCGGATGTAGACGCTAGATTATCATCACACGCTGCAATCAACACAGACAAAAGCAACGTCGTGTTTCACCCCGACACAAATGACAATGGCACATACGCCACAGGAAGCGATCCTTTTCGCAAGCGGAAGAAGAGACGTCGACCTACTCCCTTCTTCCAGGAAGGCTCTAGTTCCACTGAGGAAGAGACTGTCCCTGATCTAGAATACGCTAGCTTCACTGAAGACGAGGATGATGAAAACCCTGAGCCTGAGATCGAAGTCCATTTCGAAGAACTCGTCGAGGAAGCTCATCTCGCCAAACTCAGAGGGCGCCGTCGCATGTCACGTTCTGCTACGATACCTGCCATGGTTCTCGCCAAACCCGTGTGGCCTGATCCAGAGGCAAAACCTCCCGCCGCTGCCCAACGAAGTACTAGCACGCCATCGTCGTCAGCATTGTCCTCGATCAACGAGGAAGAGTTTTCTGGCGATACTTCAGGAGTTCCTCCTTACACTGTGGTTTTTGTTGGAGCTAACGGGAGTCCGGAGGAGGTTTGGAAGCTCCCTGTACCTGCATTCATGTTGATCAAGTCGTCGGTGGCGAGACAACCACAGGCTCAGAAATTCCGAGTAGAGCAGGCCCCTCGGCTGCGAGGACCCCCTCTAATAAAGTCTTCCTCTCTGCGAACACTAAATCAGGACACACAAAGTCGACCCTCCAAGAAGCGGGATATCGACTGCGTGGAAGGGATCGAATATTTAGAACAGACGTCGAAGCGCGTACGCCAGGACCAGTCAACGTTTAGCTCATGCATCATATGTTAGATTATACTCAAGTCGGACCACTTAGTTCTTAGTAGTTATCCTTTCGAACAATATCGTTGGCGATGTAGTACTTTGCAATAAAATATACAATCACGGATAAAGAATTGTAATTCAAGGTCCACATGCACGGGGATAACTCCTACGATATAATATATGCACTCCCCACACACGAGGGCATGCAAAATAGCTTGGTCGCCTCTCGGGTTAGATTAGCCATGCTTGGCATCGCCAACTCTGTCGACGAACTCAAAAACTGGATACTGCGACAGTGAAAAATCGTGGTCTGTTCGTCGGTAATGGAGCTGAGGGCCATTGATAATATTGATGGCTTGTGCATCTTGATGACATTTCATCTACTGTTGGGCCGTTCGGTTCGACGGTCTTTACATGCATCTGGATGCACGAAAATTCTGGAGGCCAAGTCAAGGCAGCTTACGATACATGGGGACTGAACCGGCTTATATTTACTAGTGCGTGCCTTGTTCACTCCAATAATCTTTTGTTTCCTGAGCATATTAACACTGGAGTGACAATGTTTGCAATTCATAATCATAGTTGCACACATGCTATCATGGCGTTGTTCAAGGGTAGAGGAGTAACATGATAAAAAGATATGTACCAAAAAAAGTGGTTTCACCGGTAACTGGAAATTCTTGTCAGTCAAGTGTTCACGAACTTCACGCAACCAATGTACAAACCTCTTTTGCCTGCGAGCACGAGCACCAGCACCACCGAACTTCTTCGGCTCCATCCGTCTAGGATCTGCGATCAACAGCGTCCGGTCATACGCGACCAACTTTTTCTTCAACTCCATTGCGCTGTATGCATCGATATACTTGGCGTAGTATGCGACAAGAGCCTTGGCAATGGCCTGACGGATAGCATACACCTGCGAGGTGTGTCCACCACCCTTGGCGCGTACACGGATATCAAGTGGTGCGAATGAGTCTTCACCAGCTACAAGTACGGGTTCGTAGATCTTGAAGCGCAGGATCTCAGGCTGTACAAGATTGATGGGAGAGCCATTCACGCGGATGATGCCACGGCCCTCCTTCGCATGTGCAACTGCAGTTGCAGTCTGATGAACTCTGGGGTAAGCAGTAAGTCAGCGCAACCAAGGTGTTGTGACTCACCTTCTTTTTGCCGAATGTTTGGACGGCCTTTACTGTAGACGCCATTCTGTCGTATAGAGGAATATGCCGGGGTTCGGCTCTTCGATGAATTCTATGGACGGAAAGAGCGAGTTCAGCAACTGGTCTCGAGTGACATATTTGAAGCCAGAGTAGGTGTAACCCAATTCATCCAACCCCAATCCATCGAATCCTGGCCATTCCCCAATGGTATCCGTGCATATTCCGGACTGTGTAGACACGACCGTATCGTGTGTCCGCAACGTGTAACATAAGAGCATAAACTCACCCTCTGGAGGTCGTTTGAGGTGTTGCGGTCGATATTCACAGCGGGCTTGTACACAGCTGAGCGGTGGCAATAAATTCTCACGGTCCAAATTTGGAATTGCAAGAATTCGTCTTGTTTTGCTAAATTCTCTCAGTCTGTAGATTATAATCAAGCTCAACGGTTCCCAATGCTTTCTGCTCTGCGGACATCACTGGCAGGGGTGAGGAAGACTTCGTATTTGTTTCCATGGCTGTCCTGACAAGTCATCAGCAGTCTTCGCAAGCAATATGTCGCAGGCGAATGGCGACAATTGCGCCCACCTTGGTTCAATCAAAGCCGACTATTTCTTCACAAAGCAAACACACAACTCGCAAAGGTGAGTTTATTGATGCCAGAGAGAAGCAAGCTCATTGAAAAACAGCTACTGGTCCAATCAAACCGGTGTATTTGACATTGTCGAGTTTTACTGCCAAGTCGAATAGTGCCAAGAAAGCTGTTGCTCTGGACCCGACGGTGTTCGACCATCCTATCCGGCGAGATATTCTGCATCTTTGCGTCGTGCACCACCTTGATTCTCTTCGCCAAGGAACCGCTTCTACTAAGACGCGAGCTGAGGTCGCCGGTTCGCGTCGCAAAATTCGTCCACAGAAGGGAAGCGGCAGAGCTCGCCTGGGAGACCGGCAGAGTCCGATGTTGAGAGGTGGAGGTGTCGCTTTTGGTCCCAAGCCGCGAGATTTCAGCACGAAACTTAATCGCAAAGTTATTCAGATGGGCATGCGCGTGGCTTTGACGATGAAGCTCCGGGAACAACGACTGGGTGTCTTGCAGCGGATTAACTGGTGGTCACACAAGACTGCTACCCTCAGCTCAAGGTTAGCCGGACTCGGATGGAGAACTGGTACCTTGTTTGTCACCGGAGAATCCGAGGTACCGGCAAGAATGAGGTTGGCATCGAGGAACCTTCGTGGGATAGAGTGCAAAACTGTAGCAGACTTGGTGGTTTATGACATTGTGAAGTGGAGAAGGGTTGTACTTGACCTCGCCGCTGTCGACACGCTGGAGCGAGCGCTCGGAAAGGGCTTGTTGGGAATTGCGGATTCGAATAGGGTGGTTTCTGATGTTGCGCACTCATCTGTGGAGGGTGTTGAGACATCCACTTAGACTCATAATATATTTTATTCTGGGCATATCAAGTGGACATATTTGAGTGATTGTACTTGCAAATGCACCAGACCGCAAGTACTGTGTAAATGAAAGTGGACGCAGCCACTACGCGACCACGTGACACAACGCGTCCTCATTACATACTATGGCTGCGCCGCCCCAACTGGCTCCCCACTCTTTCCCACTATACAGTGCTTGTTTTCTAGCAGAAAATAATCATGTCTCAATCATCTCAGAATGAAGAAGCGCAGGAGGGCGGCCTGTCCATGTCTGGCCCCCTCATGGTCGGCAAACTGGAGGAAGCCGGAATTCACGCCAATGACATCAAGAAGCTCTCCGATGCAGGACTCAACACTGTCGAGGCCGTCGCATTCACGCCTAAAAAGAATCTGATAGCAATCAAAGGCATTTCAGACGCGAAGGCAGACAAGATCTTGGCAGAAGGTGAGTGCCGAGATCCTGACATCATGCGATCACTGTCTGATAAGTCACATCATCCAGCTCAGAAAATCGTCCCCCTTGGCTTTCAGAGCGCCACTGAAGTTCACGCACGGCGCTCTGAACTCGTTCACATCACGACGGGCTCAAAGCAGCTCGATGCTTTACTCGGAGGTGACAATTCAGCATTCGGAAAGCATGATTGTTTTCTCACTTCTTTACAGGGGGTATCGAGACCGGTGCCATCACTGAGCTCTTTGGAGAATTCAGGACCGGAAAATCACAACTGTGCCACACATTGGCAGTAACATGTCAACTACCCGTGAGCATGGGCGGTGGCGAGGGCAAATGCCTCTACATCGATACCGAGGGCACCTTCCGCCCTGCTCGTTTACTTGCAGTCGCAGAACGCTATGGGCTGAGTGGGGAGGAAGTTCTGGACAATGTTGCATATGCGAGAGCATATAATGCTGACCATCAGAACTCCCTTCTCACTAGCGCCAGTGCGCTGATGGCAGAATCAAGGTACGATTCGACTATATGCACATTTTGATGGTGTTCCTCACAATCTTATTAGATTCTGCCTTCTCATCGTCGATTCATGCACGGCGCTCTATCGCACTGACTTCAGTGGACGGGGTGAACTATCGGCGCGCCAGAACCATCTCGGTAAATTCTTGAGAACTCTCCAACGACTTGCAGACGAGGTAGGAGGAGAATTAGCCTGTATACATCTCCGTATTCATTCCGCGAAACAGTTCGGTATCGCTGTCGTTGTCACAAATCAGGTTATGTCCAATCCGGATGCATCAGCAGGACCATACGCAGGCAATGAGAAGAAACCCATAGGAGGAAATATCATGGCACATGCTTCCACGACCAGGTGCGCATTCATGTTATCATCAGTTGGTGCATTAATCGAGCTGTCTCATTAGGCTACAACTCAAGAAGGCCCGCGGAAACACTCGAACTTGCAAAATATATGATTCGCCCTGCCTTCCTGAGATGGAAACTCACTTTGCAATCTTGTCCAGTGGGATCGGCGACCCCGAAGAAGAGACTTGAGTGATAATACCTTCACGCAATTCGGAATTCTTGTAGCATTCAGTTTTTCTATCACTATCAGGGGAGCTTTGTAATTGATTCTAAAAAGACATTTTGGTGTGTGAATGGTTTTATTCTGCCTTGGAAATACGTAAGATACATTTCTATTCGAAAGATAGAATACCAGTTGAGTGGGACCTGTAAACTTATACTGTGGGTGGAACCGTCCGTATCTGTCAATGATTGAATGGAGCTTCGGATCTACAAATGTATACATTCCCACCATCAAGCCAACAAGCGAGTGAGGATGTTCGCGCTTGTGTGATTGATCATTTCCCGTAGCTTGTTCACGTCTTGGGGGCTGACGTCTGCGATATCTGCCAGCAGATATGCGACGTCACCCTTCGAGTCCGAGTACTGCTTCTCGACGTTGTATGGCGAGAGGACCTCGTTGACCTGCTTCAACACGCCGGGCTGATTGCTGTGAACATGGCAAACACGGACATGGTTGCCCTGCTCTGCGGTGATCGCGCGGAGGTCGACTTCGGGGAAATTAACTGCCCCAAGGGTAGAGCCGTAATTCAGGTACCGAGAGAGAGCAAGAGACACTTCCTCCCCAATCATGCGTTGTGCTTCTTCTGTTGATCCGCCGATATGAGGCGTGAGTATAATGTTTGGCAAGCTGCGCAGAGTGCTTGACCATACGTTAACCTGATCGTCGAATGGTGCCCCATTAGACCCCGGCTCTTGTGGGTATACGTCTATGGCTGCACCAGCGAGATGGTTCGACTGGAGGGCTTCGATGAGGGCTGGGATATGGACGACACGCCCGCGAGCGTTATTGATAAGGTAGGACCCCATTTTCATCTGCGCGAGCTCCTGTGATCCAATCATATTGATTGTCTCAGGGAGCTCTGGAACGTGTAGCGTGACGAAATCAGCTTCTGCCAATAGCGTAGGAAGATTGTTAACTTGTCGAGCCGAACCAAGAGGCATAATGTTGATGACGTCGTAGAAGATGACACGCATGCCAAGGGCTTCTGCAAGGACCGAGAGTTGTGATCCGATGTGCCCGTAGCCAATAATACCCAACGTTTTGCCTCGAACCTCCCAACAACCTTTCGATTGTTTGTTCCAGATTCCCTGGCGCATTTCATGCGAGCGCTCGACGAGCTGCCGCGAAAGCGCGATCATCTCGGAGACGACAAGCTCTGCGACGGAGCGCGAGTTTGAGAATGGAGAGTTGAAAACAGGAATCCCGGCCTTGCTGGCGGTGACTAGATCAACCTGATTCGTTCCGATACAAAAACAGCCAATCACAAGAAGCTGGAGAAGGCGGCTTAGAGGTGGCCTTTATTGGGAGGATACAAGGACGTACCTTGTGTGCAGCTTTGATGACCCGTTCTGTGATCTTGGTCTTACTGCGTATACCTATGGCATGATACTGGGAAATTTTGTCTATAAGCTCATCTTCAGAAAAAGCTTGTTTATAATGGTCAACATGAAAGCCCTGCGCTTGAAAAGCTCGGACTGCATCCTGACTGATGTTCTCTAGGATCAACAGCTTCAGATCGTCGTTGTCAACTGGGTGCAGAACCTTTGGCTGTCTGATGGCTGGGATTGAGTCTCGCTTGCGCAGCCTGTCATGAAGCGTCTGCGACGATGAAGGAGAGATAGAAGCAGCTACGGCTCTTGGGGATTTTGAGGGGATGGCAAGTGGGGGAGTCATTATGAATGATTGGAAGTAAGGATGATCCATGACAGTCTGGATACACCCTCTTATAAGGTGTTGATTGATGAGCAGTGAGGAGTCCTATATTTACAATATCGGGCGCTTGTTTCATCATTACTGCAAATTTTTGATCATCCTGATATGGCAACTCGCGAGTCACATTTCATGATCGAGTCAAGCTTAAGCTCGTAAACCATGGCACTCTTTCTCCTTGACCATGGTGCAGGTAACGTCCAGAGCCTGGCTAATTCAATCAAGAAACTTGGTTATGATTTCTCGTGGATATCCAGTCCAGACGACTTCCACAAAGCATCTGTATGTCACTACCTCACTATGCCCATCTGACCTTGATTCATCTCCATGCAGATCCTCGTATTTCCAGGGCAGGGTGCTTTCCACACTGCGATCGAGTGTTTGACAGAGCGTGGTCTACTCGAACCCCTCTATGACTACATTCAATCTGGCAAGCCGTACTTCGGTATATGTATTGGGATGCAGGTCCTCTTTGCATCATCTGCAGAATCCCCATCAACGCTTGGCCTAGGTCTTATACCCTGTCAAATAGAACGATTCGATGATACCACTAAACCAGTTCCTCACATGGGCTGGAATACCGCTGAACCCATAGACCCCGACACTTTATCCTCAGAAGGTGTTTCTTCTTCAGATCACTACTATTTCGTCCACTCGTATCGTGCCAAATATGACCCAGAAGGCAATCCCGAGGCTGCCATGTGGGCGCATTCAACTACCCAATACGGGCAGGAAGTGTTTATATCCACCGTTCGAAAAGGCAATGTATTTGGTGCTCAATTCCATCCCGAAAAATCCAGTGTTGCTGGACTCACTGTTATCGACGCTTGGATAAAGCAGTCTTTGGCAGGTCGCATACCAGCCGAACCATCACCTCGGATTCCACGCCCTCCTAAACCGAAACACGGCTTCACTAGACGCATCATCGCTTGCATGGATGTTCGTGCGAACGATGAAGGCGATCTTATCGTGACTAAAGGGGATCAGTATGACGTCCGCGAGAAGTCTCTCACATCAACGCCACTATTAAACGCCACTGCTGTCAAAACTGCCGGCGCCGTCCGCAACCTTGGAAAGCCTGTCGCACTAGCAGCCCGCTACTTCGAGTCAGGTGCAGATGAGCTGTGCCTCCTTAATATCACTTCCTTCCGTCACTCCCCCCTCCAGGATCAGCCAATGCTCGCAGTTGTGCGGGCAGCAGCAGAGTGTGTATTCGTCCCGCTCACCATCGGAGGGGGTATCAAAGATACAGTCGACCCTGATGGCACGAAACGCTCTGCTGTCGAGGTCGCTGGTGCATATTTCCGAGTCGGCGCTGACAAGGTCAGCATCGGTTCTGAAGCAGTCTATGCTGTCGAGAAAGTTCGCTCAGCGGGCGGTATATTGGACGGCAGCAGCGCCATCGAAACTATTTCGAAGGTATACGGCTCTCAAGCCGTCGTCGTTTCAATAGACCCCAAAAGAGTATACGTCGATCCCGCCACATATGGCGGCCCCTACAAGGACGAGCTTGTGTATGGTCGACTGGATGGTCCCGAATATGAGCGGGGCAAAGCTTGGTGGTACCAATGTACCGTGTCAGGTGGTCGTGAGACTCGCCCTGTGTCAGTTGTGCAACTTGCACAAGGTGCACAGATCCTTGGAACCGGCGAGATCCTTTTAAATAGCATCGACCGCGATGGAACAGGCCTCGGCTTTGACCACGACTTGATCGGGCTCGTGAAGCGCGCAGTGACTATTCCTGTTGTTGCGAGTAGTGGGGCAGGCACCAAGGAACATTTTGTGAGCGCGTTTATTGAGACGGGCGTGGAAGCTGCTCTTGCCGCTGGGATATTCCATCGGGAGGAAGTTGGAATACAGGAAGTCAAATTAGCTTTGAGGCAGGCGGGTATCAACGTCAGATCATGAAGAAGATATCTAAAATTATAGACGAGCTGTTCATATTGTAGCTGTGATCAAGGGGTACGGTACTGTGTGATCTTCTATCTACACTTTTCCACAGAAGACTACCGTGAACACACTTGAGAACCAACGATCCTGCAGAATTGATCGGGACATGTGTGTATGCGCCTGCGAAAAGCGCTTGACAAAATTGCCTCAGGGTATTGGCTGCCACTGCATACTCTTACAACAGGAAGTATGGTAGAAAAATGCAGAGTAGATAAACCGTCTCGCGAGTATATGTAGATTTTTACAAACACCGTAATGGATACAAGCATGGGGTCAGGAGCGTCGAAAACGAAGGGGGAAAACACAAAACCGATTGCTAGGAATATCTCGTCCAGGCTTTGGACGAGAGAAGAGAAACAGAACAGCGATCATGGCTGTAAAACTGCAAGAAAAAACAACAACTAGAAGGGTAGTCTCAACAAGACATACGTATGGCTAGCGGACGAGTGAAGAATCATACTCGAATACGTCTAGGAATCGAGAACTAGGCTCATTTGGGGCCCCTGACCACGTCCTTCACCTTCTTTAATAAACTAGTTTTTCGCCCAAGGCCGCCCAATGGCGGAGAACTGGGTGCGCCATCAAAGTATCCGCGTCTGTCTTCGGCGGACGGTGTGCGAGTTGTCGCTGGAGCATAAGGAGTGGCAGGTAGTCGTTTGTCCCTGCGCGGATCATCGACGTACACATATGTTTCATCTGAAGGAGGTGAAGTGTTTGGACGACCGGGACCATTGGGACCGTTGGAGAAGCGCCCAAGAAACGAATTTTGTGATCGATGTGTGGGCCGCGATGGTTGGTAGGTATCCGGATTGGGAGAAGGAGGCTCGACAGTCTCATCAAAAACCACGGGTACATTTGGGGAGTCACGCATTTTGCGAATGCGCTGCATCAATGATTTGGTGCGTTTGGGTACTCCTGGCAGTGACGGAGAACCCGGTGCACTGTCATAATCAGTATTCTGGGCTTCTGGCACAAGAATAGGCTGCGGGGGCGGGATACCAGCGCGTTTGGTGCGTCTTCCTTCTCTCTCACCGCCACGCTCCCGGTCGCGGGCTTGCATCTGTTTCATGTCGTCGTCGAGGTACTCCCTATAGACATCACGGAGGTCACGCCCGTCCTTGGAGCGCTTACCCAGGGAGTGTCGCGGCGTGCCGCTCCGTGACCCGTGACCCTCCCTCCCGGCGTATATTGAATTAGACGGAGTATCACCATCACGTCTGCCAGTGCCCCCGCCTGCAAAAAATTCCTCGTACGGTTCTGGCTCATGGATGCCCCAGGCTTCTGCAATAGCATCGACTTTCTTCTTTGGGGGATGGTAGGTAGTAGAAAAGGCACCCTTGTAAGCGTCAGGTGAGGGGTAGGGGGATTCATTGGATAGCGCCACGTCTGCCCCTCCGCTGCCCCAGGCAAGCATAGGCGCTTTAGTTCGATGGCGGTTACGAGACGGAGCACAAGCGTCAAATGGACCATCATGATGGAACACTGGATATAAATGAATAAACGGTAATTTAAGGGGCCGAATAAGAACGCACTGGGACCGACGCCAGTAAAATCAAGTCTGTCTATGACGTCTGCATGCATGGAGCCTTTCTTGCCTCGTGCCTTGCCCTTAGCCTTATCAAGGGCATTTGCTGTGTGAAGGACGGAGTCCTGGGATAATGAACGACGACCAGTATATGTGGGACGTGGTGGGGTATTTCCCTGGGCACTGATAAGTGAAAAGATTGGCGTCAGTGAGAAAAACGGATGAGACTTATCAAGGACATACGTTTGACTTCTTCCCATTCTTGTGCGTGAAGACTGATCCGCACCTCTGACCTGAACAGTGTCCCTAACAGCCTCTACGATTGTATTATCGCGATGTGGGAGAGATTTGGCTGGAGATGGAGCCATCCTGTTGTATTGGGGATATTTAGGCGGGAGTTCCGGGGGAAGGCGGGGAACAGGCTTTGATGGGTAAACTGGGTCTGAGAAGGGGTCTGAATGAGATCTGTGGCGGGCTCTATGTTTGGGCGGTTGGGTTGGTCCTCTTGATGGTATATGCTTGCTAGCTGGATTATTGGAAGTACTCAACAAATGTGAACTTGCCATGTCGTCCGTGTTCACCTGTTGATACGCCCGGGCTAAGCGTTATTTACTTCAAAGAAGAATATTTAATGATAATGCTGCTCGTCGTCCGTAATAACGAAGGTGAGCGATTGTGGACGTCGACGGGAACGATGCTGTCACCCAAGGCTATGTTCGCCTTATTTATACTTGCCAACTTTGTTCGGTGTAATGTGTTATCCGCTTTCAGTCACTTACGGTCAAATTTTGAAAGCAGCTCCTCATCTACTTCCGTCACCTTGCAGCAACCTGCTGCTATGGGTGCAACAAAGAAGGAATGGACCAGAGAGGAAGTCGCAGTCCGCATTCTTGCAGGCGAAACACTAGTCGTCTACAATAACCAGTTGCTGCGCATCCCCCAAGCTTGGTTAAACGCCCATCCAGGTGGCTCCCTCGCAATTCTTCATTTCGTAGGACGCGACGCCACTGACGAGATAGACGCGTATCACTGTGACCAGACTCTTGCAAAATTAAAGTCTTATGTCATTGGCACAGTCGAAACATCGAGCGGTATTTGGGAACCTCTTGTACCCCCGATCATGACTGGTTGGGTCCGGAAATTGACTTGTGATGGAAAAACCGCATGGCATAATGAAGCCACTCCACTACCACCTTCGAATATCTCCTCCGAGATTCTCCTGGTCGAACGTGACTCTTGCCTCCTTGAGACTTCAGGTCCCACTCTATCTCATTTGGTTCCCCCTCCAACAACACTTTCCTTGAAAGACCAAGCTCGGCATTCTGCTGCTTACAAGGCGTTGCATAGTCGTATCATCGATGCCGGTCTTTATAACACGCGTTACATCACTGGTTATGGCCCAGAGATCGTGCGCTATCTTCTCCTCGCTGCATCATCCGCAGTAGCTTACTCCCATGACTGGCTCATTACAAGTGCTGTGTGCCTCGGCCTTCTATGGCACCAGCTCGTATTCACCGTCCACGATTTAGGACACATGGGTGTCACTCATGATTGGACCAAAGATCGCCTCATTGCTATTTTATTAGCTGATTTCATCGGTGGTTTGAGTGTCGGTTGGTGGGTTGACGTAAGTTCACTTACTTTTCCCACGTTCACTCGCTCAACACCTGTTGTATCTTCAAGAATCATAACGTGCATCATTGTGAGGCTTCGATTTCCAACATATTATGGTCCAACTACTGATACTTGCTCAGTGGTCACGAATCACCCTTCGCAGTAAGTTCGATGGCTGTTGTGTAGACATCTGAAACAACAACCTTGATAGTGATCCTGATATCGAGCATCTACCATTCCTCGCAATCTCAACCGCGTTTTTCAACTCGTTATGGTCGTCGTACTACAAGCGAACCATGGTCTTCAATCGAGTTTCCGCTTTCTTAGTCTCCTTTCAACATAAGCTCTTCTACATATTGCTTGGTTTTGGCCGCTTCAATCTATATGCCAATGCATATACATTCTTGTGGCGCAAAGCCTTCGATCATCGAAGAGCGAGAGGTGGCCGGTGGTCCTGGTGGCTCGAAGTTATCGGCGTGCTCTTCTTCTGGTGCTGGTTTGGAGCAGTCCTGAAGGGATGTGGATCATGGAGTAGAGCCATCACATATCTTATGGTTTCACATGTCGTCACGAGTCCTCTCCATGTCCAGGCATGTGACTATCTCGACGTATTTCCCGTTCATTAATTTGGCCACAGATCGTTTTATCACATTTCTCCATGTCTACGGAGGATTTGGGGCCGGTGGAATCATTCCCGCACCGTCAGCTTCGAACTACAACAGACGTTATATGTCCCCCTCACCTTTCATTCATGCATGGTGGATTGCATCTCCAGGTGACTCATCACCTCTTCCCGCGTCTCCCACGACACAACTTGCGCGAGGCCAGCGTCCTGGTAAAGGAATTCACCAAGGAACAAGACCTTGTGTATGCCGAATTCGGATTTATTAGTGGGAATGGAGAAGTGCTGGACGTGCTCAAAGGTGTGGCGGATCAAGCAAAGATCGTGGGTATGGTCGCCGATCGCGAGATTCGGGAGGCGATGGAGAAGAAGGTGCGATAAGCGCATGGGACTCTTCGACAGAGGCATTACTAGATCCAACCGTAATCAGATACCTGCGGCATCTTCACATTTTGATACATCATGACAACATAGATAGAACGTGTGGTCGAAACATTGAAGTTGCTTGCGATTTCGATGCATTGCAAAACAGTCGTGTCCATGAGTATACGTAACGCATGTGATACCCTAGGTACGACTTGTCGCACCCGGCTTTTAAGAGCATATAAAAGGTAACCAGGAAGCATGATGTAGTGTAGTAAGACATAAAGAAGACAAAACTACTTCTTCTTGTTTGCCTCCTCCTCCTCCTTCTGCAAAGATTAAATTCGTTCAGTAAAATCACGACAGCCGGTGAACAACAAACCTTGGCAGCCCGGATTTTGCGTACACCCTCATACCGAGCATCAGCTCGTGCAACGCGGAGGGTCTTGAAAGCCTCAAATGATCGTTCGTTGTCTGTGATTTTACGGGGTGCTTCGTGAACGTAAGGTGCAGGAAGAGGAAGGTGCGTGCGTGTGATCTCAGCCTCGAGATCGGCACCCTGTTAAGCAAAAATCAACACCAATCCAACATTCCAAGGGCGAGCCACCACACACAGTCGAGTCACCCTTCTTGGGCTTCTTAGCATTCCGAGGGAAAACGATCAGCTTGGCTTTATAGGCCTTCAACCGCTCGACATTCAGTTTCTTCCCCTCCTCGCTCAAGTTCCTCCTCCTGTGGTCAACGACGATACCAACACCAAGTGCTTCTTTGCGGTTGATACCAACCTCCTTCAGCTCAGCAAGGGTGAAACCGCGGCCCTCGCGGACCTTACGGTTGTAGCGGACGGTCTGGGCACGAACGGCGGGGCGGAGGAGAGTGAGTGGGCGGACACCAAGGGCGGCAGCCTTGACCTTGCGGGCATTGCGTCTGCGGAGTTTGCGACCGGGCTGATCGAACCAGGTGCGTACCCGGCGCTGCCAGTCTTTGCGGAAATGGTTGGAGTGAAGTACTGTGCACACATAATGTCAGATCGGACGCGTCGAAAGAACATTTTCGGTGAGGTACGGACCGTTGTTGTGCGCGAAACCCATGGCTTAGTCTAGAGTAAAAATTATATTGTCAGCGCATTGGCTTTGCGATTTGGATACGTGTAGATTCATAGTACATCTGACAGCATATGGTCGAATCCAGCTTTTCCACCTGCCTGTTTGCATCATTTTCTCCAATAGATCATATGCAGCAAATGTAGGCCTACGCATAGCAGAACATGCAATGGACGAGCATACTCACCTTGAGGACGGGCTTTCTTGACGCTGAGGACGGCGAGCAGCTTACCACTTAGCACAAGATTTGGACTTCGGCGATTGCCGTGTGTTGGTGCGGCGATTGATTTTAGAAGTTAATCCTCACGTGGACTCCATCCGTCGTTGTCGCGATCGACGCGTTGATGCGTGACGGCTGCCGCATTGAATTTCCGTGAGATATCCACCTCCTCTCACGCTCTGGAGCTCGCAGCAGGTTCTCTATCGTACAATGCGACACAACAAAAGTAATTTCTTCAGCCTTACAGCTCGCAGAGAAGGCAGTTGAAATGAAAATTTTCAACGATCAACTATCAGAAGCGACTGTGTTCAATTTTTGAGGTCTGTTTGAATACCTTTATCTGTGTCATTCTGAATTCTCAGGTATCACCAATCATTAGCCGCCTGGACCCTGATGCACCAACCGTGGCAAACCCAAGCTTTGGGTACATGGTTCGGACCCCAGGCCTATGCTCCCTGTGAATCGCATGGAGTACAAGAAACTCTTCGGAAACTGTGCCACTGCATTGTAGCCCGCCTTCACAGGTTCTAGCCTGACTGTTGTAGGATGTGCATATTTTGCCTGCTGGAGTCTTATCAGGAATTCGACCAGATATAACGCACATAATCAATACACTGTGGTCACGGTTTCCCAAAATATTTCCTGGTCGTATCACAACTTGTATCAATGTTTCGGCAGGCGATACGGAGGGGACATTGAGCTGTGCTTAGTCGTCCTCCCTCCGAATCAAATTTCCCGCTTCCATGCTCAAGTACTGCACACGGCAGACAACTTATGACGCACGTCATTTATCGATGTCTCCTGGTTTTCAACACCGCTCAAGGCTGGTAACCAGTACCCCCATAAAATGATGGACCTCGTAGCCACAGGAACGCGCCGTCATATAAACAATTTGGAGACCACGAATCAGAAGTTACCATTCAAGTGCCCGTGCAGGATGACAACTGAATATCATACTAAAGCAGTGCGCCGCTGCCTTGCATCCAAGCAGTCCAATCACTTCTGTGTCCATTGTGAAATATTAGCACCCATTTGCTCTTAAAAATGATTTTGAGATTTAGGATTCACTGTGCTATATATATAGTGTTCTCAAGCGCTTGTAGGATGTATGGCGATATGTGATGTCAATCAAGCTTCTCAAGACAACGAGCTAGTCTGCAGTATGCTCGTTTCGATTTTTTCTCATGGTTGTGCCGTACTAGCACTTACTGTCAATGCCTAGGCTGACATAAGCGACTAATTGACATGAGGTCGGCATTATGTGGGCCTAGTATTCTGCACTTTACTCCCCTCTGCACAAATTCTGTCAGTGTTTCGAGATATTCCTTGGCTGGGACTGCGTCCGTGTCTTGCTTTACCCCTTTCTTCATTTTTCGAGCATGCGAAACTCACCCCACCTTCGCTCGTTTACGTGCATAATTTCTTTTTTCTCAGCAGTGCACGCATTCAGTGTAACGGTTGGGACTCCAACTCAATGCGACGATCTTTCTGTTTCATGGACCGGTAAGCAAGCATCTAACATATTTTATATACTCCTGCTGAACTTGGTCTCGATCGTCAGGTGGTCAAGCACCGTTTGAAATCCTCTTGACCCCCGTTCGTCGGCGCTATCATGCGTTTCGATCACGCATTAATCTCACGCCTTCTAGGTTTTCGAAGTACCGCGGAATATATCAGTACCACCATCGGCCTTCAGCAATGGTAAAGGCTCATATACAATATCGCAATTACCATTTTGGAATGGAACACAGTTTCTACTCACTATGTCTGATGCCACTGCATTTGGCTCAGGTGGAACGTCACCCGTCTTAAAGGTCGGTAATCCTGTTGCCAAGAACAACTGCAACACTACAGGTCCATCTGTGGATTTCACGTTTAATTTGCCAACATCACTCCAGCAATGCAAGTAAGTTTGATCGGCCTACCTTTTGTGACTTTGACCTACCATTTCCGTAGCGGGTATATCTTTGATGGTTATGACAATGCCGTCCAACCCATTACTATTACGGTAAGATCACCATCGACTCTATCATGATGATAGACGTACTTAGCTTTCCATAGACACTTATTCCTGGTGGAGAGTCTCTCATACTTTACCCTCCGACTGGCTCCAGTTATACTTGGGTTGCGGATGTTAACGCAGGGACGACCCTCGTATTTGTGATGACAGATTCTCAGGGTAGGCAAGGTGGTAGCTCTGACCTCGAGACGGTGGCACTTTCGAACAATGCCACGTGCCTCAGCTCCAACTCACCATCGTCAACTGCATCTGTGCCTTCATCCACCACAGCATCCACCACAGCATCCACGTCAGCTGGCGTTTTGCCGACGTCCAATTCATCAAGCAGTAATACTGCTACTATCGCCAGTGCAGTGATTGGCTGCGTAGTAGCCCTCGCTGCGTTGGTCTCGCTCGGCATGTTCCTGTTGCGCAAACGAAGAGCGTCTCGCTCCCCGTACGTCATATCTTCTTCGCAACGCCATTCACGTCGACTCCCATCTACGGATCTCGATCATGAAGGGAGCCAATATGGTCATGTTCCACCAATTTACCCATTCCCATACCAGGCAGACTCTGTTAGCCACCTTGCTCCACCCATTCACCCCGCGACCCAATCACACCTAACCAATTCATCCACTGGCAGTGTTGCGCTCAACGACCCTCACACACCATTTAGTCAGACAATGCATTCGCGCCAGATATCTAAGTCAGACAGCTTCGCTGGGTATGGGGATGCTGGAGGTTCATCTATGTCATCTGCTGGCAGACGAAAAGCTGCAATGGCTGGCCAAACAGCATACAAACCCTCCACTCGGTTCATCTTGCATACTGATGTGGAGGATGTTGTGCCGGACGATAATGGCGTCGTAGAACTTCCGCCGCAGTATTCAGAGTATCGGCGACCCATTACCAAGCAACCTGAGTCTGTGCCAAGACCAATGTCATCACACTCTAATTATTCGGGTCCGAGCGATCTAGCGTATGCTAGTAGTGCATTTGCACCCACTTCATCACACTCTCCTTTGCCACCTCATTCATGATGCACAATTTATGTTGTCAGTGTGCACTCTTGTCTCCTTCGACATGTTGTGGACAGTTTCTTTCGTGAGGCGTCTTGTCTTCTATTTCTATTGCTTTTCAGGCGCTTCGTTACAATCGTTATTTAGACTACTTATTTATGCCCGGCACTACGCTCGGCATCCACTCCCTTCGCATTCGTGATATTTTTTCCTTCGGGACGTCGTCACCGGAGGCCATGCAATACAAGATTTGATACCTGTACCCAACTTGTGCTGGAAATTTTGGTGAGAACAGACAAGCACATTGTGCGTATCTTGGGACAGGTGTTTGATGGGATGAATATTAATGCCAAGTTGCCAACATATATGTGGTAAACAAACACATCAGTTTTGTCTAAATAGTACATGCTCAAATTCAGGCCACCAGAATAAGAAGTTGTCAGGAGGTAGTGTCTAGAGTACAATGTGCATGTTACTGCGCACCTTCAAGGTTGCGCAGTGTATGGTCGTTGGTCAACACGCCGTTACTCTGTCTAATCCATTGTCAAGAAGTGAACTGCGTTCATGATTCTGGCACGTCATTGCCAAGATGGTGTTGTTGGAATGCGTCGATCATTGCATCCTGGTCCTTACGACGCCTATGTCTCCTGCGCCTATCCTCTTTAATGACACGCTCAATGCGCCGACGAGACTTGGTATGGGTTCGTGGATCAACCACGGCGAGCCTGCAACGATAGCATGCTAGTTCAATGCTTGCAAGCAGGCGAAGCGTTTCGGTATTGTTCACAGCCTGAAATTCGGTATGAGCTTGGTATGACACGATCAAGGAGGACAGCCAATCACGTTCAAAGACCACGAGATAACCCGAGAACCCTCCACGCAGCCGACGACAACGAAGTTGCCGCGTTTTTCGGCCTGGAGCTCGGACACCTGTGCCAAGTTACTTAGCTTTATTACAATGTTAAAGTAAAGTCATTGCTACCTCTCCGAATGCGACCAGCACCTTGCTAGATGTCAACGAGCGTACAACTGTATGGGGATATGATTAGAGATCGAACGTAATCCTGCGAATGAAACGATGCTCACCGACACGAGAGGACTGGCCTACGATTTCCTGTGACACTAAAGCACGACCGAGATATGCCCATGAGTCCTTTTCAGGTCGACGAATATGCACCTTGACTTGGATATCTCGAAACTCGCGGGCAGGCGGGAGGACATTGGCTATTCACCAAAGGAGAAGTCAAAAACATCACACTTGAGCGCAATCAAATACTTGGTGAATCACTGTACGTACGCATCAAAGAGGAAGTATATTCACTCTCGGTACTAGGCAGCCGCGGCGCTACCTGTACGAAGGAGCTGCTACCTTCCATCACGGCATCATTATCCATTATGTGTATCTGCAGATTGCGGGATCAAACCAAATTCAACTCATAATGATGCCAGACAAACTTCTGTGAGTGAGAACCGTTAGAGTTCGTAGTTGCGTGCGTCTGGCGTGCAGTGGGGTCACGGTGAGGCCTCGGCTGAAAGGGCTATTACTACTGCACGTTCACGTGACTCATTATTGGTGCAATACGACTAAAAGATGCTTTGGGCCCATTGACAAGATCAACTAGTCAACATTCGCCACGACCACGACCTCCGTTCCACGACCAAAGATCACCGCGTACCTGCCGTATTCATCGTAGTTATGATCCCCCTTTGAATGTCTTTCAAGCTGGTCCTTTCTTTCCAAAGGCGCCCAAGCACACGACGAAGCGAGCCTTTGAGCCACCAAATCACTGTATATATACGAGAACTTGCGGGTGAACGAAGACCAAAACTGGATTGTATTCATCAATGCATTCGTCCAAGACACTCCGCCGCACACGCGTGCCCCGCCCGCTGACAGCAGAGCCTTCCGAGGAGTTCGAGGAACCATTGTCCTCTCGGTTTGCTCACGAAGATGAGCAACTTTCACAGAAGTACATGATACAATTGAACTACCTCGAGATAGAAAGGGCAAATAATAAGGTAATGTCACAATGAAATTGCAATGTCTCGTTTGATCGCTTACGCTATGACAGCACGACAAGGAAAATGAAGATTCTATCGAAAGTAGTCAGGGATCGACCAGTACTGAAGGCACATCTGGCACTATGGGGGACGATGATGAAGACCGCTCACGCAGGAACGGAGAGGGCGCAACAACCCCCTACTGCCGGAAGTCAGAATGGCCATGGCGCAAATATGGTCAAGGTGGAGGAGACGTATAGAAACATCCCCCAATGACATGAGGATTATCAAGCAATTCCTTAAGTACGTCTGCTACAGCAAGGATCAAAAGAAAGTGGTGATAACAGTTGGATGGGAAATCGGGGGTGGACAGCTGCAGTTTATCAAGACCTGGATTAAGTAGCATGAACATGAAGTAGACAACTGGCTGAGTGATTTTAAACCGTGTTGGCACGAATGGCTGCAGGAAGTTGACTATCATGGTTGGATTTAACGTGAATATACGAATTACTCCACATCAACATGAACAATCATGAACGTACAAAAACAAGAGTAGCAAATCAATTATCGTGAGTCAGGTGCGAGGAAATTACCTGCCACCAAGCATAAATTACGGGGGGTGAAGTGCACATTGGTGATGGGGGTTCGTTTGGTAGGGAACGTCGCGAGAAGGTCAGATCTGATGGTAATGTCAATATCAATGGTGTGGGCTATGTTGCATGGAACGAACGTTTCATTGTTTTCGTCGTCGATCGTCCGTGTGATAGGAGATTCAGTGACGCCACTCTCCCGTGATTTACCGGGCCCACCAGCTCCCCTCACGTCCCAGCAACGTACTGTCCAGTCTGCACCTCCACTAACAAGCATGGATGACTCGGCACTGAACGAGAGAGAGTATACAGATGCTGTATGCCCAGTCATTTTTTTGATACGACGTCCAGAGCCGAGATCCCAAAGATTGATCGCGAGGTCCTCGCCTGCGCTGGCGAGATATCGCCCATCTGGACTAATAGCTAATGTCGAGAGACTCCCCTGATGGCCGATGAAAACGCGAACGCAAGCACCGCGTTGAACATCCCAAAGTCGCGCAGTCCAATCACTGGAACCCGTAGCGAGGTATAGCGAATTAGGATGGAACCGGACACACTTGAAACAGCAGACATCAAATTAGTTATATAAAACTTATCTTCTGCGAGATCACTCACGTCCACGTCATTCAAATGCCCTGCATAGATTCTCAAACACGACGTACGGTCTGTTGACCATAACCTGGCAGTTCGATCACGGCTTGCTGTTGCAAAATAGATGCCCATAGGACTCCACTGAACGTCCCATACAGGGTTTTGGTGGCCACGAAAAGCAACGACATTCGTCATTGTGTCGAGGGACCAAAGCCGTGTAGTTGCATCTGCTGAAGCAGAAAGAAGGTATCTTGGGGGCGCTGCTGATCCTCCCAATGGATCGAAAGACAAAGAATACACAGGACCGCTGTGGCCGACAAGCTTTCGGGTTGTATTTCCTTCTTTTTGCTGTATTTTTGACAATGATCCAGCTAGCGTTCGGATAAACATCACCGTTGTCACTCATCCAACTTAAGAGACTCACAATCCTTCACTGAACTCAGAGAGAAGTCATTGCGTAGTCCCTTGAGTTTTTCGTTCTTCAAGCTCCATAGACGAATGTAGCTCTCAGAAAAGCCGGCCGCCATCAGAGTCAAGTCAGGTGAGAAGGTGCAACACGGCGCACTGCTCAAAATATCTCGTTAGGGGACGCGCTTAATCTGTTTCAGATACTTACCCTTCTCCAACATCATGTAGCGTATATGCGCAAATGCTAGGCAAGCCACGCGCACGGGCAGCGCCTCCTTGCACCGAGTTCATATCAACAGAACTTAGTGCAGAGGGCTCAAGTCGTATGCGTTTCCTTGCATCCCGTACTTTCTCGACCTCTCTTTGAACATCAACCGTTTTAAATGACTGGGGATACGGAAGCATGTCTGATTCAGTGGGTGAGATAACTCCCGGGATAGCTGGGGGCCTCAGGAATTGCAAATCATATTGAGCATTGGGATCGCGATCCAGTACAGATTGTTCGCGTATGACGCGTTCAGTCTCCGCGCGCAACTCTTCAGAGATAGGGGCAGGGCCAAGTTTTAATTCGCCTTTGGAGGCATTGAATGCGTGAGGGTTAGGAGTGGCAGAAGCGCTTGTTTGTGGAATGAGTTGCGATAACAGGCCAGTCGATTCTTCCCATGCATTTGGCGAAACTGCTGTAGCACTCGCGGAAGTTACTAGCCTAAGTTTGAGCTCATATACATTGCTTGAAAGGCCAAGAACTTTACCGTCAAAGCGAAGATGGTTGTTCACCACTCGCATTATTGCTGCTCGGCCTCTTTTTCCTTTCTCGCCGGAGAAGCCATCCCCTGCGCCAGAGGCTTCACCTCCAACTCCTTCTGTCAGCCATCCCACCAGCAAGCTGAAACCTGACCGACTCATTCTGATGACATATTTTTCATTCTTGAAGCGTTGTGCATCGTCATCATTCTGAACATGTGAGGGAAGCAGGAGAGTCGATAGATGATGTAGAGTAGCGTGATGCATCGGGGCTAAAGACGGCGAATACGTCCCGTAGAAGCGCAGTGCTAGTAAATGTAGAAATGTCGGTCGAACGTATGCAGTAGAAGACTTGCTAGACATACCAGCCTCCTTGAATCCTCGCTGGACAAGATCCAGATGAAAATGGCAAAATATGGGAAACAGGATAGGTCGAAATTCGGGCTATTTGACCAAATTAACCTACATCTATTGCAGATGGATGCTCTCAGAGTACCTTGTACATGTCAAGTGAACCTTCAACCCATGCTTCGAGCTCTCGGAATCCTTCCTCCTTGTCCGTTGGATCAACAGACAGTATCTCTTCTGCACCAACAGTCCCAAGGCTGGCAATCAAGTTCTGTATACTCGGCGGATTTCCCATCGCCGTGAGTTCCTGTAGAACGTTTGCACTTTCCTTCAATACATTGTCCCCCGGGCGCGATGGCTTTTGTGCATAAACAGCAAGAGTTTTGATAAGGTCCTCAGCAGATACTGTCTTCCCAGACTCATCTACGCCCCCACTTTCAAGTGATTCGTTAAGAGCCCTTTCTGCATCCTTGTGTCCTCGAGAGCGAAGATACTCCAGTACCAGACGGTCGATTGAGCTTACGTTCTGGGTGACATCGGGCGCACTGGCGTTAACTGGAGAAACACCTCCAGAGGACGAGGCTGCAGGCGTTGCAGCAGACATAGCAGTAGCCGGCTCGGTGTTCGGTCTGTGATGTTAGAAATGATCGTCTGTGATGATATCGCAACGTCGCGGTCCCTAATGTTCAATGAACCGAAGTGCTTGATTACGTAATCAGATTATAGTACAGTGATTGTAATTTAGTTTGTCTGTTCAACCCCGTGAATATTCAGCCCCTTCGTGCTCTCTTGGTAGCGCCTCCTCTTCCTCCGTTCGATCCTCCGCGGCTGCAGGAGCCGTAAGAAGCCGACTGCGACACGGGACGCTTGTTGTTTGCTGGCGTCACGGTAGGGTCAGCCTTCGCGTATTCTGCTTTTGCGCATTCTTTGTCGAACGCTTCTACCAGAACATTAAAATCAACTTCTACCATACTTCCGAACAGCGGATGACTGGTAGACCACTTTCCCGCTGTCAATCTGGGAGAGGTAATGCCGAATGCCATGCGCGCGAGGAGGCGAGGATCGTCGCGTTCGGGACATGCGTTCAGAATAGCCTTGATCTTAATGGGATCAGGCCGAGTGGCAGTCCCTGACTCGAAAGTTATGCCTTCGCCCGTTTGACAAAAGCTGCACGATCCGCACAAGGCAGAAGGAATGGCCGCATCATCCCCGAAATATGAAGCAAGACCCTGTGCTATACCTATACTCCGGACATAGGCAACCGATATGGCTCAAAAAGCATTGTAGACTCACATTCGTCATTGGTAGCGAAATTAATCACCCGTCGGAGCTTGACTATAGCCTCCTCCTCTTTATCAAGCATGCGGTTGTACATCATCTCGGCGACATTGACTATTTCTTCCTTTTCCTTCGGAAGAGGATTGAGTATCTTATATCGCTGCAGCGATCTTTCAGTCGACAAATTGCTGGATTGATCGAATATACTTACTGCTCTAACTTGTGAAGCCTTCACATTAGCCCAACCTAGATAACAAAGATATAAGTTAGCACCAAGAAATGTTGCAGCAAAGGATCCCATACCGCTGAGCTCCCAATCACTTATTTTTCTCGCGAGATCTCCGCGATCCTGGCCTGACTTCTGAGCCGCAACGACTACATCGATCTGTGGCAGTTCGTTAGGGGGAAAAACCACGGCACTTACCAAGGCATAC